CTCATTTTCTTTATATCACCATCTCTCACCATAAAGTACTTCTCTCTCATCTCTTTCTCTTTTGCCTCCCCCCCCCCTCCCCCCCCCCCCCCCTCTCTCTCTCTCTCTCTCTCTCTCTCTCTATCACGTCCTTTTTCCTGTCAGTGACTGGAGTGACTTGGTATTCGATGGCAATCTAGCTGAAATATCAGCCAACGTGCCCCTGTCGCTCCGTCGGAGGTCCAGGGGTAGAGCCCCTGAAAGCTCTTGAGTTTAATTTAGAACCTTCAAGATGGCCGTCATGGTCGATAGAAGTTGTAAATTTCTCCTTGAAATGCACACACCCCCTTTCATTTCGTTATAAATCCCTCTCTCGTGTAAACATTTTCCTAGAACTCTTTTTCCTAATTTCGTCAGAGGACTTCTTATACACATGTAATGCCAAATCAGCGGCAATGTAATCTGCATGTGTACATCTGAGTTTCAAATTTCTTCTTTTATTCTTTTCTTTCTTCTTCTTCTCTCTCTCTCTCTTTTCTTCTATTCTCCCTTCTGTTCTCTTTCTTTTCTCTTTTTTCTCCCATCGCTCTCTCGCTCTCTCTCTCTCTCTTTCTCTCTCTCTCTTTCTCTTTCCCTTTTCCCTTTTTTAGGCCGCCAAGAAATGGGGACTGCGGACGATTCCCATCACCCCCCCCCGGACCGCCACATATAATTGTATGTACAAATTACGTATACCTTGCAGTGGGGTGGGGTTTCTATAGCATCCAATACATTGCTGACCCGATTCTCAGGGTAGCGATGTTTTAAATTGCATCTCTCTCTCTCTTTCTTTCTCTCTTTCCTTTTCCTCTCTTCTACTCTTCTATCTTCTTTTTCTCTTTCTTCCCCCTTTTTTTCTTCCATTGCTCCTCCCCTATTTTTTTAGGCGGGCAAAAGGCTGGGTGGGGGTGTGCGCGACCCATCGATTCCTGGATCCGCCACTGCTGTAAGAAAAAACATTTAGCGGAAATTCTGGCCTCTTGCCAAATGGATTTAACATCTGTGGCATCATAGGGCTCAACTTAAAGCACAAGTCCAGCCCCCAATTAACTTTCATAAATAAATCACACACAAAAGACAGGCAAAACAGATTTGTAAAAACAAAAATGATAATAGATCTACATGTAATTAATTAAAAATGAGGAAAAGGGACAGCTCAGTGTTTAAATAAGTTATAATGCTTTTCACGAATATATCGGAGATTGCTTGATGTTATCATTATTGTTGTTAATATTACCCTTAAGATGATGATGATAAATATTATTATTGTTACTAAAGTATTATTATTATTATTATTATTATTATTATTATTATTAATAATATTATTAATATTACTGCTAATTTTATTAGTGTTATAAATTAATTAATTAATTAATTATTAAATATGTAATTTATTTGACCATAAAATGCAAGATTTACATACAAAGTAATCAATGAATGAGAATAGAGAGTAAAGTAAAGAATGCAGGTTGGTCATTTAATGGATTCGCTACCTTATATTTGCACTAATGTTTCCTCACTATTCACCAATTTAACAATATATATATATATATATATATATATATATATATATATATATATATATATATATATTGATGTTTTTAGTTCCTCATTCCTTTCCAAGAAAACTCATTTCCTATTATTTTTATGTTCACCTGAAAATGTTAATCTTAAACCGGAAAAAAAACAATTTGTGAACATTCGTATATACTCCTATTACATTATCAGGGATGAATAATGCTTCACCACCATGCTTTGCAGTTGAGTGTGATCGTCGGAAGCAAGCGAAGCGAGCGATCATAACAAAATTATTTAAAAAAATAAACTATGAGGTCGCATTTCGACCGATCAGATGAATTTACCAATGCTTATGGAGGCTTCAGCACAATCTCATAATAAAAGACTGAATAGAATTTTGATATGAGATGAACTATAAATGTTGGAAATTCGAGATAGTTGCGCTCAGTCGATTTAAATTAGAGAACATTTAAGGGAGGCAATGAGAAATCAATTGTTTCGGGAATATGAGGGGAGATTTAAAAAAAAAACTCTTGTCATAGTACGTATGGTAATCATTTTACTTTTTAACATTGATATGAATGACATTTGGTAATGTAAATGTAGTTACCTTTGAAGTAGAAAACTCCGCTATTTTTTTCTACCTATTCATATTTTTCAACTGTATTCACTGCCTTTCATTATGGTGGTAGAAATATGGAACCTGTTACTACACAAAGCTGCTCCGATTCTTTGAAACTAGATGTGGCTCTTTAGATGACCGCAAAAGGGCACACTTTGTAAGGGGCAGTGGGAAATGTCGGTAAAAGGGTGCAGTTTTTAATTATTAATAAGGCAAAGGGACATTAATCAAAGTAACAAGGGAAACACATCATCATTTTTTTAGGAAGGGGCAATTATTAGAAAGAAAAAGGGGAACTAATCAGAACGGCAAAAGTCACTTATTTGAAACGAAAACGGGCATTTACCATCCCCCAACATGGGCTATCATCAGAGATGAAACGGGACACATATTAAAAGGGGAAAATACACTTACTACAGAGGTGAAGGGACACCTATCAGATTTGGATAGGGACACCTATCAGAGGTAAAAACGGGACACTTATGACGAAGGGGAAGGGGCACTTATTAGGGTTTTTTAAAGAGGACCATTTTCTCGTAGTTAAATGGGCACTTTGGGGTACTTGAAAAAGCGAAGCTTTAGTTTTATTTCTCTCTTTCATTATTATTGATTTACATTTTCTCTTTCTTTCTTCCTTCTTACTTATGTCTACTGTAATATCTTCTTTCTTTCTTTTTTTAATTTACTTTCTTTTTATTCATTTTTTATTTATTGAAACGCCCAGTAAAATCATATGCGTCATATCATAAAGGGATTCAACTTACTTTGCATCCAAACTTTTCCAGAACTTTCGTAATGTTATTGTTCATCCCCAAAGCGGAATCTCGTAGGTTTAAAAAAGAATTTAACACAGCATCGAAACAGAACAGGTTATGACCTCCTAGGTCATGAGAAAACATGCGATATCCTGGCTCCACAAACCTCCTGATGATTTTCTTCTAAAGCAACAAGGAAATAATAAAATACATTCTCACGTGAAATAGAAAGGGTTTAAATTGTTCATATTCCCTAGTGAATATTATCTTACCAGTGTAGCTGAGGGTATAAGGTAGCTGATGGGGGGGGGGGGCACAACTGGCGTCCGAAAATTCAGCGAAAACAGACCAAACAAAAACAAAAATTAATATTTGTTGCTGTTGTTGTTATTGTTGTTGTTGTTGTTGTTGTTGTTTTTTTTTTTTTGGGGGGGGGGACAATTTAACAAATGAAATCACCAAGATCAATACAACAAACAATGATATATCAACTCGATCATTGGGGTGGGATGTGTAGCACCTTGAAAGAAAAACATACCAAGGCTTCACCTCCGGTCACAAGTCCACGAGAAGGTAGGACTCTGTATTAAGGCCTGTTTTCACTAGCTCGAAATTGCCAAATATCCCGATATTTGAACTATCCCGATCGCAAACTATCCAGCTAATTTGCGTCGTCATTAGCCCGAAGTTGCAATTAGCGGGATATGTGGCCGGGATTGTCATCCCAAGATATCTTGGAATAATTTGCAAAGTATCCCACTATTTGACAAAATATCCAGCTATTTGTCCGGTGCGTTTTCACCGGACCAAATACTCGCCCTCTGCGCGAACGCTGAGCAAAATATCTCGAGCTAATTTCTCAAGGTCGAGTTTCAAGTTTCGAGGTCGAATCTCGAGCTGATGAGGACGCGATTTGTAGGTTCGGGATTATTTCCCAAATCAAAAATAGCGGGCTATTTGGCAATCTCGAGAGAGTGAAGACGCAGCTCTTATCTGGGTCACTATGCCGGAGCCACAGTCTTTTGGCACAAGAAAAAAAAAGGTAAATTGCTTTAACACATGAATCTATAGTTATTCCCAACAATATAGATATCAAAATTAAACTTGAACTGGAGGCATTTTGACTTACACAGCCAGGGTGGCGATTTATTTTCATGACCGGGGGAGACGAAGTGCGGTATTTAATTGTACGTTTTGAAGGATATTACGCGAGGGAGCGTAGCGACCGAGCGAGATTTTTGGGGCATTTGTATTAGTCTAAACGCTGCACTCTGGGGCCCTCCAGAGCCTAAAATTGTGTTGCAGTCTTTAGTCAGTATTTGCTATACATTTTGGGGGGGAATTTTTTCAAATTTTCCGGGGTTACAACCCTCCCCCTAAAAAAAATTGAGGGGGACGTGTCCCCTCCCCGTCCCCCGGGATCGCCGCCCCTGTATACAGGCCTACTTAATCTTTTACTATCGCCATGGTCAAGGAATCCACGCTAGGAAACCAATCTGCACGCACGGACTTTAATTTGTCACTTTACCACAAATCCTTAAGTATTGAGTAGAGTCTAACTCTGGTAGTCACTTGCTGCATTAAAATCAACTCAGCCTAGTCTCACTGTGCAGACACTGCTACGTACAGCGACTGACAATCAGGAAATCTGCCTAGTACAAGCAGAGATATGAGAGTTTAAAACACCTCCCTGGTACAAGTAGTCCTTTTAGCAAAGATAGTGTACTTTCGGTTTGCGAGATCATGTTTGGGGATTTCCCCCATATTTTCACAAAGTAGGCCTATGCCGAATACGAGGTGGGTGTTATTTCCTGTTATTTTGAACTCTCATGATCTTTCTTTCCTCATCCGGGATCGGGCACCTAAGACGATCTAGGTAACAACAACACTCTGCAAAAGTGCAAATAGAGATAGAGAGAGAGAGAGAGAGAGAGAGAGAACATCGTTTAATATAGAAACACCTGGAAGTTATGCAGAATCCCGGACCTCGACTTAAAAGACCAATTAAGGAACTAGAAGTTTACAGCATTGGGCTCAATAAAACACTTTGCTGCCTGGTACGAACGTCAATTGAGTCTTTGCCGTCGTCGGTGCGGCATCTCTTCTGAATTCTAACCTACTGCATGATCAGTCAAGGAGCTGCAGATTCCTCCTAGGTTTGGTAAAGACGAAACTGCTTACCGAAGACGTTGTCAATGACTGGTGTCTCGACCACCATGGGGTCGATTATTCTCATCTTCGTACTCGCGATTAGTGCATCACTTGTACCGGGAGGGGTGACTCAAGATCCACCTGCGTAAGTTACAATAACTCCCTTCCAGTCTTTATATTATTACAGACATTAATTTTATATATTCTTTTCTCACCATCTCCCATCTGTCCGTCTTTTTATAACTATTTGTTTTCACCTTCCTTAGTTATAGTACAGTGCATATACAGAGTGTACCCAACTTTGGTAGCTTCTAATTAAAATGTTACAAGCTATGTGAAGTTTTATCATATTTAATTGTGAAGAAGAACTTATACCCTGTAAAATGATACTATTTTCATAAGTGTGCTGCCAATGATGACTGAACAGGAGACTTTTCAAAAAGTATTGTGAAAATCATCTTGTACCAAGTTTGGGCTGAAGCAATGAATGTGGGTCAAAAGCTATTATGTGTGTGTTATCGCATTTAAAAAATGATTGCCAATTTATTAACATTCACTATTACGCACTTGAAAAAAAAGGTGTTAATAATAACCCAAACTCAAGGAATTGCTTAATACAAGTAACATTTATGATATTCTCTTCGTTATGATGATTACAATCTTGAGTTCATTCGAATCCCTTGTTTAAGCAACCTTCTCATTGAGTGATACAAAAATGGATAAAGTTTATAATAGGATGCTTTCTTTTTCATGAAAGTTTGCTGTCAATTTCTTTGATATCATCATATGTGTTCTTTCTTGCATTTGGGCTAAGTAACCTTTGAAGTTTCATTCGCTATTTGAGATAAACACCTTAATATATGCTCTTTACCCGTGTGAAATTGCGCAGCAGGAAAGTGAGCAGAGAGAACGTAGATATCATGAGACAAGAATTTATTAGGCATTTCAAAATAATCAAAAGGTATCCTGTGGATTGGCATGAGGTTCTTGGAAGCCTAGATACAACGCATTATCTTAAAAACACTCATAATTTAACTTTTAAAAGATTTAAGATCAAAGAAGCACATGCATATGACCTGACCCGCCCAAACTTGGTACAAGGCGATTTTTACGACACTTTTCAAAGACCCTGGTGCTCATTTATCCGTGCAGAAATATTATTAATAGGATAATTATCGGACATAAAATAAGTTATTCTTCATTATGAAATCAATTTCAAAGTCATATTGGTAAGGACTTTTTAATCAGGAACTACCAAAATTGGTTACCCTTTTTTATAAATCAGCAATGTATATTTTTGTATTAATTTTATTTTAAAAACAAAATGTTCAATCACCATTTAAAAGGGCTGAGGAGTGACCACTCTTTCAAAATGGTAGATTAACATTTTGAACATGCTGGATCCAACACTATGAAGGTTGAATCCAGCATGTTAAAAGTATCAATCTGACATTTTGAAAGAGTGGTCACTCCTCCGCCCCTTTAAATGGTGATTTAACATTTCAGTTTTTAGATTGTAGGTAGCACGTCAATTACAATTTGAAACACAAGACAATCAAAAACTTTATATTAACACAATTAATAGGGAATTTGATCACATAATGAACAGTAAAAGAATTTCAAACAAAACAGCACATGAGGAAATAAAACGGTGGGATGCTGTGAAAGTGCTGAAGGATTTGCAAGCAGCAAAGAATGTACTTTGTTCTAGGACATTTGACCGTCTGTCTCTATTCCTCCCAAATTGCCCTCTCCCTACTTTCTTGTTGGCTTAATAATATTTATCTTTCACTCTCATAATCTTCTTCAGTTATCATTCATTTCTTCACGATATGCGTTTAACAATCATACTCTCATTCAAATTTTAAAACAGTTGTTAGTAAAGAAAATATAACTCTTTTTAAATACCTCTCAATCGCCTATATATCGGCGGCTTGGAAACTCCGAAATCAAATAATGAAGGTATCGCAATCAATTATTTGTAACATTCTTTTAATTCCGTCAGATGTTTGTATTCATTGTAGTTAGTTGGAACTCGAGCTACAGTATTTGACCTTTTATAAACAACAAAGTGAAAATGTGATCTAAGTGATCGTTTTATTGTACATATAGATGACTAGGGTCTAGCAATAACGTTGAATAACGCAATAACGTTTTCTACGTTTTATCTATAATATTCTTTGACATATTTATCTGTCCAATAGATTATCTACTAGTTACCTGATTTATTATTCAGAATACCTGAAAAACAGCATGTTGCCGAATGAAACTTCCTGCATTTGAATTTTCCCCCTTTCTTTTTGAGAGAGAGAGAGATAAAAAGAACGTAACGTCTACCCTTATTCCTAGCCTACAGACAGTTTTCTGTATCCTATTTTTAAAGGCACACTGTTCTACTTGTAGCTACTTGCTCCCTCTATATAGAAAAATTTGCCAATCGGTGCCTGTTGGTCCCCCATGATACTCTTTTTCTTATGTTAAATGAGAGCTGAGTTAATGAGATAGCCACCTGTCACAGTGACCTCGCTGGCTCGCTTGGTAGTCTTATCCCTTCTAGCTGAGGTAGTAAAGCCTGCCTTTAAAAGGAAATTTCTGTCTCCAGGGGGTTCATGATTTTAAAATAAAATTAAGGTTCGTTATTTCGAACATTTGGCGTATATTACCCCGCAAGTAGGCATATATGGTAAGTTCCGAAGTTTCGTTATATTCAGAAATTTTGTTAAATTAACAAAATTTCGGATTAAATCCGAAAGTTAATAATTCCGAGGATGGTGTAGGGGTCATTACTCCGAATCTTTCCATGGTACTAAGAAGATGGTTCTCAATGATATTGCGTTTTGAAATGAAGAACCTCGTGAATTCTTGAAACCCACTCTATCCTTGAACCCTATTCCTTTTTCGGAATTACGAACCTTTGGAACATTCGAATTAACAGAATTTGAAATACAGCTGTACAAGAATGTTATGTCTTGACATATACATCAAGCACGTTTTAAAATGCATAGCCCCAGAAGCTTTTCACTTGTACAAGAAAAGCTCTATTCTTTTGATTTTCATTTCATTTCCTCTCGATCCTTTACCTTTTCTTTTATTTCTACCCCCCCCCTTCACACCCTCCCCTCTACCCCTCCTCCCTCCCTTCCTCCCCTTCCCCTCCCTACCCTGACACCCCCTTCTCTCTCTCTCTCTCTCTCTCTCTCTGTCTCTCCCTCTTTCTCTCTCCCTCTCTCATGTTTGCAAACATGATTATGCAGGCGTATGAATCAGGCGCGGATCCAGGATTTATTAGAGGGGGGGGGGGGGGGCAAATTTGAAATTATGCGAGGCAAATATTGGTACGTAATGGTGACACCGGCAGTGGCAAAAACGTTTGGGGGGGGGGGTAGACAAAAAAAATCCCCATCACCCCCACTCTTACATGCAGGCCCCGCTGTACATTTCTCGGCGGGGCCAAGGGGTGGAGCCCCGAGAAGCTCAGGGGTATAGGCATTTAATTACTGTCAGATGAGCATATTTTGATACCTTATTAATTTGTGAAACTGGCCAGACACAAATTGGTGTTGGATCCAGGGGGCGGAGCCCCCAGAAACTCAGGGGTTTTATACATTAAATTATCGTCAGATTAGCATATTTTTATACGTTATTTGTGACACTGGCAGGTCACGAATTGGCTTGGGGATCAGGAGGCGTAGCCCTCGGAGGCTCAGGGGTGTTAGGCAATAGATTACGGTCAGATGAACATCCAGGGGAAATGGTTGTGTTCAGGGGGCAGAGCCCCGGAAGCTCAGGGGTTTGGGGCAATAAATTACGGTCAGATGAGCATATTTTTATGCCTTATTTGTGACACTGGCAGGACACAAATTGGTGTTGGGTCCAGGGGGGGGGGGGCGGAGCCCCCAGAAGGTCAGGGTTTTATACATTAAATAATCGTCAGATGAGCACATTTTTATACCTTATTTATGACACTGGCAGATCGTCTTCTTTCTCTAATAATATAATAAATCATCAAAGCTTCTGCGCTTTGCGCGGGGAACAACGGAATTCAGACAAGGATTAAGAGTCGAAAAGAGTACAACGAATCGGCTTCTTTCTCCAATGATTTAATGAAACGTCAAAGCTAAAGGGGAGGGGGGAATTCAGACAAAGATTAAGAGTCGCAAACGGTACAACGAATCGTCTTCTTTCTCTAATAATTAAATGAAACGTGAAGGGGCCGGAAACTGAATTCAGACAAGGATTCGAGGCGAGAATGGTACAACGAATCGTTTTCTTTCTCTATTAACTAAATGAAACGTCAAAGCTACCGCGCTTAGCGCGGTATGGGGGAAACAAGAAATGAGAATCGGGGACGGTACAACGAATCGTCTTATTTCTCTGAAAATCAATGAAATGTCAAAGGGGTAAACTGAAAAATAATTTAGCTCCTGGCCACGGGTTTATAGGGTTAATTTGGAGACATTTGGACTTTGGCATTAATATATTTTGTCGGTAATTGGTGGATAGTTTTGTCGGGAATCCGGTAATCGGTGGCCTCCACACCCCCCCCCCCCCCCCCCCACACTGATAAAGCTCTAGCGACGCCACTGCTTGTAGGTACCGGTATGGTGCTTCTAATATGACCTTGTCAGTATCGGTATGTTGAGTTGAAAAAAACGGTCTGCGCAATTTCAAATTTCCGGCCTCTCTATTGGAAAAACCTGGATCCGCGCCTGATAGATATGTACTGTGTTATCTAGATGTCCACAATTTACGATTAAGAGTGAAATGCTAGGTGTTTTTATTTTATTTTTTATTTTTTTGAATTATATATTCATTTTTTAAAAATCATTTAGACCACAAAAATAGTTCATGCGTTTTTACAAAGAGTGGGCTATCAAGCTGTAACATTTTGATTTGACACGTACTTCTTTTTTTTTTTTAATTGTGATTTTGAAAATGAATACAATACCATACCATACCAGCTCAATTTATCTCATCTCCTCCCCCTCTCTCTCTCTCTCTCTCTCTATCACTTTCTCTCCTTCTTTCTACCCCCTCTCTCTCTCTCTCTCTCTCTCTCTCTCTTTCCCCCTTCTTCCTGTCTCTCTCTCTCTCTCCGTGTCTGTGTGTCTGTCCCCTCTCTCTCTCTCCCTCTCTCTTACCTCTCATTATCACATCTCTTTCATCTTTCACTCTCTCTCATTCATCTCTCTTCATGTTCTATGTTCCTTCTTCTCTATTCCACAGGACCTTTTTCGTGACCTCTCCTAACGTGTTTCGGGCAGGTGTAGAAGAGAAAGTCGTCGTAACCCTCATCAGATCCCCACCAAACGTTCAGAACATTGAAGTGAAAGTCTCATTGATGCGGCCCGGTTCGACTGTGACTTTTTCGGAAGATACGAGACTTGTCAGCCCAGGTATTAAACAAAAATCCAAAATTAAAGATATCCGATACGCTGCCGTGCGTATACGTCCGTGTGCTGCCCTATATATACACATGCACGCTTGAGCAACTTTAATCAGTGGCGGATCTATGGGGTGGGGGTCAGGGGGTGCAAATTTTTAAATTTTCGATGACCAAAAAAAAAAAATGTGCTCACTACAACCCCCGCCCCCACTGAGCGACTTTTCGGCCGGCGCGATTTTCAAATTTTCGGGAGCAAAAAAAAAAAAAATTGGGCCCCCTCCCCTAAGAAATCCTGGATCCGCGCCTGACTTTAATAGCAAGGGCGGCGGAGTGTCTTTCAAAGACGTTAAGGCGCCAACAAAAAGGACACTTTCTGGAAAAAGAGCCCCTACAAAGAGGTAGCCTAAAAGCCAAAAATTTCAGTTTTAATAATTACAATTACGATAATTTTTAGATATAATATATACCCTACATTGTAATTTTTATTTTATCAGGGAGGATCTTCAAGATTGACTCGTTACGAGGTCCAAGATCCAGCTTGAGCAACATACTTTGCTGTTGTGTGTGAAGGGTTGAATATTTATTTAAAAGTGAACGAAGCGAGCGAGCAAAATTTGTAACGTTTTGTTTAGGCCACACTGCGACCGATTCGTCGTCATAAAAATAACAGATTCTGATGGTATTTAGCCCAACCCCAATAAGAATGAATAAAAGGACCATCAACATGCTACTTATTAATCAATCGTAACAAAGTAGCAAGTTTTGGAGGAGATTTGAGAAAAATTGTTCCCAGTCGTTTTGAATTAGGGGCAGGACTGTAGGCAAGGCTATGAGAAATTTATTGTTTCTGGGGAGATGAGGGGTGATATCGTGTTACATAGCACGTATGGTAACGTCTCATGCAGTCTGTTTAACATGTTTGACATTTGGTAATTTAAATGCAGTTGCCTTGAGTTCGAAAACTCCAACATTGTCTAACCCTTGAACTTTAACTCCGCGCTATAATCCCACGGCGACCCTATATGGTCTGTAAAAGATAGGATTACGCCATAGAGTGACCCTGCATGAGGCCACCGCAGGTATCTCTCGATTTCGGGGGCCTGCGGCCATCGTATCCTAGCCGTAGAGCCAATGCGACCTATATAGGCATATTAGGCATTGCTTCTAAACGAGCTGCATAGTAAATACCGGGAGAAAAATGCCACTGACTTTCACCTTTGCTTTGGTCTAGGTTCATCTCAATCCTTTTCGGTCGTAATTCAAGCTGGTGATTTGATGAGAAATGAGGGAGCTTTCCAACACATGGTCTTAAAGGCTGAATCTCTGAACCCTATCTACCCATTCGAAGAGCAAACAGATATCCTGGTCACTCTTCAATCTGGTTACGTCTTCGTACAGACGGACAAACCAATCTACACCCCAAACCAAGACGGTACGGTATCATCTTCTTTTTAGTTAGTTAGTTAGTTAGTTAGTTATTCAGTTAGTTACTCAGTTAGTTATCTTATGCATTTATATACTTATTTATCTATTCATTTTTACATTTCATCTTATCTTATTGTCATGAACAAAAATGAATATATCAATAATACAGAAAACAAGGAACAGAGAAGGTTATACCATACCAAAAGAATGGAAACTATCAGCTTTGGACCCGATGGATCACCAAAAGAAAATAAATTCCTGTATAAGGCTCTCTTCAGTACCTCTTTACCTTTTGAATAATGCTTTAAGAAATGTCATTCTATTTGTTAAAAGAAAGCAAACTCTTTTTATATCATTGTTCGTTCCAGTGATGATCAAAGTCATGTCCTTGGATCAGGACATGCTTCCATCAGATCGAGAGGTAATCAGTCATATTTGTCATCTCTAGTTTGAAATGTATTGACAATTATATGAATCTGAATGCACTTTAGTTTTGTTGAGAATAAAGACTGAATACAACAAGATAGATCTGCTTCCTTTATAAATACATGTGTGCCGGCCGGGTGGTGGGGGGCGGGGGGGTAAGAGGACACTTTTTTTTTTTTTTTTTTTTTTGGGGGGGGGGGGGTGTCTCGAAATTTGAAAATTTAACATTTTGCTCCGTAGGGGGGGGGGGGGGGTTTGCTCAAAAATACACACATAAAAAAACTCAAGAGGGGGAGGTTTAACCCCAAAACCCCCTCCCTGCGTACGCGCCTGGGCCTACATGTATTTCCTAAAATTATAAATTCGTTATTACCCAGCCGTGCGTATGTATCTCCTCAAATATACATGGATATTACTTTATTAACACTGACAAGAGTTTCAGGATAAAGGTTAGGTTGCGTGTGAAATGGGACCATGGTTTTAAAGTTAAGAATTTGAAATGTTGTTCGTGGTGTGGTATAGATAGGCTCATACCATTTCATAAAATTTGCGTCATTATATAGTGTCATTATCATACGGTTCCAAAATCAATGATATTACCTCTTTATATAGTTCTATTTTCAACTCTATTCATCTTTATCTCATTCTTGTTTTGATAGCTCCACGTCGAAATAATGGATCCTAGTGGGACCAGTGTAAAAAGACTCCGAGAGACCCATGCCGAGCCTTCCGGCTTCCTATCGGGCGATTACAGGTTCCATAATCATCCAGCCTTCGGTGAATGGACCGTTTCGGCTTTCTATGGACCCGAGGTAATGTTCATTACTTTCCTTTATCTGTTCAGAATGAAGGAAATTTATCCAAAACTTGACTGTATGTTATAAAGAAAAGTCTTATAATTAAAGTATCGTCTATAAGCGCGAAAGGAGCGTACAGACTAGAAACTTAGATAGCATAAAATCAGTCTCTCTCTCTCTCTCTCTCTCTCTGTGCGTGTGTGTGTGTGTGTGTGTGTGTGTGTGTGTGTGTGTGTGTGTATTGGGTTTTTACAGACGTGTATCAATCAGATATGATTATTTACGTCTGGGGATCGACCTTTAAACGTCACCATCCAAAATACGTGACTCAGTTTCGAACCTGTGTCCTCGGCTGAATCAGTTTGTAAGGCTTCCACTTTTAGCTGGATTACAGGCGCACGCCACAACGCCTCCTTTAGCCTTTTTATAGTTACGGCACTCTTTCGAGAAATATCTAGGGATGCCGAGAGAGAAATTAATTAAAGATCTATTTAGATCCATTGCGAAAAAAGGTCAATTTTATGAAAACTAAATATTACAGACCGCCTCGTATTTTCTTGAAGAAATAACATTTTAAGAGCAATAAATGACCCTAGATCTGAGAGGTGCCCGTTTTAATTTGACAATTTTGTTCCTTCCGATAAGTTCCCCTTTTCCTATTTAATAAGAGCCCCTTCCCTTCCTCCTTAAAACAGAGAATTATCACAGTTATAATCAATAACCGACACATATTTGTTGAAGCTTAGATCCCCTCTTTCATTTGGTGCAACTCCATATGATGCATATTACACGCATGAGTGTTTAAAACAATTTGAAGAAAGGTAAGTCATTTGGCGAACGGTATTTGAATTTCAAAGAAAAAAAAAAAATCATATTTCTAAAAGGTTAATTTGTTGCCCTTTCATACGACACCTCAATCAGGTAAAATGAGCCAGGAAAAAGAAAGTTCTGTTTGTTCAAAATAATGGTATTAAAGGAATTGTTGAGTTCTGTTGCAGAGGGCGCTACACAAAATATTTTTTGTGAGATAATGAAAAACTTAGTGTCAAATTTGAAAGAACATAATATTTAAATGACAAAATCACCTTTGTTTGATCAAAATCGGTTCAGAGACGGCTGAAATATAACGATTTCTAATACTTGTGTACCACCACAAAATTAGATATTTAGACAAATTTGAAAAAAACCTTTGAAAAAACGAAATAACGCCTTTTCCGTCGTATTTCAGCCAATGCCGATGTTGGCTTTTTTGTTGGCATTTTCGTGTTGCTTGTATTACCCACAATTAGCCGGCTCATGTATTGTTATTTTTAATTAAATAATTAATTAACGGTCACCGTGTTTTTTTAAAAGTGGAGTTGAATTGGTATGATCGTATTGGCTAAATTTCACACATTTTGGGGTCTAAAATTACTTTCATAGCAATTTAAGGTTCTAAAAGGGCACTATAAATGTCATAGATAAGAAGTAAGAGCAATAACCATGCAATTTGAAGGCATTTGCGGTCTGAAAACAGAACTCAACTATCCCTTTAAACGAGAGTTGCATCAAAATGAAAAAGGAGGATCTTCGTTTTTTTCTGAGGGGGGGGGGGGGGTAAGGTCACCTTCTTTAGGTTAGCCGTGGGGATCATTTTTTTTTTTAATAATAAAAAAAAAAAAAAAAAAAAAAAAAAAAAGGGGGGGGGGGGGGTTTTAGGTTTTTTAGGGGGGTTTACATACATAAAAATACCAAAGGGGGGGTTTGAACCCCCACCCCCCCCCCCCCCCTGCGTACGCCCCTGGGCTCATAACCCCATCAGGATTGAGTTTTCTTCTTTATAAGATGTATTTTTTTTTGCAGTGCGACCCAACAAATCTTACAATTTCTGCTTTCAAATGGATATTAATCGAATATACATCTTACTGCAAAGTATGATTATAAAGAGAGATACAAATATTGGAATCATCCCATATAATGATAAATGTAGGGGTGTATACCAATTTTTGAAAAAAAAATTATAATTATATTTTCGCTTTATATTTATTTATTTATGGTCAATTAACGATACCCTTCCTCCGCAAAATTAGGAAATGTGTAGCAATACATTATGGTGCACACATACAATTTTTTGTTTTCAGTTTTTTTAACGGATAACTGATATTTCTTATAAAACTGAAGATTAAAAAGATATAATTAGGCAATACTGAATGAACACCATAAAACTATTATCAACAACACCCACTTCGCAAGTACGGTACAGTGCGCATGTTCATGACTCAATCAGCTGCGATGCCATGCATACGCTAAGACATACAAAGTCGAATTTACAACAGACGCTGTGCAGTGGTCTTGATCTTGGACGGTAATTCAAGAGGTCAGTTCATAATGGATTTCTGATATAAACTGAAGTGTCATTTTATTTTTGGCGTTATATTGTTCCGGCAATCGAAAAAAATGAAGTCTCATGGATTTCATTTTCCGCGGCTGCTGTAACGGTGTAACATACTGAGCTGATCCTGCCCCTTGACTGGCGCTGGTCACTGGTGGGTAGCCAATATATATATGTTCGGCTGGCCCGGGCGCGGCCGCTCCCTGTCAGCTGCCGATCGATGACTCTGGAAAGAGCACACACTACTAATTATTACTTAGACAGAAATAACCGTCTGATATGTGTCATTTTTTAAATAAAACTGACATTTGTTGACATTCCCCATAATCGGAGGTCTAGTGGAGCTAAACGTAGTCTCAGTGGAACAACCGACGATTAGAGTAAATTAGAGAGACTGAAGCTTTTGGTCTAATTATATTAACTATTACTATTTCTTCTTCTTCTTCTTCCAGTGTATAGTACTAATAGTACAGTCCGCCGTTGGCGTATTATCGTACCTTGTACTTGTATTTATCATATACGATTCAAGATGATGATGATGATGATGAAATGATGATGTTCATGATGATTAGATTTTGACTAATTAGTACATGTACATGCAAACATATGATTTTTTTATCATCTTATAAGTAAAGACATCAAGTCGAAAAATATGTCGGCTTCTTCTTTCTGCATTTGCATGTTTTTGATAAGGGACCGCAATCAAGCTGAATTATTCCGTCACTTTTAAAGGACATCGGCATTGCACATATACAGTAATTTGTTTTCTTGTTGAATTAAGTGGCATATTTTGTTGAGAGTATATAAATAAATAAACATTAATTGTTACTGGTTGGGCTCTAGCTGTCTCGAGATCCTTGACACAAAGGTGTTGATGGTGTTGGCCTCGATGACAATCTGGGACCATATCCGGACAGTGGCGGTTCCAGGATTTTATTCTGGGGGGGGGGGGCACAGGAGGGGGCACACGGGATAAGAGGACATATTATTTCCTTTTTTTGTCCTCCAAAAAAAAGAGAATTTTGCAATTTTAGAAACATTCTCAATTAAAACACTAAAACTAATGAGTAGACTACTTGACCCACCTGTAAGCAAGCGTTAGAGCTCGCATACAATATGGACGGCACGTAACCCAAGTACAAGTCCGACTTGGATTACATGAGCATGGTTTTGTGTTATTCTTTATTTTCTTCATTGTCCTTATCTGTTGGCTGTAGAAAGCTATAGGTAGATCTTTTTGAGGAAGTCGATTTTGTAAATTCTTACTGTTTACAATTTTTGTTAGGTGATTGGTATACTGTAAAGGGAATCTATTGTTTGAAATCACTATTATTTCTCATCTTAATTTTCATATTCAATCCTATTTTTAGTTCCTTGTCAAGTCAAGCGTGACATTTGTGGTCAAGGAGTATGGTGAGTTATACTGTACTTTCTCAAAATGTAGACATTGTTTATTTGCATATTATATCTCTGTGTAAAGTTATATGTGTAGTGTGTATACCAGCAAAACAAATTACATGTATGTTGACTATATGATATTGTACTTTTCTGACAAAAATCTTGCTGTGTTTCTGTGATAATTTACGTAAATTTCTATTCAAAAAGGAAATTTAGGCTACAGCCTGAAGCGACTTATTTCAGAATCCATCCGTGATGAGCCGCTTAAAAAAGGGAACATCAAAATATGTTGGTTAGCTTGAAAGTTTAGGATCCTCAAAGAAACATGGTGAATTGCTGTTTCGTCTACAACCAGTTCGTCCAATTCCCAATTAGTCTATTCCCATACGGTCTTCACCCAGCCCATCTACTATGCACATGGTCTAATTTATAATGTCCATTTTGTTTACCATCCAAAGGTCTAATAATCATTGATGTTATCATAATTTATGATTAAATGACTATTAGACCATATTGATAGGAGACAAAATGGGCATTAAACAAACTGGGAATTAGACCGACTGGAAATTAGACTAAATGAACGATATACCAAATGGGTAGCATACTTATTGGAGATTAGACCAAATGGACATTAGATCAAAAGTTATTTTTTGCCTAAATGGTCAGAAGACCAAATGATATTTTGACAAATGATGATTAGACCATGTGGATAGTATACAGGCTGGGAGTCTGTTGACCATTTGGAAATAGACCAATTGGGTAGAAGACGAACTGGTTGTGGATCAAACGGCTATATAAACGTCAACCCCAAATAATAAGTGTAGGTACAATGCTGAGTTTTCTTTTCAGCCTAGTCTTCATTTATTTTCTTATTTTATTCCTAGTTATTATTATGTTTTGTTATTATTAGTATTTTTTTAATAATGATTATTTTTTAACATTTTTTATCCTCTACTGCTTTTGCACACATGGGTAAATGTGTACTCATGATTCTAATAACGGTAATTTGATATGTATTTTAATTCTCCACTTTAGTTCTACCGACATTTTCAGTGAGCATCGAAACGCCTAAATACATTCTAGCCGGAGCTGATTCAGTGGTCTCAACAATAATTGCTGAGTAAGGAAATCAGGGAATCATTTCAGGAAACTGTCATAATTTCACCAACATCCTATTAGAACACTTGTTGAATATATTACCATGTTTCAAAGGGTTGTCAGCGAACTTGTACTTATGACAGTTTCATTAAAAATGCTGCCTTGTTTTACAGACCAGTTCAAATCAGTATATTATTGTTTTATTTAATAATTTTATGAAGACAGTGTAATACTGGCGACTAAATGGCGATTCAGTCCTTTGAATGTCAATGACCTTCATCCATTTCTTAATGCAGCAGTGACTACTTTCATGCGACCGGTAAAAAATTCATGCTTCTGGTATTGAAATCAGTTTCATGCGTCTGGTATATTTTCTTGTTTGAATTGGGCGATACATCTTTTTAGTTTTTATGCCAATTCTATAAATTAGATGATGCACATGTTTATTTTGTGGGGCGGTGGAATCGTGCAGGTAACAGTAACTTTGGGCTGATGTAAAACACTCTTGGCTACGCCTCTTGTATTTACACCATGCCCAAAGTTCCCTTGTGTATATAACACCTTCCGACCCACTCATACTTGCGCATCATTTGTATACGGTTCTAGGACAATAACCCCATGGGCAATCTACTCCCGGCCAATTACCAGCAGGCCAATTACCCCCAAGGAAAAAAGCCCCCGGGAAAATTATCTCCCGAGGACCACCATCCCTGGGGGATGATTACCCCACCCCCCCCCCCCCTTGTGAAAAATTATCACAAATGTGCTTTTACCCTCTACTTTTTTTTTTTTTTTTTTTTTTTTTGGGGGGGGGGTGGTAATCTTCTTAGGGGGTATTTTCAGGGGTGGGTGGTTATTCTCCTCGGGGGGGGGGGGGGTAATTTTCCAGGGAGTGATTGTCCAGGGGGTAATTGTCCTGATACATTTTTATACCGCTGGATGGCTTTAAATCACCATTATCATTTGTTGGTACACTGTCTCTGCAGGTACGTATTTGGCAAGCCTGTGATTGGCCGCTATACCTTCAAGTATGGCGTCGTGGATAATGGGACTGTTCAAGAGCTGGGAACTAAGCAAGGGCTGGTAAGTGTGGATTGAGATGTCCGTCCCGCTTTCTCGTTATCACGATATCTCAAGAACCACTTGAGATGTGAACTTCAAACTTATCGGTTGTATGTATCACCATAGGAAGACAAGATTTTGGAGTAACTACCTCAAAGTTAAAGGTCACAGAGGCCAATTTATGAAATTCTAGATATCAGCCTTGTTATCACAAAGTTAAGATCTTCTTGAGGTATTAGTTTCAAACTTAGTGTAAGTATTACCATAGGAAGATGATAAAATCACAGTTTGGGGATAGCTGTTGGTTGATGTTAAGTACAGGTATATGTTTTTTGTTTTCATCGTGGAAAGTCACCAATAATTTCATCCATTTCCTATACCGTGCGTCCCCCCATAAAAACTATACACTGTTGAAATGGCTGCCGCATTAAAAATACATGATTCTGGGGGGAAAGTTTTATATGTATGGAAAGCTCATAAACTCAACTTTCATACGACACCAAAAAGTCGAAAATAATTCATGCTTGGGCGAGCACTGCTCACTTTTGTAAAGGGTATGAAAATTAGGTTGCGCAGGAATTAGCTTCCATTTTGTGAGAGGTAAATCCTTTGTAGCTTACAAAATTGAGGGTGATATGATACATTCATGATTTGCTGAGTGAATTTCATGGTTTATTAAACCAAACTTGTATGCATCATAAGTGAACAGGAATTGAATTTTTTATTGTAGCATTGTAACTTTTCCTGGTAGACTCAATGGTGTGTTCATGGGAGTCACGATGGGATGATGGTACTTGTTGTAATTTCCATGTTACAAACTGTTATTTTTTACTTCTTTGACTTTGAATAAAAATCTTCACCCCACATTTCAGTTACCATTTACCTGAAGAATAAGTAGCCGACATCTTGGACATTCCCTTTTTCAACAAACCGTATATGAATATTCAATTTATATAATCCCTACTTGGGTATTGAGTAAATCAATGAGATGTTCAACTAATCTTACAATAATTGAAATATGGGGTGAAGGTTTTTATTCAAAGTCACAGATGTAAAAAATAACAGTTTGTAACATGGAAAGTACAACATGTACCATCACCCCATCCTGACTCCCATGAAAACACCACTGAGTCTAACAGGAAAAGTTACAATGCTACAATAAAAAATGCAATTCATGTTCACTCATGCACAAAAGTTTGGTTTAATAAACCATGAAATTCACTCAGCAAATTATGAATGTATCATATCAGCCTCAATTTTGTAAGCTCCAAAGGATTTACCTCTCACAAATTGGAAGGCTAATTCCTGCACAACCTAATTTGCATACCCTTTACAAAAGTGAGCAGTGCTCACCCGAGCATGAATTATTTTCGGGCTTTTTAGTGTCATATGAAAGTTGAGTTTATGAGCTTTCCATACATATAAAACTTTCCCCCAAGAATCATATATTGTTTATTTGGCAGCCATTTCAACAGTGTATAGTTTTTTTGGGACGCACTTTACTGAATTTAGGGCGGAAGCATAGAAGATGCAGTCCCATGTGTCTTGTTTGTTGTGGGTCAGTTTCACACCATAGTGATCTCCTCAGTGTTCTCTTGTTACTTCTATCACAAGGTTAATGATCTACAAGGGGGAGAAGGGAGAGAGCCTTGTGATAGCAGTGGTGGATCCAGGATTTTCACATCAGGGGGGTGTTTCACAAAGATCCCAAGTCAAACTTAACTCTAAGTTGGACTTAAATATTATGGAGAGCCATTTGTAGCCTTAAAATTAAATATATATAAAAGCAAAAATTCAAGTATTTTAGACTTTTCAAAAATTTCACATCAAGAACATGTAATCTCCTTGATAATAAAAAAATATGAATGATTTGAATCAACATTCTATGCCTTTTAAAATAACTTTTACAAAAAAAATTCAAAGATGCTAACGGCTTTCCATAATTGTTAAGTCCAACTTAGAGATAAGTTCAACTTAGGATCTTTGTGAAACACCCCCCAGGAGTGGGGGTGGGCAAAGTCCAACAAATTTTAGACAAGCAAAAAATCTATCTATACATGTAGCATTAAAATGAATGATACAACAAATTTGACTTTTGTTAGTGCATCAAGTCGCCTCTCAGGTCATGTCTGGTCAATGGGCCTCTTTTTAAGAACCGTTCCATCTGATATGACCAATATCATCACATTCTATTAATAATAATATTAATAAAAAAATATTGGATATTTATATAGCGCACATATCCAACCTACAGGGTGCTCAAAACGCTCCAATATTACCCCGGCTCTGCTAAGCTACTGATGCCGGTGCTCACAGCATTCAAGGAATTACTTCCTACCGGTCCCCATTTACTTCACCTGGGTGGAGTGTGGCAAATGTATATCAATAATAACATAATAATAGGCATTTCTATAGCGCCGTTTATCTAGAAATTCTATTTGATGTGCCATTACAGCGCTCCAGCATTTCAAGGAATTAATTCCTGCCAGGTACCCATTCACCTGGGTTGAGTGTGGCAAAGAAGATTAATGCCTTGCCAAAGGACATAAATGCTGTGTCAGGGATCGAACCACGACCTTTGAATTTCAAGTCAAGCTGCTTAAACCACTCGACTACAACACTTTTATTCATTTTTCTATCAGCTTGGTGATAGTGGAAGGGCTGAAGTTACTTTGGATGATCTCAGTACTGATTTTGGTGAAGACTGGTTTGTTCGGTTCAGAGGTCGCCACTTCCATGCAAATGCAATTGTACATGAATCAGCGACTCAGTTCAGCGAAGCAAGCATCAACACGAAGGCAATCTTCGTTGACTCACCATACAAATTCAGTACAAAGCGAACTGTGCAGCACTTCAAGGCTGGACTCAATCTGCAAGTAAAGGTGAGATAAGAAGAAACTCACTAAAGATTAAAATCCATTGTTCTGTATTCTATTACTTCGGTTCAACCTTTTGCTGGGTCTCAGATCACAATACATTAGGTAAAACTGAGACCTCAGTCTAACTTCCTTTGTTTAAATTTTAGCAGAATAATAATAATAACATTATTGAATATTTGTATAGTGTACATATAATATATCCACCACCAAAGGTGCTCAATGCGCTCCAATATTTCTCTGGCTCTACTAGGCTACCAATTTCAGTGCTCACAGCATTCAAGGAATTCCTTTCTACCCGCACCCATTTCACACCTGGGTAGAGAGTGACAAATGTAGATTAATGTCTTGCCAAAGGACATTAGAATACAGGAGGTCGTTTCACAAAACCAACTCCATGACATTCATATCTTTGTCCGCAACCTAGAGATGTCAGGAAGCGGACAACCCATTTCACAAAAAGATGATAAGGGACAAATTCACGATTTCGATACTATCGTCTAAAAAACAAATCTTCATTATGATCCATCATTTTTTTTCCTTAATTACCAAAAGAGGTTACAAGGCTTAATTTCACTCAAACTGTTCACAAGTAGATTATGTTTATTTCTATTTAATTTCTATTTACATTATTTCTTTAAAAAGAAATAATGAAAACAATATAATTTAGTACTCACAGTTTTGACATTTATTCATCAAATAATTATGTGATTGGATTTTAAGCTTGAAAAGGGAAAATATCTAGAGAAATACTTACAAGAGAATTGTTGTCATTTTCATGGGTCTGTAATTACAGACTGTTCCATCTTTGACCACTTTACTATGGTAGAATGATGTAGGCTTTAATATGGACTAATAACATTTATCTTGTTTACTCTTGAAGGCATTAAGAAGTTATAAGAACAAGTTGTGTGCTTGTATGCTTTTATATTAACACCTAAGAACTGTTCAGTGAATTGAGAGCTGTAAGATAAAGAAAAAAGTCTTTAAATAAATTGCAGTTTTCATTTTTTTGTTGCCCATAGACTTAGTCGTGACAAGTCTATTGTCAGGGAAGTTGTTGCTTGTCTTGGCAAACGCTCAGCAGACAAGGCGAGCGACAGTGGCGAGATGTTGTTGATCTTGTAGCTATGGCGATTTCGTGAAATGACCCCCAGGCCTTAAATATGTGCCACTTACAGTAGATGTTATTCATGTGCAACACTGTTTTTCTCAGGAGATAATTTTTGCCACAGGATTGTAGATTTGAGATTACTTTAACATTTGTAGTATTTTCAAGTGATAAAAGTATTGATATGTATGCAGTTACGGCTAGAAATACATGTAGGTTATCCTCCAATAATCAGGGTATTTTGTGCCTATTTGGAAAAGTTGTATATTTCACCAACTATCCAGTACATTCTTCCTGATTATATTGATAACAACTTAAATTGATTCACTTTTCCATATTAATTATACAGCCTTTTAATTACCTGCTGTTTTGCAACTAACGTCAAATAAAAAAAATGTGCTGACTTTTTCTGGTATGTTTTATTGAATCAAAACAGAATCACAATATTAACATATCATTGGAGAGTCATTAAAAATCTAGAGTATCTTGTGCTGACTTTCAACCTTTTCATATCATCTTGTTATGAATATGCAAATATATCTATGAATATTCATGTTTTCGGCGATGAATGGAAGAAATATTGATTTAGAGTTAATCAATCGTCTGGTTTTCGTTCGCTCTGTTTGAGCTATCTTGGTTGAATTGTTAGAAAGGGAAGTAGATGATTAAATATAGATTTTGAAGCACCCAACCTAAAAGATTGGGGGCCTTTTGGGGGAATCGAACCGAGGACCTTTCGTATACAATAAACAATACAGTTATACAATAAACTATTTATCCTTTCTTCGCAGCTGGATTTAACATTTGCAAATGGAGATGTGGCCCCCAATGTTCCTGTAAATGTCATAGCAACTGCCACATTAGGAGATGGTTCTGAGGAGCTACTACGGAGACCTGATATAGCTGGTGGTCAAGAGGAGATATCCAACACTGATGATCAAGGAGGAGTCAGTATGGTTCTTAACGTCCAATCAAGTATAACGAGCATTCACATTGTGGTAAGAAGACAAAGAAATGAACACTTTCAGAACAGGACCCTTTGTTTAAGGGCTAAATCTATCACATGTTGTTCTTCATATCGGCAACAAGAATTTTTGTCTCTCATTGCTACATTTTTCTCAAATGTAATTGGTATACGTTATCGATAAGATAAAAAATGACCAGTTTTCATTAAAAAACAATGATTTCAAACCTTTGAATGTGTTCTCAAGTTACAGATTTTAAAGCTCTTCTTTTTTTTCCTTTTTAAAATTTCTGCCATCAAATGGTATGTGGTCATGAAATTAAAATGAACATAATGTGTGCAGAAATGCTTGCTCTTTTTAATCACGCATCTTTTTATATTTAAAGGTTCTGAATAAAAAGTTATTGAGTAAACCACAAATGTTTTTCAAGCTTTTTCAACAGTTGTTAACCTAGGCATGATACTTCAGAAAGTTGATGACTATACAGTGCGTCCCAGAAGAAACTAAACCAAGAATTATTGTTGTTTTATATCATAACTTCAATCACAATAGAATTAATAAATGACACATATTTGTAAAGCGTAGATCCTCCTCTTTCATTTGATGCAACTCATATGATGCATATTTCAGGCATAAGTGATATAAAAAAAATTGAAGAAAGGGTACAAAAAATTCATTTGGCAAACAGTATTTGAATTTCAAAGGGAAAATCACATTTCTAGAAAGTTCATTTTCTGCCCTTTTATATGACACCTCAATCAGGAAAATGAGCCAGGAATAACTAAGTTCTGTTTGTTTAAAGTAATGCTTGCATTTCCATAATTTTATTTAACAAATTCATTCCATTGGCTGTCTGCCCTTACAACAAAGAAGACAAAAGACTTCATGCATGGCTGATCGCCAACGAAACAGAGTTTGTTGTTTGTTGCTACGGCAGGCAGCCAGTGAAAACAAATTTGGTTGATAAAATCATTTAATGTAAAGAAGACTTACATTTGTTTGAATGGGATACCTGCCCCTGCAGGGGAGTTTGGAGCAGCACCCCTAAATTACCCTGATGCTCCAATAAATCCTATGTTCCTGGTGCACAGGGGAGGGAGGTAGGTCCCTTATTGCAAGGCCCCTTCTATCATTGGCTCAGGTGAGCGTAAGGTCCGCTGGCCTCTAGTTTATTAGTCCAATGACTGTCATATCTTCATCAACCAAGTACATATAACTTCAGTCAGTAATTTGCAAGTTCATTTTTGTATTTATTAGTGTCTTTATGATGCCTGATATTGTTCTTTAAAGGTAAAGACCAGTATTGGAAATGCCCCAATTTCAAAAAATGAAATGGAAGCTCTTATTACCAATCATGTGAAAGAATATATTTTGACTAATACATGATGATAAAAAATTTGCAGGGAAACCGCCTACTAATTGATATATTTGGTAAATTAGTTTATCTATTGGTATGTGAGAGATAAACGCACGCGTTGCGCAAGTGTGCGTAGTCCCATACCGGTATACATCTTTCTGTGTACAGTGCTTGTAACTCTACGAAGACTGGGCCAAATTTCTTATCATTTTGATGATTCCAGAACCTTGCAGTACACACCAATACAAAATATATACTAGATGATCAACCTTTTCTGATCGATTCCACAACGTTTCTTTCACAATGCAATTGCATGACCATAACTGGTCTTTATCTTTAAAACCAACATCAACAAAAAAAAACGTCAGCCGAGTAATGTCAAAGCTTTCCATTGGCGTCCCTCCTAACCTATTAAGCACTTAGTTCTCTCATTCCTATAACAGCTTTACACTGTACATGGACTACCCAGTTCCCATAGGCAGACAGTTGATATTGTTATGCTCTTTTATTTATAATCTTCTATTTTCATTCTGCAAATTTTTAACTCATTTTCAATGAATATTTGTAGAAACCAAGGGATTTGGTCATGGAAGTAAATAATATTTTATACATGTGTCATTTCTCAGGCAGCAACTCATGATCCGCAATATCCAAACAACCAAGCTGATATCTCCTTTGAAGTAAGTCCAGGAGTCTCGGCCAACGGTCGTGATTACTTAGTCATCAGACCTCAGAACACAGATGATCGTAACCTGAATGTAAGTCAGAATATTTTTTTTACCGGGTCTCATGCACCCACTCTGTGCTTCTAAACTTTGAATTTAAATGTGTTTATCGTAAATAAGCTTCAAAGGGATTCTCACTTACTCAATACTTAGTCTGTTTTATAGGGGAACCAATAGCAGAAAAAGTAGACCTGTGCAGATTAACCAATACCCAATTCTTTCTCATTATAAGAGATGGCGTGATCAGCAAGTTATGAGAGCTGAATATCAACCCTTTTACTCAGTTTTTGGCTAAGATAAAATACTTAGCCAAAATCTTGAACTGTTGGCTAAGTATTTTATCTTAGCCAAGAACTGAGTAAAATACTCACATTCCTGACACCTAACAGAAATTTGATTACATCCCTTAATTACCCTAAGTTGAACAGAAAACCCAATTGCAAACTCAGCACTAACTGTATACATGTATGTTTGTTCATCCTTGATGAAATATGAAATATTTTGCTCAAATTTTATACAGACTGATAAAAACAAATTTCATAACAGAAAATTTAAGAAGAGTATGACATGAACAGTATGACATGGTATTAAAGGACTAAACACTTCCAGTATGGTTGTAACTCTTTGTAACTCTTACCCTAACTTAAACCTTACCTAATACCGAATTGCAGCCCCTATCCTCAACTTAAGAGCAAATGTAGGATCAGCTAATTTTCACCTGTCTTTTGTTCACTTTGTAGGTTGATGTGAGCACTGATTTCTTGATTCAGAGGATTGGAACAACAGGAGATCAAGACATAGATCTCCACTTTCTTGTAAGTTTATTAAGTGCATGCACTTACATTCTACACGTATGGTTGATATACTACTTTTAAACTGCAGTTAGGTCACAACTGTTACACGGCTATGGCCATACTGTTTTTTTTATAAAATACTACTATTCACGTTTTTGTGTCCTACAAAACACAGATACATGTAGTGGGTACATTTAAAAAATTCAATCAGCCACTATTTACCAAGCATGTCACTGAGACTTTATTGTTACTCAACTTAATTTCAAAGTCCGCCTCAAACAGTGCAATTTCGTGTTAAAAACCCTGATAGTCTTCCAAAGTAAGAACATGTATTGACCAACCTCAGGTAGGGTGGTTCTGTATAAGTAGTGTTTTTGCGGAGGGGGGGGGGGGGGTATTTTTTCGCAAATCTCGCAAATCACTCTCTGATTGCAAATTAAATAACATGTGAAAAAAATACAAAGTAATGTCACATGCCAAATTCACCAGCACTGTTGCATGTCGCACATGGTGTCTACACACTACAGCATGACTCCTCACGACGGATAGTCAACCTGTTTGAAACGTCGACCCACTTCTACCACCCATCCTCTCCTACTGGCGCTATAGTTCCCCTTAGAAGCTAAGAAAGATAACCAACAGTCTTATTCAGGACTACACACACTCAAGTAAACTTTGAAGGTTTGTTTGTAGTGCATTACAGGTGGCAAGGTTGTTCTGGAGGGAGTTCAGAGAAGCATAAGTGCAGCTGGCACAAACCTGGCCATAACAATCAGAGCATACATGGCTCCACAAATGCGACTGATCGTCTACTATGTCACCATGGATGGCAGCGTTATTGCCGACTCTCTCCTTTTAGGTGTGGAAGAAAAGTGCAGACAAGACCCACAGGTAAGATTGCTATTAATAAAAGTTGCATAAAGAACTCAAGGAAAGTTTAACTGTGATTGCTAAATCTAGAGCCAATTATGTAAAATGTTTTGCAAACAGTTTATTGTCACATTGTTTCAAACCGTCCCTTTGAATCCGGGCCTACCAGGGAGAGTGCCTTATAAAGTAATTATTAAAATTTTTTTTTTTTCATGTTTCAATAAATCATGATAAATTCATAGTTTAATTGTAATTGATGACTCTAGAGCTAATTTTTAGCATTTTTTTGTCTTTCATTTGGCAAGTATTCAGAAAACTCTTTCTGTTTCAGTTTTTCAAACTAACCCCTTTTTTGATAAGCTGCAGGCCTACCAATGAGAGAGCCCTAACACAAAACAAAACAAAATAAAACAAAACAAACCAATGCAAAGTGAATAAAACCATATCCTTGTTTAGATAAGTCATGAAAAATTTCAAGTTTAACTGTGATTGATAATTCTAGAGCCAAGAGTGTAAACTGTAGTTGTAGAAATACAAAATGATTTTACCTGTTGACATAACGATGTACATGTACGTACTGTAGCTTCAAGTACGTAATATAAGGAACAGATATCATATGTACATGTGCTGTACATTGGGAGTTCATTGTATGTATCAAAAAGATAATATGATTGTTTCCATTGCCAAAACTTTATTAACAGATCTATTGATCAGGTACACAAATAATGATGATTATAATAATAATGATAAAAGTGGGTTCTTATTTCACTCATGTCTGGCATACTTGACACTCCTGATGCTCCACTATTGACCCCGGCTTAATAGCATGATGGCTATACTATTATGATTCTCTAGCCTTTTAAGGAATGAATTTCTGCCAGGTACCCATTACCTCACCTGGGTCGAGTATGGCATATGTAGATTGATGTCATGCCAAAGGACATCACTGCTGTGGCAGGGATTCGAACCGGTACCCTGTGGTTTACAGTCTGGAGACTTATCCACTACACAACAACACCTCTACTTTAATCATGAAATAAGTGGTTGTAAAAATGAATACAAAAGTCAAATCAAGCCATCTTGGTTTTCTTTTGAATAAACATTTACAGCTTTCTCTGGACATTCTTCCAAGGAATGTAGGACCTGAACGTGACGTTTATGAACCCAATGGGCAGATACAGGTGGAAGTTACTGCACCTATCGACTCCAATGTTGGCCTTCTAGCTGTTGATAAAGCTGTCTACCTGCTTAGAGACAAGGACCGCATGGGCAAACAAAAGGTCAGTCTAGATTAATATCCTTTCCCAAACTGATTTATAGCTTGAATGTATGAAGACATACATGTCAGAGACCAGTGCAGTACATGAAGCCGAGAAACCAAACCAGGCTCAAACTAGCCAGACTGAAGCTACCGGTATTTAGATTAACCAGATTAGAGCATAAATCAGTTCAAATCAGTAACGCAGGTGGACAAGAGTTTGAAAAAAACTAATTTTTACACACAGAAAGTGCACTTATCCACTACGGTAAGTTCTATGCATGTCTTCCATATATGTGAGCAATAGAGTTTGTGAGAAGTTGGAACAATACATCAACACTTTGATGTTGGTTTTCAGGGTTCTTGCTAATATTTCTGGGATGAAGTAACTTGTGATTTATAGGGGATGACAACCTGTGCACCAGGGGGAGTGTCCAGAGGCACAGCCCCAGCTGTTGCACGATCTGATAAGGTAAAATCTGCCATTCTGGAGACCTGTGTGTGTACTCCTGAAATTAACTTCTCAAATAAAAAGCATCAAGAAAAACAAGACAACAAAAATGATAACTGCTGATAAAACTTGTTTTCAAGATTCATTTTCTGTATCTGAGGACTCATGCAATGAAGATCTACAACTGTAATTCCTTGTGCTCTTTTTGAGCCTCTGCTCTAATTTTAATTTTTTTTGAGCTTTCATATAATTTCAATGAATGACAAGAACAATCACATGTACCTGTCCTTTAGCCATGTATGATTCTCAGTGGCAGATATTGCCCTGCCTCTATAAAGCTACGCACAAATATATTTCTTTGCATTTAATGCGGCACATCAATGGCGCATTATTTTTAATTGACAATGTTCCCAAAACTGAAGTTGCGCCATTCACACCAATGAACCGCCACGCCTTCAGGATTTATTATCATGAATGATACATGAATATCTCTTGGAGTTACAGGGGCATTAACTCCAATGCTGGGAGCTAATGCCTTTCTGGCTTTGAACAAAAGGTTTGATCGTTTTAAATGTACTTGTAAGTAGTGCTGTAGCCGAACCGCCAAACCGAACGGAAGTTCGCCGAACATGGCACTTCCGAACCGAACCGAACCAAACCGAACGCAAAGGCCTGGTTTGGATGTTCGGCAGAAAAATGTAAACGTTTTTGCAAGCTAATAAACTGTCATTTTGTACCTAATTTTCATGTCATGATTGCTCATTTTCTATTTACTTTTTTCCCATTTTCCGCCTTTGTGATTCATGCCTATCCAGTGGTGGGCGCAACTTCACTGGCACCATTTAAATCCCAAATCCTGACCACGCTACGTCGCGATTGCAAGCCATAAACAAGACCATGTGCGTGATCAAAACAGGCTCAGCTCAAACCCATTCAACAAAAAATTTATATTTTTAGGTGGTCTGTTGTTTCGACAGATCACCTATTGTTTTTGTTCAAATTTTCTTTCTTATTATTATTATTTCTTTATTTTTATTTATTGTACCCTCTTTTTTGTTTACAGGATAACTCAAGATCGGTTAAGTCAATTTCGTTCAATTTTGGCGCAGTTATAGGTCATTGTCATAAGACGTGACAGTAACATTTTCAAGGTCATCAAATCTTCATGACGTCATCCAGGCGCCATTTTGTGTTTTTTTTGGTACTTTTTACTCATGATCATATTTTCATAACGGAAAAGCATTTCTTATTCATATTTATCACGATTAAGGTCAATATCCGTCCGGTCAATTTCAGGTCAAAAAACGCGCGCGCATGCGTACGTCCGCGCGTTAGCGGGCGCGCAAAATTTCAAAATGCTCAAAATCATATCAAATTAATTTTGCATACTGTACGTTTCAGGCCATTTTAAGCATTTTGCAAAAAAAACGCGCACACGCGCATGCGCACGCATTTTCGCGCGTACTGGTATTTTCCAACATAAAATCGCCAATTTTTCTCTGTCATCATATTTGGCACATTTTTTCAAGCATTTTTATATCTTGTTCACCTGTTTCTGACCATTAACCCGTTCCTTCCGAAATTATTTAGCCTGATAGCCACCCCACAAACGAGATTAAAAAAAAAGGGGGGAGGTGAAAGGAGAGCCAAAATAGCATACTAACAAATACAGTACAGACTATATAACGATGCGCCCAACTTTCTCTCTCTCTCTCTCTCTCACTCTATAAAAACCGTTCATTATACTTTATCTCTCTCATACTGTTTTCTGTTCCGCGATTTCCGAAAGCACGTTTCGACATATAAATAAGAATTGTTAAAAGTAAGAGTTTGGATATAAAAACATCTCTTATGCAAAAAATAATATGACACAATCTTTTTTGACAGAACTAATATACGTCGGACGAAGGAAATAACTCCTTGGTCGGACATTATACTTTAGCGAATGGTGTTTAATTTTTTTAATTTTGTTTTAAAGAACTAAAGAAACATTCTGAATGGGGGGGGGGGGGTTGATCAGATAGACAACTAGTATAATAATAAATACAGTACAGACTACGTCCAACGTTCTATCTCTCTCTCTCTATCTGTCAATGTTGTTCCGCCATTTGCTTGTATGCCGGCATCATTCCTTCTTTGAGATAAATTATGATAACATATCCATGATGATGAAAACATACATCTTAAATACTAGGGAAAAAAATAGAGAGCGAGCGGCTGATAATGTCAAAATGAATATCACTGTACACAAATTATAGAAAGTAAAAGTTTTGATTTTGAATATAAATCTCTGTTGCATCAAAATAAAATGAAACGTTCATTATATCGACGGAAATAATATACATCGGACATTATACTTTACCACAAAAGGGTCATCTAGAAGTAGGTGGATAACATTATAAGAGAAAGAAGAGAAAGAATGAAACTTTCTCTTTCAAAAACAGAAGAATAATGGAGAGGGAGACAAGGACACATACACAATAAATAAATATAAACAAGATAGGATTCTAGAGCGGAAGATGATATAGGGGAAACGAAATAGTTCTGAAGTATTGCCTAGAGAGCAAAAAAATTATTCTGTTTTATTTACTAATGTAAAGCGCTTTGATCATGTTTTATGTAAAGGCGCTATATAATATCAATATGTATGAATATATTGGCAAATTTTGACAATTATAGTTTGTAAGTATGAATTGACAAAGTACGTACAAATACAAATGACACAGAAATGTCTGCAAGTATTTGGGACCTATATAGAATATGTGAAAAGAGCTATATCTTTGTCTTTGGCCCATGATCCCACAACTTAGTTACGTAAGAGGAACAAAGAACGTTGACGGATGTAAAGGTTGTTGTCATGGTTATAAACCCCAACAATAGAAGAGCGGAAGTAAGGTAAGGGTATAATTGAATGGCAATGACCTGGCTTACAGCACTGATGATCCTACATGTATAACCATGTTTTTTTTTGTGTGTGTTTTTTGGGGAGTGGGGTCTTGTTGTTTTTGCAATCATTCAAAGATAATATCAATCATACAAGATAAAGGAATGAACAAGAATATATGATATGCTAAAATGTAACAGACAAAAAGATCATGATGAGAAATGATTGTTTCTATCTCTTTTTTTCTCTTTTTCACTCTCTTTATGTGTGTCTCTCTCTCTCTCTCTCTCTTTCCTCTCTCTATCTATCTCTCTCTCTCTCAAACTCTCCACTTTCTCCCTCTCTCTCCGTCTGTCTCTCTGTCTATCTGCCAATGTTGTTCCGCCATTTGCTTGTATGCCGGCACCATTCCTTCTTTGAGATTAATTATTATAACATAAAATTATCCCTGATGATGTACATTATTATACCTTATATTTATTATAGGGAGCAAAAAAGAAAACGAGCGGCTGATAATGTCAAAATGAGAAGAATATTACTGTACAATATTTATACAAAATAAAAACTTTGAATGTAAATCTCTGTTGCATCAAACTGATATAAACAAATTGTTATTATGCTATATTGACGGTACTATTATCTGTCGGACATTGTGCTCTAGCCAAAAGATATAAACAAACAAAAAAAGAGAAACACTAAAGAAAAAATCTGAGGTTTGTGGGGGGGGGGGGGGGGGTAGTCGGTGAGAAAAATATCATAATAATAAATACAGAACAGACTACGTCAAACTTTCTATCTATTCTGCCCCCGTCCACCCTCCTCTCTCTCTCTCTCTCTCCCTCTCGCTGTCTCTCTCTCTCTCTCTCCCTCTCGCTGTCTCTCTCTCTCTCTCTCTCTCTCTCTCTCTATCTCTCTTTCTACGTTGTTTTCCATCTTCATCTTTCATGATGTTGTCTACTATTCCGCCATTTACTTGCATGCCGGCATCATCCTTTCCTTTAGATTAATTATTATAACATATCCCTGATGTTATACGTCAGACAATATACTTTAGCGAAAAGAAATAATCAAACAAAAAAAAGAAACGTACACAAAAGAAAAACAATCAGAGTTGGGGGGGGGGGATCGGAGATAACTTTCTATCTCCCCCTCTTTCTCAAATATTTTATATCTCCTCTCACATATACCTTAGTATAGGGAACGCTATAGAGAGTGAGCGGCTGATAAAGTCGAAATGAGAAGAATATTACTGTCCAATACTTATAAAAGTAAAGCTTTTGAATGTAAATCTATGTTACATCAAACTGCTATACAAAAATGTTTATTATGCTATATTGACGTTACTATACGTCAGACATCACACTTTAGCCAGGAAATATAAACAAACAAAAAGAGAGACAAACTAAATAATAAATCTGAGCTTTGAGGGGGGGGGGGTCGGTGATACAAAATGTCATAATGATAAATCCAGCATACACCTGATCAAAACTCGTTTTCGGAGACTAAATCGAGTACAACCTCGCGATCTTGCTTTAGACTTATAATACTGCTTGTTGTTGTTGACAATAGAGAGCTGACCTTTGGATTTTCCTTTCATGTGTAGTGAAGTGCATTGTTCCGCGAGTGCCGCGTGCCGTTATAGGCTTTGGCTTTGCGCTGCTCCCAATTGAAATACCAGCAGTATTGGTATTCTGTGCATGGAAGGTCTCAGCGAAAGTCAATATCTGTGGGACAGACATCGCGGAGCTCCAATACGCTGCTGTACGAATTTCATGTGAGAGAAAACTTGACATGCTAATGAAAAAGTACAAATATAATGAGTAATATTAAAGTAAACAAAACAGGAGTAATGGATAATGATAGCATATACTTTGGATAAACCCTCACATCCACTAGTTTAGTGAATTAATGGCAGGGAAAGGCAATTTTAGGCTTGTAAAGACGTCGTCTACCTGCCTATTATGGGAACCTGGTATACCAGGTTCCCGTCTGTGAGTGGGCTCCACGGGAGCCTGGTATACCAGGTTCCCGGAAGGAACGGGTTAATAACGGAATGACCGTCCGTTTAAGATAATTTCCGTGCGTGCAAGCTCTTGTAATACATAGCATACATGGGCAAAAACATGCCTATACAAAATCCCTTGTAGCGCTTTAGGATGAAAGGTGAACCCAATTTTGTTCTCCATATTTTGATAGAGTATGAATTGGAGATATAATTTCATGTCTCATTTGACCCTCAATTAACTCATGACATCATCATAATGGCCTCCCAACTCAAAATTTCAATTTGCATATTATGACGTCAGCATATTTCTGGAAAATTGACTGTATATCTGTAAATATTGATCGATTTTCTTCCAAATTTTGATATGATCTAGCTTAGACAATTCTCTACAAATGCAGTCACCACAATATTTCATTTTTGCGATTAAAGGTGGCATGTCAATTTTTCACATTGTGGGTGTATTCTCTATGGGACATGACTTTTTCTCAAAACTGGATCTACATCCTGTCTTTCGCGAGCAATATCTCCGTCGTTTTAGCTTTTTTTTCGCTGAGCTTTGAGTATGTTGTAGCTGAGACAATAAGCTATCACAAGTGTGCCCTTTATTTTTCAATCAGATGCCGGGATCATGCTCATATTTCATTTACAAAGTGGGATTTGAGAATTTTATTTTTCGTTTACGTGTAATCTCTATGGGAAATGTATTGGTATATCGGTAACGCACTTGACTTCCGACCTCGAGGTCCCTGGTTCGAGTCCGGGCGTCTCCAACAATTTTTTTTTCTTCACTTTTTTGTTGTTGACCTTTCACTGTACCATCTCCTTTGAATATTTAAACACGTAGAATTGCAAATAATGTAATAAACAACCATATTTACTTTATTATTACCCTATTATCACTTGATCCATTACTTTTTTGCGTGTTATCCTTATGGGAGATGACTTTTTCTCAAATCTGGATTCTACATTCCTGTCTTTTGCGATTAATATCGCCGTTATTTCCGCTTGTTTTTTGATGATTTTGGAGTATGTTGTAGCTGAGACTATATGCTATCTAAATGTCCCTCATTTTTTTCAATCAGATGTCATCATGGTCTGTTGATGATCATCAGCATCATCATGATCATGATCATGATCATTATCATCATCACCATTACTATCACGATCATCATCATCATGATCATCATCATGATCATCATTGTTTACATGTCTATATCACTTCTCCCTTTTTCTATATAGTAAATATTCAAATCTGTTGAATATCTATTGGGTATTGAACACAGACCACCTAATTCGTCCCCATGACGAATTAAATTTCTAGTAATTGTAACCATATCGGACAAATTTTACAATATAAATAGATCTAATGAAATAAATATATATTATAGTATGGTATTTATTGATTCAGGAAAAATAGTGATTTTATATTTTTCCAATTGAAAATAAAAACTTATAAAAAACAGTTATTGACGAGCCTATTCAAGTTGGCAGCTTTCATGACTCTAACATTAGACAAAAACTGTCTCGGAAAATCTTTAAAAAATATCATTAATCGACAAATTGAAAATATGATTCTTTTAAAATTGAAAATAAAACACGATTCAAGATGGAAATACGAATGTAAGTAGTATTCTTCTTCACAAATAATTACGTTTAGAGCAGTTTTTTAATGTGAAATTCGTGCTGGTCGGAAGCAGTGTGCAGAAGTCCTCCGTGCTGGTCGGGCCCGGCAGGGCGGGCGGTCCGCCCATTGCCGACCGCCGAGGCTATAACGCTGCTTGCTATTATATTACCGAACCCCGAACCGAACCAAGTTCGGGTGAAAAATTGCCGAACTCTGCCGATCCGAACTGAACACGAACATAGCGTCTGACTTACAGCACTACTTGTAAGTCAAGTATGGCAAACAATCTATCTTTGGAATATATACATTACAAATCTTCTAGAGCTCTGTTGAATGTATGCCAGCTAATGTTACCATATATATATACAGTATGGAATGCTTAAAGTACAGGTGCCATTTATACACAATAATAATTTTCAGCTTTGCATGCCAAATACTTGTACAGTTTATACAGTGCGTCCCAGAAAAAGCGAAACCGAGAATTATTGTTGTTTTATCATAACTTAATCACAAATATTATTGATGAATGACACATATTTGGAAAGCTTAGATCCTCCTCTTTCATTTGATGCAACTCATATAATGCATTTTTTCACGCATTAATTTTAAGAGAGGAAACCAAAAAGTCATTTGGCGGACGGTATCTGAATTTTAGAGAGAAAATCAAATTTCTAGAAAGTTGAGTATCTGCCCCTTCATATGACACCTCAATCAAGAAAAATGAGTAAGGAATGACAAAGTTTTGTTTGTTTAAAGTAGTGCTTGCATTTCCATAATTTTATCAAACAAATTCGTTTTCACTGGCTGCCTGCCGAAGCAACAAGCAGAATTGACAAAAGACTTAACTCCGTTTCGTTGACAATCAGCCATGCATGAAGTCTTTCATCTACGGCCGATTGTCAACGAAACAGAGTTAAGTCTTTTGTTAATTCCGTTTGTTGCTAAGGCAGGCAGCCAGTAAAAACGAACTCATTTGATAAAATTATGGAAATACAAGCACTACTTTAATCATACAGAACTTTGTTATTCCTAGCTCATTTTTCGTGATTGAGGTGTCATATGAAAGGGCAGATACTCAACTTTCTAGAAACATGATTTTCTCTTTGAAATTCAGACAGATACCGTCCGCAAACTGACTTTTTGGTTTCCTCTCTTCAATTTCATCGTTATCACTCATGCGTGAAATATGCATTATATGAGTTGCATTAAATGAAAGAGGAGGATCTAAGCTTTCCAAATATGTGTCATTCATCAATTATAGTTGTCATTAAGTTATTATAAAACAACGATAATTCTTGGTTTCGTTTTTTCTGGGACACACTGTATGAAAAATAAATCTTCTATTGACAGATGTATGAACGGATGAGGAGCTATGACACAGGATGTGGACCAGGAGGGGGACAAAACACTGCTCAAATTTTCAAGGTAAGATATATTGTGCGAAAGAAAGCAGTGATGAAGGAGGCAACATGCATCCGTGTTCAAATTGCCCACTTGCCTTTTGCTCTTTCCACAGAATTAAGGTACCAATTAAGGACCATAAAACTCAGGTCTTGAAGTTGAAGTCTAACCCTGTTATTTAGTTGGTTTGGTGTAGGATTGAGCAAAATCCATTTCAAGATAGGAAAATTATGAAGTGCTCTAGTACAATGTAAGTCGGTGATAAGCAGCTTTTATAAGGGATGTACCTGGTATTGAATTTACCTGCAGATTTTGATTTATTTTTTTGTAAACACAGTTTCACTAAAGTTGGATATTCATTTGCAGTCATCAGTGACTGAGCGCTAGAGCTATATATAATATATACTAGACATGCACCTGAACGACTACTAGGCGACTATAATTAAAAAAATGTTTGTGCCATTACGATTCCGTGGGTCTGGACTCCTCGCGAAATTCGCAAAAGTTTCATGCATGTGAAAATTGATGGTTATACAGTGTTGAAATTGACCAAGCTCAGCTTATAAGTACGCCTACAGGGTTGACCTGTGCTTGTGTTGATGCTCATAACAACTAAGGAGTAGATTTGGTGATCAATATATGTCAATATTCACAGGGACATGAAAGTGGAAAATATCAAGCAAAATTCTGGAAAAAAAATTGGATGAGGATTGTTTCGTTGTTATTATGATTGTGTATAAATACAGACTGTTGAAACATTCTCAATTCAACCTTTGATTGCAATGAAATTATAGAGTAAGACAAGCCTGAGATACAACAAGCACACACTTTAGCTATAGGGCAGAAGAAATGGAACCAAGAAGAGATAGGCCAAGTAGATGACTATGATCTATAGCAGTTCATTAGATGACTATAACCCATAGCTGTTCAAAGCTTTTCCTCAACAAATTGAAAACAATCTTTTTTCCCCACTCCTTCAAAGTTTGAAAAATATATATATATTTAGTAAATAAACCAATGTGAAAGAAAGAGAGTTTAACCTCCCCCCAAAAAGATGTTTCAATTAGTTTCAATTAAATTTGCTTTTATTCAGGAATGACACAATCGTACAGCAGTAACGATAGACTCAAAATTATATGTGATTCTGCTCTTTCTTTTCAAATATAATTTTGTAATTCCTAGATTTCTGGATAAAAAAATAATGCAAAAAATGTCACTGAAGGAAGACACTGTGCTGTGGGATAAAAGGGCATTGAAAGTACATGTAGATCACTAGAGATACATGTACAATTATTTAGAGAGAATAGGAAGATAGAGATAGAGATAGAGAGAGAGAGAGAGAGAGAGAGAGGGGGAGGGATATATATATATATATGTAGTGGAGGAGGTGTGAACACTATTTGACATCTATTTACTTGAATGTTTATATTTGTCAATAAAAAAACTATACAAATATTGTGAAATGTTTTTATGCCTCCGCTACAAAGTAGCCGGAGGCATTATGTTTTCTGGTTGTCCGTCCGTCCATCCGTACGTACGTCCGTCCGTCCGTCTGTACGTACGTCCCGTTCTCGTGATCGCGTTATCTCAAGAACCAATTGATGGATTCCCTCCAAACTTTGGTCATGTATGTATCTTACAGAGCCAATGAACTGATTAGATTTTGGGGTCACAAGGTTGAAGGTCAAAGGTCACAGGGCTCATTATGTATGCAAAAATAGCTCGTGATCACATTATCTCAAGTACCGGTCGATAGATTCCTGCCAAACTTGGGTCATGTATGTATCTAACAGAGCCAATGAACTGATTAGATTTTGGGGTCACAAGGTTGAAGGTCAAAGGTCACAGGGCTCATTATATATGCAAAAATAGCTTGTGATCGTGTTATCTCAAGAACCAATTGATGGATTCCCTCCAAACTTGGATCATGTATGTATCGTACAGAGCCAATGAACTGATTAGATTTTGGGGTCACAAGATTGAAGGTCAAAGGTCACAGGGCTCATTATGTATGCAAAAATAGCTACTGATCACTTTATCTCAAGTACCGGTCGATGGATTCCTGCCAAACTTGGGTCATGTATGTATCTAACAGAGCCAATGAACTGATTAGATTTTGGGGTCACAAGGTTGAAGGTCAAAGGTCACAGGGCTCATTATATATGCAAAAATAGCTTGTGATCGCGTTATCTCAAGAACCGGTTGATAGATTTCTACCAAACTCAGGTCATGTATATATCTTACAGAGCCAATGAGCTGATTGGATTTTGGGGTCACAAGGTTGAAGGTCAAAGGTCACAGGGCTCATTATGCAAAAATAGCTGTGATCGCATTATCTCAAGAACCAATCAATGGATTCCTGCCAAACTTTCGTCATGTATGTAATTAACAGAGCCAATGAACTGATTAGATTTTGGGGTCAAAGGTCACAGGGCTCATGATGTATGGCTATAAATAGCTTGTGAGTGCATTATCACTAAAACCGACAGATGGATTACAATCAAACTTTAATTTTTTAAATTGCTCTATGGCGGAGGCATCATTTTCGACTGCGCGCAGTCAAAATTCCATCTAGTTAATTCATTATTTTTGTCATCACTTTAAGGATTGTGGAATGACTGTACTTACCAACGCAGGTCTGGATGTTCCTATTCGTGAAGGTAAGGGGACAAGTGGCATTCTGCTTGATAACTGTGCTGATATCTTTTTAATTGCATGGCTATCTCTGTCTGTTTTGATTTTGAACACTTTGGTTGCCTTCTTTGCCTCTCTGCATGCCTTTTAAACAGCACAGCCCTGTTACAACAGCACACAGCACTAATATCCTTTGGCAAGATATTTGCCTGCACTTGCTACTCTCTACCGAGTTGTTAAATGGGTACCCGGTAGGATACGAAAGTTCATGTGGTTGGATGAGTAAGTGTGCGCTTGTAAAATAGCGACTGGCCAGAATGCTCCCCAGGGAGAGGAGAAAGTGCACACATTTTGTGCGGGTAAGCCTGAATTCGAGGACCGGGGTATAAAAATTTATCTGTAAATTTAAGCGCTTTGACATATTGTTGTATCGATGTATTGGGCACTAAATAAAAGCAGAATATTATTTTATTATTATTATTATTATTATCGCCTTCAAAAGGTATAATATTATTGATACAGGCATGCTTGATATTCCTCTTTAAAATTGTTATCATACTGCAATTTTTATACCTGTTTTATATTTTGTATCAATGATTACAGATGTTGAATGCATGGATGAAGATACAAGAAGGAAGAGATCGATTGACAGGGGTAAGGGATATATTTTTTTAAAGATAAAATTAAGTTCAGTCAAGTGATTGCATTGTAAAAGAAACTGTGTGGAAGCCATTAGGAAAGATTGATTATGTAATAGATGTTCATTTACATAAGAAGCAGCGTATACTGAGGATTTAGAATCATTGAATGGATAAGAATAGACTTTGTTTTCCCGAAAGTTGTATGCATTGCACACAGAAATGTGTCTATAGAAATATACACACACAGGTGGCATGAAAGTTTGGTCCAAACTTTTTAGTTACAGACTTGAATAAAGAAAATATGAAAACAATAATTTTGTGAGGGAAACTAAAAAAAAACATGACTTGACTGTAAGGCCTAAAAAAAAGATGTTGTATTGCCCTTATAGGTGCCAAAACATGGGTCGGCCGGTCAAAAATCTTTTTTTTTAATGCTTTTTTTCTCCCTCTTTTGGCTGATGTATGTCTCAGTTTTGAATGCTTTAATACATTATTTGTGTAAAAGACGGTAAAAAAAAAAACTTTTTTAAAAAGCAGACCATAGATTTCATAATGTTTGGGTAGGTCGCAAAAGGTAATACAGCATCTTTTTTTTTTAGGCCTAAGGCCGGCACAACATAGAGTTAGATTTTTGCTTGAGAATGACCCGTGCTGTCATAGCCTCAATGTTTCTATGGCATCACAGGTCTCATTAGGGTAAAAAGTGTGATGAGTGTGAAACCAAACAGACTGTAATTCTGAAACAGTCCAGTGTATTGGTCTGGCGTAGGTCATTCCAGCAAAGTGAATGAGAAAGCTGTCACATGATAAATACAATGTGGCACAGGGAGGATATTTGCATGGTACGTACAGAGTTAGCCCCAACATGCCTTCAACAGAGAAATGGTGTTCATCTTTATTTTAATGTGGATTCCTAAGAAAAATTTGATGCTGAAAACAATACCATTGATTATTTTATAAAATGTGCCTATGGAGTGCTCAAATTGTATATTTGGGGGCCCGCCATTGTTTTTATGCATTTCAGAACAAATATTTTGGCTGAAAATGTTCAATTGGTGTAAAAACCCACTATGAACAATACAATGTAAAATGATAAATGGTTGAGAATGAGACCCACAAAAAACCACAAGGTTAATTCCATACACATGCAAATTCATGTATGATATTTTTCACATGACATCGTGGCCTAGAATGGGTTAAAGTGTATTGTGAACCACCTACATGTACATGTGCTGTTTGTTAATTATTTTCTTCTTCATAAATCTTTTTTTAATCTATTAAATAAATAAAAATTACCCGTTTATTTTTCTATGAATTGGCCAACAGATCAACTGTGTCTGTATGATCCGACTTATCTAGCAGACTGTTTAGCTGATAAACCAAGGTTGCGAAGGGTGCTTACAGAAGGCGGTTGGCTATGTCCCCGCCGTGCTCGCGTTTTGGAAGCCGAGTGTAACCTAGAACCGGACCAAACACAGGTATTCTAAATTAGTGTAAATTAAGACTGGGATCAACACAGGTACCGTATTTGCCGGCGATAAGGCCGCACCGCTGCATAGGCTGCACCCCCAACTTTGACATTTCGTAGAGAAAAAAAAAAAAAAAGGAAAAAAAAAAAAAATTCCTGTAGAACTCTATTTTTCCTACAAACTAATACCAAAATTATCAATCATTTTATAAATTTACAGGAAGTTTACCTAAAAAATGATCATAATTTAGCAAATCTTCATAGATTTTTAGGCAGATTACCAAATTCATGGGACACTAGAGGGAGCTTCGCATGCATACAGAAACCTGAATGGCCATCTTTAGCTTGCATGCAGTGAGTCGGCACTAATATAATCCTGCCATAACCAAGCTGTGGCCATGGCATATCGCAGGGTGGAAGGATGTGTCTTTGTTATAATGTTATCCAGTCTTACCCCTACCGTACCGTCAAATGGAGAAAATAAACAAGCTTTTGTATTGTTATTAGAGATCTACCGAGGTTAGTTTGTCGCTTTAATAAATCAGATAGTCTCAATTATAATTTAGAATTATCTTACTGAAAAGACAATTTCTTCAAATTTGCTGCTGACGTGGTTCAGACTAGATCTTGTCCGATGTGTTTTCAAGTCAATTTTGTTAATATATTTTGTTGTATGAAGTTGCCTACAAATAATGGTCTTGCTGTTTTGACTTGCGATTTTTACTCTTTCGGCGTAAAGGCCGCACTCCGACTTTTTGATATATTCTCTTCCAAAAATACTGCGGCCTTTACGCTGGCAAATATGGTATTCCAAATAAGTGTGAACTAACACTGGAACCAACACAGGTATTCTAAATTAGTGTGAACTAACACCGGAACCAACACAGGTATTCCAAATTAGTGCGAACTAACACTGAAACCAACACAGGTATTCCAAATTAGTGTGAGCTAACACTGGAACGAACACAGGTATTCCAAATTAATGTGAACTAACACTGGAACCAACACAGGTATTCCAGATTGGTGTGAACTAACACTGGAACCAACACAGGTATTCTAAATTAGTGTGAGCTAACACTGGAACGAACACAGGTATTCCAAATTAGTGTGAGCTAACACTGGAACCAACACAGGTATTCCAAATTAGTGTGAACTAACACTGGAACCAACACAGGTATTTTAAATTAGTGTGAACTAACACTGGAACCAACACTGGTATTCCAAATTAGTGTGAACTAAAACAGGAACCAACACAGGCATTCTAAATTAGTGTGAACTAACACTGGAACCAACAGGGGTATTCTAAATTAGTGTGAACTAACACCAACACGGGTATTCCAAATTAGTGTGAACTAACACAGGAACCAACACTGGTATTCCAAATTAGTGTGAACTAAAACAGGAACCAACACAGGTATTCTAAATTAGTGTGAACTAACACTGGAACCAACACAGGTATTCCAAATTAGTGTGAACTAACACCGGAACCAACACAGGTATTCCAAATTAGTGTGAACTAGCACTGAAACCAACACAGGTATTCCAAGTTAGTGTGAACTAACACCGGAACCAACACAGGTATTCTAAATTAGTGTGAACTAAAACAGGAACCAACACAGGTATTCTAAATTAGTGTGAACTAACACCGGAACCAACACAGGTATTCCAAATTAGTGTGAACTAACACTGAAACCAACACTGGTATTCCAAATTAGTGTGAATTAACCCTGGGACCAACACAGGTATTCCAAATTAGTGTGAACTAACACCGGAACCAACACAGGTATTCTAAATTAGTGTGAACTAACACCGGAACCAACACAGGTATTCCAAATTAGTGTGAACTAACACCGGAACCAACACAGGTATTCCAAATTAGTGTGAACTAACACCGGAACCAACACAGGTATTCTAAATTAGTGTGAACTAACACCGGAACCAACACAGGTATTCCAAATTAGTGTGAATTAACCCTGGGACCAACACAGGTATTCTAAATTAGTGTGAACTAACACCGGAACCAACACAGGTATTCCAAATTAGTGTGAATTAACCCTGGGACCAACACAGGTATTATAAATTAGTGTGAACTAACACTGGAACCAACACAGGTATTTCACATAAGTACATCATCTGCAAAAATCACCTTCTGAAAAACACCCTAAACGAGGATCAAAGTCTAGAATATAGTTTAGAAACCCAATACACGGAAACCCGTCTAATATCTCTGATTTGTACACTGTTAAACAGGGATTTTATATCTTGCATTGTATTTTATACCCTATTCCAAAAATCTGGAACACTGTCGCACCGTGGACCTACTACGAGGTCCATGGTTGCACAGCGTTCTAAACATATTTGTGCTTGAATTTCCCCCGGGAATCGTGATGGGATTTCATTCCTCTTTTCATTGCCCTTATCCTCAATTTTTTATTTTTATTTTTATTGTGTATTTCCATAGGATTTTAAAATCCTGTAGGACCCTCTGCTTCGACCAGTGCTATCAGATTTCCTGCCCTTTTCACATATCTTCTTCTATTGAATTTTATGCCCTTTTTCCAGATTTTTCATATTTGTTTATACCCTAAACGCGGTATACACGTTACGTGCCTGATAATGACAAATCTATAGTGAAACCCCTTTTACACATTTTTGGGGGGTTTTGCTCTTTGACTTATTATCTGATACACATGTGTATCTGTTTGGATTTCACATTTCCAGGTATATCGAGATTGCTGTATAAATAGTATGAATCCAGTCGTGACTGCAACTTCCCGATCAGGTGGGGATGGTGGAGAGCAGAATGCTGCTGTGAAGGTGCGAGATGACTTCAGAGAGACGTGGTTTTTTGACGTTGTTTCCATGCCGTAAGTTTGACCTATTCATCCCCCTCCCCCTCCCCTTCTGAAACTATATAGTACAAAAAACTGGCCCATTGTCATGTTCACATGATGCAAAAATTTGAATTATTATGAAGTAGAACCCGTAGCCCGTTCCCCAAACACCAAGCCTGGCCACCTTGTGGATGTGTGCAGCTGGTACCAGAGAGGAATGAAATAGGGCCAGTCTTGACGCTTGCCTTTATGATCTAGGCCTTTGTATAAATTAGGCTTGAGTCATCACGGGTTTTGCCGAACCCGGGTTTGACTCGAAAATTTCTGGCGGGGACCGGGTACCCGAAATTTTCACCACTGCACTGACACTAAAAATCGTGTGCATGCAGCGGCGGGAGTTAGACTAAGTTGCTGTTCTAATAATGCGACGGAAAAGACGGAGAGGATGAGTGGCGGGAGTGGCTCGACGTTTCGAACAGGTTGACTATCCGTCGTCAGGAGTGGAGAATAGCCTGCGTGCGTGAGCTTAAGTCATCGGGGTGCGGACGTCAGGGAATAATACATGACCGTGTGGGCTTGAGTCATCGGGGAGTGGACATGGATGGTCTGCTCGTCCGTCTGCCTGTCCGTCTGGGCTGGAGTCACTGGGTTGCAGACTTGGGGGAGTTTTGAATCCATGAGTGGGGTGTGCCAAACACCATCAAAGCAGCCGCCAGCCTCACAGCTACAATGCACAGCAGATGACAGCAGACTACAACGCCGCCTACGTCGGGGGGGGGGGGGGGACACACACAGCGTCTCGCCGACAGCACACCCCACTCATGGATTTGAAACTCCCCCAAGTCTGCAACCCAGTGACTCCAGCCCAGACGGACAGGCAGACGGACGAGCAGACCATCCATGTCCGCTCCCCGATGACTCAAGCCCACACGGTCATGTATTTTTCCCCCGCGTCCGCACCCCGGTAACTTAAGCTCACGCACGCCAGCTATTCTCCACTCCTGACGAGGAATAATCAACCTGTTCAAAACGTCGAGCCACTCCTGCCACTCATCCCTTCCAAGCGCTATAGTTCTCCTTAGAACCTTTAAGCTAAGAAAGATAACCAACAGCCTTTTTCAAGACTACACAAACAGTCCTTTTCAGGTATACACATCCTCAAGAAAGATTACCGCAAGTCCTTTTCAGAACTCCTCAATCCTCTCTCTCTCTCTCTCACATGGTGCACCTGCAAGCCTACTGTATATCTACATCATCATGCAAGCCGACACTTACAAGCAGCATCTATATATATATTATTACCCCGGTCATCGGATTCAGGCTTACCCGCACATTCTCCACTCCCTTGGGAGCATTCCAGCCACTGGCAGGCGTCATTTTTACAAGCGCACACTTGCTAATCTTAAAGCACATTAGCTTTCGCATCCTACTGGGTACCCATTTAACACCTGAGTGGCAAATGTAGATTAATTTCTTGCCAAAGGACATGTACTATTAAAAGAAACCTGCAAAGACCACCTGCCTAAAAAGACCACTTTTCTTGTCTCATTTGGGTTGTCTTTATAGTAATTTAGAGCATTCTGGATCAAAAGATAAAAATTGAACGTCACTTAAAGGGGACACTAAACTGCTCTACATGGATTCATGATCATAATTAAAGTGCGGATTCCTAGAAAATCACAAATATGGCAAATATTGTATTACTAGAAACTGGTAAGCTAACAGATGGCCATCATGCAAATTTTAGGTCAATTACATATCGGGTGATTTATAAAAATACAAATAAAACAACCTCTATAGCATTTGGGATATGCGAGGGATTCGCCGGAAAAATAACGATGTTTTAATGCCGTCACAATATGAACCAACCCTGCCCAAGCAGACGACATCCCATAAAGAATGAACATAATTGCAATGCTTTTATTTCTCAAATTATAATGGGTTTAGTGTATATAAATGTGATGGAATTTTACACCATTCAAAAAGGGATATGACCCCCATTCTGATAACTAAATTATTTTGTTTGTAAATACACAGGATAGGGGTTAATGAACAATCAAAGAAACCACACTTTCAAATTAAAAAACCTCCGGAATGATAGCATTGGCGTCATTTGTTCCCTCTTGAAACGCCGAACATGTCGCGGTGTATGCAGCTGAAAATACAATGGCGTCTTATTTTGTTTACAAGCGACAGATTCCTAATATTTTTTTATCCTTGCAGTTTTCATCAAAATAATACCATGCACGGGGTTTAGAGTGAGGCAACAGATTAACACATTTCGCCTGAGGGTATTGAAGTAAGAGAAATAACTGAAGAAAAGATGACAAACAGGCACTGAAATTGTGTGAGATGTCATGGGACATCATCTGCTTGTGCACATCATGTTCAACATGTGACGTCATATCTCAGCAGCGACCGGAGAGCTTTTCAGGTGCTATGTCGGGGCTGTATCTAAGCGTTTTGTAATTGTTAATTAATAATCATTACTTCGAATGTTTCGAAGCATTGGCTTTTGATAACCTTGGCCAATCAGAGTGTCACCTTTGCGATAATGACATTAAAGTTAGTTTTTTAAATCAATGAACCTTCTCTTTAAGCATTTGTTTTTCCCACACTGTGGGGTTGGATGTTCACTGTCCATATTTTGTTGGCCCTTCTCCAAGCCTTACGTTCTTCAGCATCTGCCTGGGTGCATGAGGCCAGGGCCCTGTTTCATAAAATTTGTTATCAATAACAAGTTACAATAACTGTTATAAGCTACTGAAATAGTGGCATTTGATTGGCTGAGGGCAGATTTGTCATAGAAATTAGAATTTGTTATTGATAAGAAGTTGTATGAAACAAGGCCCAGATGCTCATGTGTCTTCCCCAATGTCTCCTTTCAGGTATTGAGCATGCAACCTGGAACTTCATTGCTCTCAGTGAAGCCAATGGCTTTTTTCTCATTTATCTGTTTTAATTCTCATTTCCAGTGAAGATGGTAGTCCGTACTTATACCCGGTCTCCATTCCAAGTAGTATCACGGATTGGCATTTGACAGCTGTCAGTCTTTCACCTACTCAAGGAATGTGTGTTGAAGATGAAACCACAGTGAGTGTGTTCCAGGATTTCTTCATCCAGCTCCACCTTCCCTACTCGGTTGTCAGGCTCGAACAGACACAAGTCATCGCCACCATCTTCAACTATGGTTTCAGTGATTTTGAGGTTTGTGCATTGTTTAGCGCTATAGAGTGGTGAAGTGTGACGTCATCAAAAATCTATTTTTGGAATATCTCAATTGTTTCTTCATTTTCTGAAAGAGCATCAAAAATAATGTCCAAATGTTGAAAAAACAATTGAATACAGTGTAGGTTAAGTATTGGCTCAGTCTTATATTGCTCTGGCTCATAACTTTGCGAGCCAGAGCAATATAACACTGAGTTCCTATAGGTAATCTATTTATTCAGATGGTCATATCTCAGCCAATACTTAATTGATTTTCGACATTTGACATTATTTTTGATGCTCTTTTGGAAAATGAAGTAAAAACTGAGAAATTCCCAAAAAATAGATTTTTATGATGTCACAGCTTCGGTACTCTATAGGTACATTCCCTTTATTTGATTGTACTCAATCGAATGCAGATTTTCACATCCCATATGCAAGAACGTCGGTTTCTCAAAAAACTATTTACTATGCAGGTCCCAAACTATAGAATGCATTGCCAGCTATATAATCTAAATTCTGCGTGCTCTCAGAAATTTTCAAGAGACAATACAAGGAAAGGCTTTTACAATCTTATTCACATTGAGTCACCTGTTTGTTGTTTATTTCAATGTTATATCCCTGGTTTGTATGGTTTTTTTAATATTCATTATTCTGCCTGGGTCTAATTTCATCCTATGTATTAACTGTACTTCTCATCTTGCCTTTTCTCCCTCAATTTTCCTATCTCTCCCTCTCTGTCTGTCTCTCTCTCTGTTTCTCTCTCTCTTTCTCTATTAGAGGTATGTGCGCCCTATGCTGGCTCCTCCAATTTCGTTGTTTTTTTGCATTGTCTTTTGTGATTTGTGAGTTTGTGAGTGCCTCAATTCGACTAGTATGATGCCTGGATACCACAGGACAGTTGTTGACTGATTTTGGAATCTCACACGTTCAGAAGTCTAGTATCAATCTTTTCTGATTGTGGACTCATTTCACTTGTACTTACCTGCTGTCCCATATGTGCCTCAACGTGTCATGTTCTAGAGTTCAAGTGTCTTGAATAATGTGCCTTTCATGAGCAACCAAGCAGAACAACAATGTGATGTTCAGACAGTGGTCTATATCGCTATTGTCTATTGTGTAACTTCTATTCAGTAGCACCAATGACAATAGCTCTACCCAAGGACTGTCCCCAGGAATGCCTCCTATCCAATATACTGCTGGTGAACTGAAGTCAGGGCTGTCAACTTTGGGAAACTGCTTGGAGGGAGATTTTTTTTGGAGAAAATATTAAGTGCCAAATCCAGCCAGCCGCTGAATTTATTAAACGGGGGGGGGGGGGGGGGGGGGGGAAGAGCATGTGAGTTTGGCAGGAGGTTTTGTCATAAACCGGGAGATTCTACATAGTTGGCGGGAGAGCGGGAGGAAGGTGTGGTGGCGGGAGTCTCCCGCTACAAGCTTTTGGGGCGGCGGGAGAATGAGCGTGGTGGCGTGAGACTCCCTCCAAATGCGGGAGGGTTGACAGCCCTGCTGAAGTCAATATGGAAAGGTATGAATTCACATCAGCACAAGCTTCCATCTTCTACTTATGGACAACTGGAGACCTTTGGGATACAGAAGAGGCGCAATGGACATAGGGGCTGCCGAGGTGGTAAGAAGAAGATTATTTCGAGTGAAACAATAAGTAGGAAGTGTAATTCTTATTCTGCTGCACATGTCCTGTTTACTCTTGGACTGATTAACTGTCAATCAGCTCGTAATAAATCTGATTTGATTAAGGATCATCTGATTGATCATGATGTTGATGTTTTAGCATTGACTGAAACCTGGTTCAAGTGTAGTGAGCCTCAGAACGTGGCCAGAGTAACTCCGTCTGGATACAGACTGTTACACGTCCCTCGGAAGTATCGTAGGGGTGGTGGTGTAGGTCTCTTATAGAAGTCGAATTTGTGTGTTAAAGCTGTTCCTACCAACATCAAACCAAATTCATTTGAGTTTATGGAAACTGAACTGTCCCACGGTAATGTGAAGTTCAAGGTAATCGTGGTTTATCGTCCACCCACATCACCCAAGAACAGTTCTACGTTCACCAAGTTCATCCAAGAGTTTTCGGCTATGCTTGATAGACATTCCTTGTTCACGGGGCAACTGTTTATTCTTGGAGACTTTAATGTCCACTGGGATAATCAACAATCCAGTGACACCAGAGCTTTGCAGAGACTACTCCTTGATCATAATCTGCAGCAAATAGTGGACGAAACTACTCATGGGTCAGGTAACATTCTTGATCTGGTCATCACTCGCATAGATGCAGAGAACATTATTTCTGTGCTTATCCAGGACTCTATATCAGATCACAGCTCGGTCCACTGTCTCCTTCAGCTAGAGAAACCTAAGCCTGTGAAGAAGAAGATCACCTACCGTAAGTTGAAGTCCATCAATCCGGCTCAGCTTAGACTGGATATTGAAGATTCAAGTCTACTTTCAAACTCCTGTGGTGCTGTTGATGACTTAGTTCACTAGTATAATGTAATGCTGAGGGAATTGCTGGATAACCATGCTCCGTTTCAAACATGTGTTATTGTGGAACAGCCGGCAGTCCCTTGGTACAATAAGGATATCGCTAATGCGAAGCGAAAGCGGCGACAGCTTGAACGCCGATGGCGGCGGACTAAGGCTTTAGTTGATAAAGAAATCTTTAGAAAGCAGAGAAATCGAGTCAAGGAATTGATTGCTGATGCTAAAGCCGCCTACTATAATGAACTCATAGTGGATTGTGGAAACGACCAGAAGGCACTCCACGCCATCATCAACAAGCTCCTGCACCGGAAGACTGAATCGACTACAGCACTTCCACATCATTCCTCACCTGATGATCTAGCCTCTAAATTCTCAAGGTATTTCATTGGTAAGATTAAGTCCATTAGATGCAACCTGCAGTCAGATATGTCTTCGACTGATGGAGTAGAGTTGGACAATGATGTAACCTCCTCTTGCAGTGAGCATCTGACTACACTCGCGCCCACAAGTACGCTAGAGGTGCATAGAGTCATTAGAAGGACCCCTGCTAAGTCATGCTCGCAGGATCTGATTCCTACCTCAGTTGTGAAGGAAAATGATGGCTTGATGGCTATGCTTATCTCAAAGATAGTCGATGCTTCTCTACAGGAAGGGAAGATTCCAGAAGAACTGAAACTTGCTCATGTTACTCCTGTACTGAAGAAGTCATCCCTAGATCATGATCAGATGAGCAGTTATAGGCCTATATCTAACCTGCCTTTCCTTGCCAAAGTCCTCGAGAAAATAGTTGCCAAAAGACTAACATCACACCTTCAGGACTACGACCTTCATGAGACAATGCAGTCTGCGTACAAGAGGCTTCACAGCGTGGAGACTGCTCTTCTGAAAATATCTAATGACATCCTGAAGGCAGTTATGGTAATTCTTTTGGACTTATCTGCTGCATTTGATACAATTGATCACAAAGTCCTCCAGAGGCTTCAACGGAACTTCAAGGTTAATGACACTGCCCTGGAATGGTTCAGGTCATATCTTCACTGCAGACGATGGGCTGTGAACATCAATGGAACTGTGTCGGATGAAGCTTCCATGACCTACGGCGTTCCACAGGGTTCCGTCCTCGGACCGATACTCTTTACGTTATACACTTCCCCTCTTGGGAACGTAGCCCGTCAACATGGTCTACAAGTCCATTTCTACGCAGATGACACTCAGCTGTATGTGACATTTGATCCAAGAGTGGCAACTGATGAAAAGGCCATAGCTGCAAGGATGACCTCGTGCCTTGCCGATATCCGTCAATGGATGGTGGAGAATTTCATGAAACTCAATGATGACAAGACTGAATATCTTATCATTTCCTCACCAAACATGAGGAACAAGATCAGCTCCATGGACCTCCAAGTTGGCAATGTGTCTGTCTCTCCTACGGTAAGCGCCCGTAACCTTGGGGTCTACTTTGATCAGTCCATGAAAATGGACCGGCATATTTCACAGGTATGTCAGACTGCTTACTTCCAGCTCCGTAACATTGCATCCATTAGACCTTTGCTCACGAGGATGGCAGCAGAAAGCCTCATCCATTCACTCATATCCTCTAGACTTTATTTCTGTAACAGTCTTCTAGCTATCGCGGAAGAGGTCTTCTAGCTGGCCTTCCTTCTGCAACCTTGAACAGACTTCAAGCAGTACAGAATGCAGCAGCACGTTTGCTTACTGGGCTGAGGAAGCATGATCACATCTCTCCTGTCCTGGCTGAGCTACATTGGCTTCCTGCCAAGAGCAGAATTGATTTCAAGGTCCTGCTGCTCACATTTAAGGCAATTCATGGTCAGACCCCAGGATATGTGTCATCTTTAATCGAGCAGCATCAACTTCGCCCTGGACTTTGCTCATCTGGCCTTACTCTCCAGATGCCCATTACTCATCTCAAGGGATATGGAGACCGGGCATTTTCTTCTATTGCTCCTCGCCTGTGGAATTCCCTCCCATCATCTATTCGCGAAATTGACAACCTGGACCACTTCAAAGCTTCACTCAAAACTCACATCTTCCTTCAGACATTTAAATGCTAATTTTATTGGAGGAGCTCGCGCCTTTGAATGTTTTCTGAAACAGATATATGGCGCCATACAAATGCTGTTCATCATCATCTCTCTCTCTTTCTCTCTATCACAAGATCTTTAAATAGATCTTTAATCTGATCCCCACTCAATTTATGTTACTTGTGCTTTCAGCTACTGATTTTACTATGACCATCTTTTTATATTTTTCATATGCGTTTATACGCAATTTATGTATGTTTTTTTTTATATATTGAGTGAACAAATGAATTGAAATTGAAATTGAATTGAATTGAATTAAATTGAAATTGAAGTCACGTGAAAGGTATTGACCAATTTAATAACTTACTGAATGTAATAAAAAGGGGTAGGGTTAGGCTTTTGAAAAAGAGAGAAAAAAGGGTTGCTTGGATGCTGTTTGAAAAAAAGTTGTCTGCTACCCCAATCATGGAAGTGAAAGATAACTTAGTGAAGCTTTTGAAGAATTGTAATAAAATTGGAAACTGTTCATGTATGATCAAGGAAATGATTTATTTAATGTTTGGTCAAACATGTTTCAGTCACTTTGATATTGAGGTATGTTTGTAGGATTAGTTGTCTTTTGACTACAGTAACCCTTTTTACATTTAGACTCTTTTCTTGTAACATTTCCACATTTCTTTTGGCATATCTTAATTACCTATCACAGGTCAGTGTTAATTTCACTGTTGATCAGGGCTTGTGCACAGCGGAAAATCCTGCCATTCGCCACGTTTTTGTTGAATCTAAACGGGCAGCCTCTACAACCTTTATTGTACGCCCTGTGGAAGTAGGGGAATTCCATATCACTGTGACTGCTGGTGGAAGCAAGAAGCGGGACAGCGTCAGGAAAACTCTTCGAGTTGTGGTACAAATTTATACTTTTTAGAAATATGTACATGTATGGTATTGATTGATAATTGTGTTTCCTCCTGTCACAATCGCCCCAGGCACCTTTTGTCAAATTACTTTGTTCAAACTACAGGAAATTTATAATTTTGTATTAAAGTTCTAAAGAGAAGGCAGTTATACAATGTTTGTATGATACTACTGTACATTTAGACTAGAGTCGGAGCCTGATTCGTCATCACGTTTTTCATCTAAAATGATCTTCAAACTGGCATTTTCACCATATAACGTTTGGTTATAAGAGATTTCTTTATATGATGTTCAGACTAGAAAAAAAAATTAAGTACAGTATTTGTTGTATAGAGTACCGAAGCTGTGACATCATAAAAATCTATTTCTAGAATTTCTCAATTTTTTCTTCATTTTCCGAAAGAGCATCAAAAATAATGTCCATATGTCGAAAATCAATTGAATATGTTTAGTATTGGCTGAGATATGACCATCTGAATGAATATATTTCCCATAGGAACTCAGTGTTATATGCTCTGGCTCCTAATGGTTAGGAGCCAGAGCATATAACACTGAGTTCCAATAGGCAATCTTTTTATTCAGATGGTCATATCTCAGCCAATACTTACATTATTTTTGATGCTCTTTCAGGAAATGAAGAAAAAATTGAGAAATTCCAAAAATAGATTTTTGATGACGTCACACTTCACCACTCTATAGCTTTACAATAAATTGTGGTAGTCTGAAATAAGGGACAGGTAAAGGGTTAAGTTGGTAATTTTCTGGCTGAATTTGTGGTTAAACTAATTAGTTGATTGTTGTTTGTGAACAGTCTCAAGGAGTTATGCAGAGGAAAAGTAGATCTTTGACCCTGAATCCTGGGAGAGTGATGTTCAGTGATGATGTCACCACACCGTCCCCTAATAACAGCTTAGGCTCAGGTACAGTACATTTGTAAAAATCACAGGTTTAATTTTAAATAATTAGGAGTCATCCTTAACGGAAAAATTTCTTATGTTACAGCATATTTTGTTACCTGTATACATATTTGATTGATTCCCAGTAATTGTTTCAGGACCTCCAGTTAACAGAGTTCATGTTGCAATTAAAGGCAATTTTTATTTAATGAAGGAGAGAAGTGTACTAATCACCTATAGCTGAAATGTATAGATCAACTTTAAAAACTTTACCTCACATTCTAAAAGTTTAAGGTACTATATTGTCCCATTTGCAGGTCAAAAAAATGAAAAGGTTAAATTCCAAAGGTATTTGAAAGACAATATTCATCTAGAACCTCCCTCAAAACGAAAGGGTTTGAAAATGGCTTTTTTTCAGGAAAATAACGACCATCAGTTGTCAAATCGACATAAGTGATTGCATAAGTGATTGCAATCACTTAAGTAATAGTCTGATTTTCAGACCCTTGTATCGAATGGTCGTACGTTTTGTGCTGCACAAAGATCCAATCAGTTTGATTTTGGCCGTTACAAGAAGTGGGTTATTGATGTAGACAAATGCTCATGTACCTGTTACAGCTTATTTTATGTATGTCATTACCAAAGAAAAAAAGATGTCAGTCAGTCACTCAATAGTGTCTGTCAGTAAATGGGTTTCCTTGCATAATTTGAATACTAGGACACTGCTAACAATTACATTTCACAAATAGGACATACATGACACATTCATAATTCCTGCAAAGTTCTACAGAATTTGAAGTTGGCTCCAAAAGGGACATAGTATCTTTAAAGGGTAAGGTGTATGACGAAAAATAAAGGATAACATAAAATGTTGCCTACGGAACCACATTCCGACTTTGCATCCGTGAGCACCCTAATCTATGCGAGCCTGTAAGCATTAGTTAACTAGTGTATTCAACAAGTCATTTTACTCTTTACTGATAATATATTCATACCTCAAATATATATTTGTAGAAGTAACATTTGAAGCACATGTTTTTTTAATATAGTATAGGGGCATGGAACCCCTTACATCAAGAGCGAAACTTGTTTTTGTGATAGGTATATGCTGCCCAGAAGAGTATCTGAAATAGAAAAAAAGGATGATTATCCTTTTTTTGTTATTAAACCAACTACTAGATATATTTACACCAAGAAAGATGCATTTAAAACACAAAATCTGTACGTTTTACCTACACTTTTTAACATAATGTAGACTACGGTGTTAATAGTGCAGTTATACATGTAATTGAAAAGAGGGAGGGGGGCAAAAGCGGGTTAGATTATTGTTATATGCAGGTTGAATACAGTCATTCCCCTTTCCTCTATGTAAATACAGAGTTGTGGATCACGCTTTGGGTAAAAATACTGCTTTTGTGTTTTTTGAAAATGTTTCTATGCAGGCCCAGGAACTATATTTGGGGAGGGCTTTCAGCATGAGGAGATTGCCATTTCTTTGCCTGGATCTTCTATTCCAGACACTGAATCTTGCAGTGTCAAACTTATCGGTTAGTATTATACTAATATTTCAATGTTCCGGAGTCCAATATTATACAAATGATGCATGCGAAGGAGCTCATTCTATGATCTATCTGCACTCGAGTTGAGGCTGTATGTATCTATCGGACAAAGCCCGAAGGCTTCTTTCGATAGATGCATAAACTTCCTCAACAAGAAGAGATAGATCCTGTAATGAACAAATGAAAACATGCATCATTTGTTTTATACAAACAAACTCCTATCTCGTTATTATTTGATGTAAAGATAATTCATTTCAAGATAGTTGTTGTGTCTTTATTGCTGACAAATAAACCCCAAGTTTAATAGGCTTACTTTAGCGCACAGAGAGATAAGTGCACTTACCTGTATACTCATCAATACGCAATGCTATTCATGTGTTCACCCACACAGGGTAATCGTACATTAACCCCTACACGCACTACTGCAGATCGCCGACCAAAAAATTGTTGATAGTACTGGAAACTATTGCACCTTTTTCAAGGAAAAGGTGGTAGTCTCAGTAAATGAATCAAACATGACCGTTTTTACCAATCATTTGTTTAGAATCAAGGAGTGAGTTGTGTAACACGCAGATCACACGCGGAAACTGGTAGAGAAGACACCTCACACCATTCTTTGTGTTGCGGTTCTTTTTTATTTCAGGTGCAAAGTAAACTAAGCTAAAGCCTGGACAAATAAACAAAGTTAAAACAATTAAATAGAAATGTGAACATGTTTGAAAAACACACATAATAGCAATAAACATATTATTCGTTCATGACTCCAAGATACGAATTCCAACAATATGACGTCAAGCCGACTCATGATAATAAATGATAAACAGGTTGTTTATATTCGATTCATTAAAACTTAATCAATATTGCATGAAAATAGCAAGTATCTAATCAATAAAGTTCTTCCATCTTTATGGATAACTTTCCCAACAAATAAATGAATACAACCATCAAGTGAACTTTGTCAAACAATCAAACATAATTCCCAATTAAAACTACATTGAACTAGTGGCTTATACATTGAATATGATAACCCACTCACCCTGGCAATCTGGCCTAGAGGACTGTTTCCTCTCATTGTACCCGCTTCTTACATCTTGATTGTCAATACCTAGAGGAATAATAATTAATACAAATCATTGTGAATTATACTCTACAGATATACAACAGAAAACTGAAGAAGGTTCAGACTATATCCGCTGACTGTTAACTCTTAAAACATTACTTGAAATTACAACTGTCTTGCAAAATACGATTATCCAGAGTTAATCTCAACAACACATTATATAACTAAAACTCCTAAAGATTACAAGTAATATAACAGATAACATTGTAATACTCAAATCATCTCAAATTACTATTACCAAATCTTAATCTAGTGCTTAACTCACTAACGAAATCAACCTAATGATGATTAAACAGATAATATGCCACACCTTTCTCGCATATTAATTCAGCACAACTTATCGTTCATAACGATACCAAGGTTATTAACTAACATCAGAATACATCTACAAAAGTACTAATTATCTCAATAATTATCCAACTTAACAAAAGAATAATCTTCTTACCTAATGACATGTAACACCAAAAGCTTGCAGAGTCGACCTCCCTGCCTGCCCCATGGATGGGGTGCAGTACAGGAGTGAATCTGACAAATACCTCTGCCTTCTTTTATAACAGCTACACTCTCACGGTGGTATAGCTACCACACATAACCTGTTCTGGAAAAGGGTCTTGTTATTGGGAGGGAGACAGGAAGTCATTTGTTTTGGGGGTTCTTATCCAATGTATACAATTAGGGGTTTGTTTGGCTAAGTTATTACAAGTGTTCTGGAGGGGGGGGGGGGTCGAGTTACCAACCTTTGACCAAGTGACCATACATCATTAACTCTCTCATAGCTGTGGAATGTCATGTTTTGGCCAAATTGATAGCTTCTACTCAGAATATGTGTGAGTCATACTTCTTTGAAGTACAAAGTTTGTTAACATATAAACTTCTTACTTTCCTCCTGAGGAGATATTGATTAGAAATAGATATATATGTTTCACTATAAAACAGTTCAATTCTGACCTATTACAGTTGTATACTACATATTATTATTCGTATCAACGGTTTTGAGCCTACCAGAAATAATATTGTGCTGTTGGAAAGAATTTTTTTTTTTTTAATATCTACCAGTAATTGTTTGTGAAAAGTTCCTATATGAGCATGCAGCAAATTTGCAATGTCTAATGGTTTTGAGTGCACGAACACGTAAAACACTGAATACATGTTTAAATATGCAAAGTCTAAGACAATGGATGTGTGTGTACATGTATGTGTGAAGTCCTCGATAATTCTTAAGTAAGGATGAAACAGATTTTTCTCGTGTCTTTCATGTGCAAGTTGATACCAAAAAAAAGGATCCAAAATTAAAGTTATACTTTTCATACGATTAATTGTATTACTGAAGGACTTTTGTGGGACACAAGAGTATATCGCACTTGCTGTGAGAATATTTATCACACCATTCCATCTCGTGGAAGACACAAATCATCTTGTGAGATATACCCTTGAATCTTATATACTCAAGGCCATTCAATATTATATAAATACATGAACCGCATGCAAGAGCAATGTTATTTTCACAAGAATAGGCAGCCATGTCTTTGCAAAAACAAAGGTTTCCATGTCTGCTCAATCATTCATTTTAAACACAGTCCAGGATTTTATTATGTAAAAGAGAGCATCGTGAGGCTCGTGAATGAAATCACTGAAATTAGACTTTTCCCTGATCGTATACAAATATGCACTGTCTTGAGAGTTTCTGGTTGGAACTATATGGACAAGAGGTAACTCCAATAGAACTATTTGAGTCACTGAGGTCCATAGTTTTAACCAGTACCTCAAAATGAAGGCACAGTATATATATTTTTTTTTTGGGGGGGAGGGGTAATTTTATGGAAATATTATGTTTTTACCCCAATTAACATTTTGAATTTAATAGATTTTTAAAATCTAAAAAAAACTATCACATTTGTTTTCAACTCCCAAATAATACTTTTTCAGAGCAACCTTAAAATGGTTTGAAATATTTCTGTTTACGAGAAGAGCTCTCAACCAATCAATCACCAATACATTTTTGATGCAGGATATAATTTTTACAATTTTTTTGCTGGAATGCATGTACATGTATAGTGAGAGATGAACATTTTAAATTCATCTTTTGCTATATTTGAGTCATGCAGTTACGACTTTACAAATGACTTGAATATGAAGAGCTAAATGAGATTATGTGCAGATGAAGATTAACCTCATCATTATTAACTCATATCCTGCCATAAGGCTGCATGCACGTTACCGTTATAGTGCTTTGTACATGCGAGCTACCACTTCCCTGCCTCATGCATGTTTGCTCGCATTCGTAATAACAGTTATTGTTCATGCCCATTGTACTGTGCTGAGTGCTTCGCACGCGCTATTGATCGCACTATCAGATTATCTCAAATCATGGCACAGGGGGGATTTGTGGCTTGGCACAATGGGGATTAGCCCTGTGGCTCTGGGCTGTATTCATTATGGCAGGATAAGAGTTAATAAAATATTTTAATGCAAAGTGTATTTTTGGCTACAATTTAATCAAGATTATGGGAAATACAATCGCACTTTGTTAAAATGTCAGGGGAAACTTTGGGCATCCCATTTGGCTCTTCATACTCAAATCATTTGTAAAGTCATTTGTAACTTTATGCACAGCTTTATGAAACACCCCCTGGATACTCTGGCCGTACATCAAGGGTGCTTAAGTAATAACTGTACTTTGTACACGCAGTACTGCGCGTGTACATGTATTAGCCCCACAAAGTACAGTGTATACAGAGAGTACATGTATAGCCCTTACACTGACTCTGTGTGCTTTCGGTACCACTCATAATAAACTTGGGATTTACATGTATTTGCCATCGATAATGCAACAGACCAATTTTACTCATGTACATATCTAACCCCTTTTTTAAATCAATAAAAAGGATCTAGGAGTTTTGTTTTATAAACATTTTTAATGCCTTTTTTTGGTTTTTTGTTGGGGCTGTCGGCCCCTATTGTACGAAGGTGTATGATATTTCATGTAATGAACTCATTTGCATGAATCATTTATATAGTAATGCCTGTAATTACTCCTTTCCATTGTTCTTTGAACAGGTAACCTACTTGGAACTGCATCCACAGATCCCATAGGTGGGCTAGATCATCTGGTGAGGCAACCTAGAGGCTGTGGTGAACAAACCATGATCTACCTGGCTCCAACACTCTTTGTCTATCAGTACCTAATAGCCGTAGGATCAGATACAGCAGAACAAGAGGCACGGATCTATGACTACATCGCTGATGGTAATGTGATGGCTATAAATGCATGGAATATTTGATGATCCACCAACCCCCACCCCCTCTCTACATTTTTCGTGATAATTTGTTAAAGCAAAAACATCTTGTGCTTAAATTTTGAGTCTTGCACATCTTTTGAAGCAAAGTCACATGACTTTTTGTCTTTGCATTTCAGCCCGAAAATTGCTCCTTTTGTGATTTATGTACAAAACATAAGGAAATAGCATTTTTCCAAAAAGAGATAAAACATTGGTTATTTGATCTTGTTTTCCCACTTATATTCATAATTACATGAATTCCTTGTAGGAGTTGCCCGAGAGTTGACCTATCGGCAAGACAATGGTGCATATGCAGCATGGAAGCATCGACCTGGAAGTACATGGTAAGTGACCTTACCTCCTCATTTCTCCTTTACTCCTTTATCTCTTCTCTGCTTTTACATCTCACCGATTTCACCCTTTGTAATCATCTTTATCTCTTCTTTTTGTACCTCTTCCACCCAAGCCACCACATTTTTACTTTTTTTCCTTCATCTTTACATTTTTATGTGCAGTTAACTCTCTCCCCCCCCCCTACTATAAATAACGGTTTAACCTTGCTTAAGTTTTTGATTTATTGCACATTTATTCCGCTTTCCCCTATTTTGATATTTTCTAGTACCGGTAATGATATTTCAACTGGTGTGATCAAACAATAAATACCTATCCCACTAAAACCAGAAATAGATCATTAGATGTTATTCATTTTAGTTGAAGGGCAATCCCAAATTGGTTGAAAGCAGAAAATATGTGAAACAGGATGGTGAAAGTTTGAGATAATCAGACCAATAATAAGAAGTTACTAGCAGGACCCGTGGAAAATCCACAGGATTCTAGGGGGTGGGTGGTTGTAATTATGTGCTATCGATTTTTGAATTAATTTGTTTAATTTTAGATGATCTATTTTTAACATTCATGTTTTTTTCTGTTCTTTATACCCTTTTATTTTCAATTTCATTTGTTCTCTTTGTATAGGCCTACTTTCTATCCTTTTATTCTCTTTCTACTCTCAATTTAATATCTAATTTGATAGAATATCAACCTTTTGTTTGCTGTTTCATATATCGTCTTAAAATGGTCTTTAAAATTTGTACCACGTAATAAAATTTGAAGATTAAAAGAAAAAGCGAAATTAGTAATTTGTAAATAAATTGATGCAAACTATTTTTACACTTTAATAACTTTCGTTTTCACTTTCATTATTTATGATTGTTTTTCATTCATTCCCATCCTTATTCTCACTATCCCTTTCCCGTCCTAATGCACTCTCGTTTCTTACAAATACTGTTCTCATTTCCTCCCATTCTCATTTTTGCTATTTTCACTCATCTCTAATTAGAACTTGTTCCAAATCAAAGCATGAATAACAATTGTTTAATTTGGCTTAACATACACTATTAAAACTACATGTTCTACTAAACAAAATTATCATTAAAATGATATTTTGCAAGGATGATACAAAGAACTTCAGAGAGGTCCCATGCAGGGGTCCCAGTGGAAATATACAAATATTGACTGCTCATGAGGATGAAATTATCATTCCCAAGGTGGTGTTCATACCAGCCCTTCTATCACCCTGAGGCAAAGCCGAGGGGGTGATAGAGAGAAAAGGGCTGGTATGAACAAAATTGATGGAGTGATTATTTCCACCACCATCCAATTACAGAGCAGTCCATATTTGTTTTATATCCCTCATCCTTTTCATTGATTCATTAACAGGTCTAGAAAAGAAATCCAATATCAAGAGTCTATTTAACATATTTACAGTCTTTCAGAGTTCAAAAGTTTCAAATATCCAACGCTAAACGAAATCAAACAAACGGAAATCAAATCTATACACATGCACTTAAGTAGTGTAGTGCAGTTAATGCGGCGCAGCGTAAAACGATGGCTTGAGCTCCGTGATGACCCCGCCTAAGTTGGCAGCTGGAGGGCATTTGAAATCCTGTATGATCTGTGTGTGTGCAAAAATTGCGGATGGGTTGAGGCGTACTATCACAAATCTATTTGCGTTATTATTGTTGTGATTTCGATGTAGTTTTCATGAAAAGACCAATAAAACAGAAGCTTGGACTATGATTATGTTGGCATAGATGACAGAATTTGTATAATTATTTTAAGAGTTAAGATTTTACGCGAAAATAGGTCCATGGTTTGCGCCAGTATGTAGCAATCGCCTCGACTCGAATCGACTGTGTGTATGAATGACATTAGCGTTAAACACACGTACACTATGGCTGTCTGGCCTACAAAGCATTTCATATAGCAAGACGCATAACACGGGTAAGCCCAACCCGTTAGAGCGTACATTTGTTACATCCCTTCACCTGGGTGAGTCATCAGTTAATGTGTATTTCTCTGACATGCTACAAAGCATATCACTATAGCAAGATGCCTAACTCGGGGTAAGTCGCACCCGTTACATCGTGATCTGCTACACCCATTCACGTGAGTAGATTCTCGTCCGCCGTGTATTTCTTTGATTAGACAGAGGGCGGGTGCATCCCTTCCGCCTCACTCTCGCAGGTTCGTCGCCTCCTTGCAATCCACAACGCCCGCCATGCTCTTGTCTGCCCGTCCTCCCCGGAACCTGACACCGCGTTTATCGACATCGACGTCGATCACGGGGTCGATGTGGCACGCGGGTTTACGGGAGACATGCGTCGTGGAATTGTGTCGCCGTTCACGCGCCACGGCAGAGGCGGGCACGGTCGGGGAAAAAACGTTTTTTAATGAAGCGTTTTGGACCCCCCGCGGCGATTAGTGGTATTAATATATAGGTGATTGTTGGCCATACAACCGAATATCACTAGCGACATTAATTTTGAAAGTTATGATTGTTTGAATTATGAAATCACTACATCTGTGCGAAATCTCAAATTGGCGTTTGGTCAGTAGATTGTGACGAATTGTTATGCTCATCTCTTACATTTGTCGTTTACTAAAATATCATTCTTAATTTGTGTTTTTCTCCTTTTTAAAAAGACATTAATCCAATTTTGCCACTCTCCACACAGGTGTTTAAATGGGTACCCGGTAGGATGTGAACATCATTGTACATGTAGTTTGCTCAGCATTTTTGTTTGTAATATGGCGCCTTGCTGGAATGCTTCCCAGAGAATAGAGAATGTGCGTACATTGTGTGCGGGCAAGTCTTAATTAATCCAATGAGCAGGGTAATAATATATCTGTACAGCACTTAGAGTATCTATGTATTAGCGCTGCATACCCAGAATATTATTATTTATTATTATTATTATGGATAGTATGTCATTTTAGGTCCCTGAGTCACACATTATGAATAATTTGTATTTTAATAATTTAGAGTGTTGGAACAAATGGGAAAGTTGTCTGCCACTATTCGTCACGGTGACATTGCTTATACAACCAACCAATTTGATTACAACTTTAGAATACCCATGACTTTCTTTTAGTTTGTCTAGTTTCATTCAAACTTTCAGAAATTGTTTTTACTGCTTTCTTTCAAAGCAATTTTCGATAAAGGTTGGTTTTCCTTTAGTGTATTATATATTTTCCCTACTGCTCATTCCAATCGGCTCACATTGCAATATAAGCTCACATGGCAAATCCAGGATTAATATCCTTTCTGTTCCCTTCATGTATGTTGTTACAGGTTGACGGCATTTGTTGTGAAGGTGTTCAGCCAGGCTAATAGGTTCACTAGGGTGGAGCCAGGCCATGTAGAAGGTAGTATAAACTGGCTCATTGACAACAACCAGCTACCGTCAGGGGCTTTCCAAGAAAGTCAACAAGTAATTCACCAGGAAATGATTGTGAGTTATTCAAATACATTGTACGTACATGTACATCCTATAATCATTAGGTATCAGTGGCTCAAAGAAAGACACATCCATTACGTTCAGTGGCTCAAAGAAAGACACATCCATTACGTTCAGTATAATGTGTAATTGTTACAAATGATAATTTTATGGCATGGAGTTGCTTTATAATACCTCTGAATCTGTTCTGTTCCTGGTACTCTCAATGTTCAAAGCCAACAGGTATTGAAAATTATTCCAAACTCAAGTCATAGTTGGGTCGTAGAGTGTGTGCTGGGTTTATAATCAAGACACAATTTGTGTTACAATGTCAAAAATAACATGGCGATCTCTTGCAAATTGATAATGTTCTTGTTCAAATTTTTGTGAGATTTTTGGCTTATTGTACATGTACATGTATCCTCGTACTTATATAGCAATAACAAAAACATAGTCACAAAAATATTTCTCGTTCATTTGTAAGTAAATTCTTTAGGGAACTCTGTCACATTCTCTTGTAAACACCAGCATTTGTCATTTTGAAATACGGGTGAGTTCTGGGAAATGGTGAAAAATATTTTATGAGCATTTTAATTCTTTTTATGTCAGTGTGGAGGAGGTTAATTGAAAAGTGTCCCCTAAAAAGGATGGCTCTTCAAATGCCCTCATATTAAAAATATGACAAGTAAAAGCTATTGTAGACTGCACTCCATGGCACATGTTTGTGTAGTCTTATATACACATTTCTCTGTACAGCACGTGTGACGTTTACAGGTCTTTTTTTTTCATTATGATTTTTTTTCTCCCAAAAATGGACAGTCCCTGGGAGAGATCAATGTAAATCCATGTCAAAATGTATAAAAGAAACTTGTAAAATGTATAAAGGGGGGGGGGGGGGGTAGTGGAGAGCTGCATTTCTGTGATCTTGCTTGAATGCCTCGGGAAGGGGGGGTATGAGAGGTGCTGTGACTTGCCCGATCGCCTTGCGCAAGCACTCGGATTTATAAAAAACAAAAAAATGTAGTGCTCACTATTACCCATGCTTTTTGTGAGACTGGGCCTATTATCATTATCCTTACAATGATTCTAAAATCTCACAGTATACACCAATAGTTACGTACTACATGATTTATATGTATATGTACATGTACCTTTTCCAATAGCTTCCATACCATCCCTTTCACGATACAATCGCATGAACAGAACTCAACTTAATCTGTAAAGGTACTATCAGATTTCACTTTTTGCAAATCCTTTGATTTGTTTATCAGGGAGCTGTAAAGGGAGAAACTTCTATGACAGCATTTGTTCTCATCTCTCTCCTGGAGAGCCGGAATTTACTTGTCCCTGCAAACCAGGTAATGCAATTTCACATAACATTTGTATAGAACTGTAACATAACATGACCCAAAAATGTGCAAAGTTGATAAAGAACATGTGAATGTGGGCCTATCGTAGTTGTATGTCCATTGTGATTTGATAATGAAATTTACAATTTGATGAAAGTTGCTTGTAATCAAAATACATTTGAATCAATTAAGAGACCAACATCAATTAGACCATTAGGATTGTAGAAATCCAAGATCATGCTATAGGATCTTCATATAGGCAACTTGGTCATGTGACCCTGACTCTGATGACCTGTTTTCATATGGATTTATTACAGTGTAAATTGATCAAACGTAGAAAAACACAAAATTTAGAGTATAAGGATGGACATTCTTTATGTAAAGACACACATATGTGCTATCTATTCAATTAAGTGAATTTTGTATGCTATATTTAAAGGTTCATTACATATTGATTAACAAATGTTCAAATGATGCTGATCCTTCTCTCCCCCCCCCCCCCAACCTCACCTTTCTCTCTCTCTCTCTCTCTCTAGGTGCCATATCAATTGACTTCTTCAACATTACTTCTCCATTCCCCAGTCTCTCACCCCTCTCTCCTTAAGCCATCTCTGCAGACTATCCAATCATAACACTCCTCTCTCCTCAAGCTATCTCTGCAGACTATCCAATCATAACACCTCTCTCTCCTCAAGCCATCTCTGCAGACTATCCAATCATAACACCCCTCTCTCCTCAAGCCATCTCTGCAGACTATCCAATCATAACACCTCTCTCTCCTCAAGCCATCTCTGCAGACTATCCAATCATAACACCCCTCTCTCCTCAAGCCATCACTGCAGACTATCCAATCATAACACCTCTCTCTCCTCAGGCCATCACTGTAGACTATCCAATCATAACACCCCTCTCTCTCCCCAGGCCATCACTACAGACTATCCAGTCATAACACCCCTCTCTCCTCAGGCCATCACTGCAGACTATCCAATCATAACACCCCTCTCTCCTCAGGCCATCACTACAGACTATCCAGTCATAACACCCCTCTCTCCTCAGGCCATCACTGCAAACTATCCAATCATAACACCCCTCTCTCCTCAGGCCATCACTACAGACTATCCAGTCATAACACCCCTCTCTCCTCGGGCCATCACTGCAGACTATCCAATCATAACACCCCTCTCTCCTCAGGCCATCACTACAGACTATCCAGTCATAACACCCCTCTCTCCTCAGGCCATCACTGCAAACTATCCAATCATAACACCCCTCTCTCCTCAGGCCATCACTACAGACTATCCAATCATAACACCCCTCTCTCCTCAGGCCATCAATGCAGACTATCCAATCATAACACGCTTCTCTCTCCTCAATCCATCTCTACAGACTATCCAATCATAACACCCCTCTCTCCTCAGGCCATCTCTACAGACTAATTAATCATAACACCCCTCTCTCCTCAGGCCATCACTGCAGACTATCCAATCATAACACCCCTCTCTCCTCAGGCCATCACTGCAGACTATCCAATCATAACACCCCTCTCTTCTCGAGTCAGTGAAACACACAAACTCTTCCTACATTTCAACAATTTTTTTTTCTTCTTCATATGATGAGTATATACTATGCTATTTATCCATTTTGGCACTGCTATTTATCAACTTTGCAGTTCCAGGGCTCACTCGATCTCTACCAGTTTAAGTTATGTATGGTTAATTCTAGGTTTCTACCTTTCTTACAGAAAATTGATGAGGCAATTGGGAAAGCGACCGAGTACCTGGTTACCCAAGTTGAAAATATAGACAGAGTCTATGACAAGGCTCTCGTCACTTATGCCTTGGCGCTGGCTGAAAGCGCAAGTGTGGGGACTGCAAATGGCAAACTGTGGGAAGATCGAAATGAAGATGGTGCGTAGAATAGTAGCCTGTTGAGTGATGTAGGTGATTTTAAGAGCCCTGATTTTTAAAACTGGCTTTACTTTCTTGTACATGTAGGTATTAAGTATCTGTGTGCCACATTGTATTTCACAAGAGATTTACAATGTTCATCTTTATATGTCAGTAAACCTGTATAATGCTACTATGCATTCAGGTAGTACAGATAAAGGGTTTATCATGTTTTAATATAAGATATGTTTTAATATAAGTTATTGTACAAACTGTCTAATAGGCAAAATAGTGATATTAGATTAATAAATTAAGTGTTAGGTATTTAATAATTATATATCTACGAATTTACGGATGAAGGTAAAAATAGAGAGGGATTTGGCGAAAGTACAGTACCCCCGACTTTAAGGGTATATAGTTTGAAAATTAGCCAATAAGACTTGCGACACCTAATAAACAATTCAAAGAGTGAACAATGGTCAATCAAAATACCAGTAAGTTTATGAGAGTACTTGAAAAATATGAGAAATAAATACTACAACAACCAAAAGGAAACCATAATCTTAGAAATCAATTATGTGGCAAACATGGTCATTTTAAATCCATTTTTTTAAACATTGTTATGATAAATATTAATGACAATTTTTGTTTTTTTGAACGAACTTGAATTTATTGTTTAATTACTATTTTTATTATAATTTGTAGTAAGATTGTTATTATTATGATTATTATTATTACCATTACTTTTTTTATCATTTACTCTTTGTTTTTGGACTTTTAGGTACTGGGGCTGTTAGTTTTACACCAGATGATGCCAACTATGAAGATGGCAGTCAGCCATTTTGGCTACAGAGGAAGCCTTCTGCTATTGAGATAGAAACCTCCGGCTACGCTCTCCTGGCACAACTTGCCTTACTTGATTATCAAAAGGCAGGCAAAATTGCTCTCTGGCTTAGCAAGCAACAGAACTATGGTGGAGGATTTGTATCAACTCAGGTGATTACAATTATTTACTAGTTAGAACTGACTAAGCTAAAGAGGAAAATCTACTTTATATAGTCACGATAGCTGGTTCACATTTTGACCATTTAATTCATGTGTGTGCTCATGATGTTACATTTTTTGCATTGTTGTTGCTTTTTTATTTGAATTTTTGTCTCGCCTGCGTAGCAAAAAAGTGAGACATAGGCGCCGCTTTTCCGGTGACAGCGACAGTGGCGTCAACATCAAAAATTTAACCTAAGGTTAGGTTTTTGAATTTTTGATATAATTTTGAAAGTTGAAAAAGTTGAGAAAGTTTGAAAATTGACAAGCAACTCAAGGCTGATATTGTATGTCTTACAAAGCAAGCAGATATTTACAATATAATAAAATAGTGTCAAAATACGAAAGCAATATATCAAAATAAAAATGGTAACATCACACAGCAATATTATAAAAGATTTAGACAAATGTATTGTAGATGTGGATCAGTAGTTATCAAAATAATTATTTTTTAAATGTGTGTGTTACCGGTAATGATTTGCTTTACCAATTTGGCTACAGATCATCTTCAACAAATTTTGTCCCATATTCAGGTCCTGAGATTAAGCATTTTGAGACCCGGTCAGCATTTTTTTTAGTACACTTAAAGAGTACCAATCACTAATTATATTTTGCTCTGTGTACTTATATATCCATATTCGTTTTAATACTATATTCAAAACATTAGCTTCAGATATTACTTCTGGAAAGAGATACTGCAAGATTAGCTATGCTCTCAATAGTTTATGCACAGATCTCTACTAAATGCCATGTTACAAATTATTTCATTCACATGATACAAATAATCATATTTCAATAGTCAGAATGTGAATGAACCCTGTATTTGTGTAACATGTTTTATTTATCCTCTTATTATTATCCATGTACCTTAATGGTATGAAGGATACCGTAGTAGCACTACAGGCACTTGCCAAGTATACTGAGCGTCCGGAGTTCAATACCATCGATATGAACTGTGACGTGGCAACTGAGCAAATCCCTCTTCATAGGTATCACATTGGGAATGACAATGCCAAAGTACAAGAAGAAGTTGATGTAAGTATGTTTGTATTTCATGTTACCGCAGTATATCTGAACAAGGCTTACTGTACCAAACTTGTTTTCTTTCAATCAAATTTTTGGTTATGATATTCATAATATCCAGATGAACACAATATTTGCAAGTCAAAGCTTTTTATGCCTCCGCTACAAAGAGTCTTTATGTTTTTGTGGTTGTCCGTACGTACGCCCTGTTCTTGTTATCGCTTTATCTCAAGAACTGATTGATGGATTCCCGCTAAACTTGGGTCATGTATGTATCTTGCAAAGCCAATGAACTGATTAGATTTGGGGGCCACAAGTTTAAAGGTCACGGCTCATTATGTATGCAAAAACAGCTTGTGATCACATTATCATTAGCACCGATGAATGGATTACTATCAAACTCAGGACATGCTTGTATCTGGCAGAGCCAATGGAATGATTAGATTTTAGGGTCATGAGGTCAAAGTTCAAAGTGCCATTCATGTATATAAAAAAAAGCTTGTAACCATGATATTCTGAGAACCTGTTAATGGATTACAATCAAACTTGAATTCTAAAAAGTGTTTCTGTTTTGGTTTGTAAAATTGGCTCTATGGTGGAGGCACCATCTTCTACTGCGCGCAGACGAAGATCCATCTAGTCTTTTCTATAACCTGTAAACCACATCTAAGATTTTTTAGGACATCTGATCATTGCATTACTGGTATACATGTCCATGTAATAGCCCTACTAGAGCTCAGATCATACCAAATATGAAGGGAAATGACTCCACAATTTATGCACATACTTGGTAATGTTCTGGACTTGGACTTGTACAGTGTACGTAAGATGTTCCATTGTAACCAGAGATGCCAGTCTTCAGGCTTTTGCCCCATTTCAGGCTTTTTCAGGCTTTTTCAGGCTTTGTACAACACATATATGGGGCTTTAATGTGTTCTGGCTTCTTTTTAGGCCCAGTGAGTAAAACTGACTGGCATCCCTGTGTAACTTACACATATATCTTATTGTGATTCAACATTCAACTTACTTCTAGATACTAATCAAATTATTCGTCAAACGCAGTCAAACGTGATCATTTTATACCGAGACTTTCATACGTATTTTCATAAGAATGCATGCAGTATTTTCAGTACTATATACACACGATTTGTTGTATGTAGATGAATACTGTACAAGCATAGCACTGTGCATTATATGCCTGTAGAGTACGCTAGTTCTGTACGGGCTAAAGTACATGAGCCTATTTGAACTTGGGATTTATTTGTCAGCAATAATGACAGAAAGCAATCTTTATATAATTAATGTAATTATATTTTACATATAATAACAAGGTTTGTGCTTTCAAAGGGTGGGTTATCTTCACTCAAGTTTTTTAATCATTGATGACAGCTCCAACACATTCACACTTACTTATAAAGCCATAGTGCACTACAAGCACTACTGCAAAATCGCCTCTAGCGCCATCTCAGGACAGCTGTAGCAGTATGGTGCCCTAACTCGCTGCTTCCCGAGCTGCGCAGTTGTTCTTGCATCAAGTCCTCTTTCTGCAAAGTGGAATTAGGTATTGGGTATTGGGTTACGCACTGTTGCCAAGTTGACCATGAGATGGTGCTGTGCAATAAACAGTATGCTAGGGCAGAAATTTCAGTATTGCTTTATTTAAAGACATATGACATGTAATATCTGAAGGCTCTGAAGTTATTGTCAACAATTTGCTTATCTTCCACATGTTCCTGATCATAATTAGTAAACGTGCAATTTACATTACAAAACGCTGACCTTTTACAATTAAGAGCTTCGCGATGTTACCGTATTTGCCGGCGATAAGGCCGCAGCGCCGCGTAGGCCGCACCCCCGATTTTGACATTAAAAAAAAAAATTGTCGGAGGCGGAATATGAACCCATGCGTACAAATGTAGATAGCGACCTGAACCACCGCCTTAGACCGCTCGGCCATCCCGATCTTGATGCTTTCACTTGCAGCTTTCTCTTGTTTATACATTGCACCTTTCTCTTGTGTATTGCGCCATAGCTTTGTGCTTTAATTGCGAGCAAAAACTTAATTCTAGATCTACCAGTAGAGTTTGGTTGGTAAGTTATGAATTTTATTTATGAGATTTAAAAAATATAACACCTAATTGTCGGTAAGACATGTGTTTTTCTAGAAATGTCCATCACCTTTCATTGTTGTCCCATATGTACAAATTCGGGCTGTCTTTCAAGGTTTTGACTTGCGACTTATAAAAAAAAAAAAATTTACTCTTTCGCCGCAAAGGCCGCACCCCGACTTTTTGATATTTTTCTTCCAAAAATACTGCGGCCTTTACTTCAGCAAATACGGTATAGTTCCAGCTGAAATGCAAATACACACAGTATACATGTAAAAAAACAGTTTTTGTGTTGCCAATTTGATACTTTTTTTACAATAATAGCAATTCGTGTAAAAGGGTCCATGCGCAGGGAGTTGCTAAATTTAGCAAACTCCTTGCATTCGCCTGCGAATACTATAATACTAATCGCTTTTGTCGTAAACTCAAATAGAGATGTGGGCCTGTATTCAATTTTATAATTGAATGTTGTCAGTATCCATCAAGCATTTATCTTAGCTGTTAAAGTGAAATTGCTCAAGACTCATTTAGATCACATCTAAGTATTTTAATGATACCGGTATGCCAGTCAACTTTAAAGCAAAATGAATGTTCATGTACTTACTGATGCCTAAAGAGACGTCACTTACTCAATCCAAAATGATGTGCGATAAACGTGTTGCATTAATTAGTATACTCTGATAGATTTATGCACAGCTTATGACTGCATATGAAAACCACATACTGCCAATCAAATAATTGTCTTAAGTCAGGTAGGAAGTTGTCTTAAATTTAAAGGGTAAAATTCTTGGCTAAAAGCTACCTGAATACCAAAGTTTGCTAATACTTACATGTAAACTGATAACTGAGTAAAATATGCATATTTCTGACCGACATGTATATGGTAAAGAAAACAGTATACTGGCCCATATATTTTTTTGTTGTTGCTTTTCTTGTTAACTGCATTTTTTCTTTTTTTTTCTTCTTCTTTTACAGGTGTCACCGTCAATTGGACGCAGCTTAACAATTGATTCTAGAGGAACTGGGGTTGCCAAAGCAAATGTAGGTTTAATCTTGAGTTCTTTGTTAAACATAAGTATTTGAGAATGGAAATACTATTGCAAATGATCAAACCTGTTCAAATGCTCACCTGAAGATGATATAATAGACTGTTTTTAGTGAAGAGAACATAATAGTGAAAGTTCATTCAAATGGAAATCACTGTCCTATATCAGTATTTTCACAAATTCTGGAGTGTTTATTTTGTATGTTTCATATTATTTCTAAGAAAAACAATATTCTTTCTAGTTTACAATATGGATTTAGAATTGGTCATTCAGCTATGCTTGTCTCTACTTGGATTTTTTTAAAAAGCTTTTGGTTGCATTAATCATCAATTGTTACTTAATTTGCCAAACTCAGATTCGGGGCGGGGGGGGGGGGGGGATTAGGGGACCTAGAGTGTTTGACTGAATCTAAGATTATTTAAAGGATAAAAAACAGTTTGTAAATTATATTGGTATTCATTCAAGCGAGTTAAAACTGTCATGTGGAATTCTGCAAGGCTGTATTCTCGGACCCCTAGGTTGTTTTTTCTCTCTCATTTATTTAAATAAACTTTCTTATTTGTCTGAGTTACTGTCATAAATTAGCTTTGCCGATGCGCCAAAAGTTTTCAGGTGATTTATATCTGAAGTCATTGATGTATAAAATGAATATACATACACGTAAACGAGGTTTTTGATTGGTGGAAAGTTAAAGGGATTGTTTAACAATGTTAAATCTGAGATAAGTGCATGGCCCTACGTGTTATCAATGTCTGTGATATGGTGTTATATTGAAGCCCTAAAAAAAAATTGCGCTTTAAAATGATCAAGAAGAGCCTCAAAAAAGTAAAAACCTTTGAGTGACCGGTTTTACCACACCTATTTTCCCCAATAGACCTGTAGTGTTATGAAAACCGTTTGGCAAAGGCAAAATTTGATTTCGATTTTCAATCATAAATATCTTGATAATCAGACAGGCGATCGGCTTGTAAAAGTCATGGGGTTCCTGACTAATCTAAAGATTTATAATAATTGAAGCGATCCACGGCGAGACGGCCCGGTGGCCAAAACCGCCCCGCCTAGTACCGACTCAGAAAATGTTAAAGTATAGCTTTAGTTCTTGAAGTGTAGAAAACGAAGATAAATCAAAGTCACTGAAACAAATTCTTGATTGGAGTTGAAGATTTATTAAAATAAACGAAGAATTAATAAATCACGAAGTTCATGTTTTGGGGCTGGGCAACCCAATCGAAACAAATTAGCAACTCATGTCGATCGTAACGGAAAAGAGGTCCCGCTCTAGAGACGCAACTCGGTTTTTATACCCCCGAACTGACACGCCTCGCGCACCCAAAAATTGAGGCGTGTCACACAGACGCATTGCGTAATATCAATCCACCCATAATTAGTTTCCGTATTAAAAGGTCCTATATTTCTTGGCGAATTTACCCCCTCGGATATAAGGCGCTCCGGATGATCCGCATCTCTATTCCTCACATACTTCTTTCACGCACCCACCTGTGTCTCTTGCATTCTAATCTTTCAAACAAGAGATGCAAATCACCCGGAGACCCAACAACCCTGGAAATTAATTCAATCAATATAAAAAGGGATAAATGTTGCTATGTCCGTCCACACTAGCGAGCCAACATGCTTCTGGCTATTACACACCTGTAATCCTCACTTCCTCTCTCATACTATTTCGATAGTGTGAACAGACCCGACAACAAGGAAAAACCCTTCCAATTGTAATACAAATCTATTTCCCAAATTTGCCTAATTAAATTTAAGTCAACTGTGGCGACACGCCCAGCGACACCTAATCCAATCGGCCAAGCCGAAAAAGTAGAGCCAAAATTAAGAGCGCAACGTCTCGGAACAGGTGTTAAAAATAGCATACAAGGAATTCACCATGTATGTTTGTAAACATAGTTCTAGCGAAATCTACCAGGAATTTGCCTTGTACATGTACGTCAATGAACCTTTGAGGAAAACGTAAACACGAGAATATCCATATCATTACATAATCATTGTAGCATGAGCTAAATCAAGGATTTTTTTTAAGGATCTAAGACAAAGTTACTGGATCCCTTTAATGGCATTTGATTTCACCTAGATAAAACAAGTTATATGCATTAAAACCCAAACACCCATAGCATTTATCATAGCAGATCCATTAATCATACTATACAGTGCGTATAAAACAAAAGTATACCCAACTTTAGTAGCTTATAATTAAAATTCATAATTAATGTGACCTTGACATCTATTTCATGGTGAATAGTAACTTGTTTCCTGTCGAATGATACGTATACTCTTTTCATAATTTTTTTGTCATGGATGACCTAGGAACAGGGTTTTTACAAAGTGCCGTCAAAATTCCCTCGTACCAAGTTTGGGCTGAGGTACTGAATGTGAGTTGGGGCATATGTATGTGTTACATTTCAAAAGTTAAGTTCTGCTTCATACTCAAGTGCTTCATTGTTTAAAGTGATCCAATGTATCTAAGCTTTCACAGGACCCTGTTCCAATCCAAAGGATAACCCTAGATTATTCTAAATACTCTTCTAACTTCTTGTCGCAGTAAAATCTCACTTCTTATTTATTGCAACATCTCACATATGTGCAGAAAAGCCAAGATTGTGTCATCATAACAAAGAGAATATAGATATTGCTTGTAAATGAACATTTTCTCGAATCAGAGTTGACATTAATACTTTTTTTTATTATCATGCACAATAATTAATAATTAATTAATGTGAATATATCAGAAATTGTTTTCGGATTGTTTTAGTGCTTTTGACCCACATTCATTGCTTCAGCCCAAACTTGATACAAGATAATTTTGAAAAGGCTGCGTCTTAGTCATCCTTGGCAGCCGAGTTATATATAAGGTTTCATTACGCAGAATATTAGTTACTCTTCAAAATGAAATATAATTAAAGTTTGCATAGGTTATAATGACATTCAAATGGGAATTCCCGAAGTTGTGTATTTCTTATTTTTTATACGCACTGTACAGACCTTTCCACCCATGCTCTTTTAAAAAAAAACTTTCAATTAAAAAAATGTGTCTAGAAATTTAAATTTGACAATGAAACACTGGATTAAAACTGAAAAAAATGAAAGTAAGCATGGATAACTGTTTGTAAATGCTTTTGGGGGGTTTGTTTTACCTGATTGCCAAGCAAACATATGTATGTGTATGTTCGTAAGAAGCGACCAGGGGACCAACAGCTGTAGGTTCTCTTCAAGGGACTTGGTAATGGGGATTAATGTCTTTAATACTAAAGGGCAGTAGCGCATCAACCTGCTGGTTTTAATACAAGACCATTACTCTACCACTGAGTCATCGCGCCTCACAATGGCAAAGAAGGTAAGGGTTAAAGTGTTTTATACTCAAGTTGTTTCATTTTTTTTCCCCAAAGGTGGAGCTGCGTTACAACACAGAAAAATCTGATATTGACACCTGTCCATTCCATCTTAACATCAGTGCTGTAGAAGTCCCATCAGATGAAGTCAGTGGTCAGAATGTGAAGGGGCTGATGATAACAGTCTGCACAAGGTAAATACTTTAAATGCTTTACCAGCTAGGGTAGACAGTCTAACACGAGTATGAAAAGTGCTTTTCCTAGGCCTGTAACCTAAAAGTTGCAATCGGTTGCAAAATAGCAACGGCCAATAAAAATCATTGTTGCATGCACATATTGTTCAATAGGTTGAATATTTATCCAATCAGAATCATTGTCTTTCAAATTTGCAATTGATTGCAAACCTTTGTGTTATGGGGCCCTCATGTTTTGGCCTATGTGAGCACAGTAAACTTTTCATTCTTGATGTGAGAGATACAAATTTTGGAAACTTCTGGGATGGTAGAAAACAGTCTATATATTTGTCAATGTGTCCTTTGGCAAGATATTTATCTAAATCTGCCACTCTCCACTCAGGTGCAGTAAAGGGTACCAGGCAGGAAGAAATTCCTTGAATGCTTAAGCAAACTATGGTAGCTTGGTGAAAGCTGGGGAATTATAAGATCAAAGGGACCTCCGAAATAACAGTGTTTTTTATACTAACCTGGGTTAATTAGGTTATAGCCAATGCATTTTGTTCATTAAAATACATACATGTAGATCTCTGAACAGATGTAATTCATGTAGTATGAAAGCCCGTTTCCTACTTACGCAGTAGACTGTTTCGCAAAAACCTGTGCGGTAAAATTTTATTTCCTATAATGAATAACACTATGTATCATATGTCTATGTATGCAAAGAGTTTTTAGGAATAATGAAAAAGATATTTTAACAAAGAAAAAGACTTAAGATTAGATATTCGAAAATCCAAAATTTTGGTACTCTTTCTCCACATCTGAAATTTTCATTATTTAAAGTATGTTTGTCAGATTTTCTGCATCCACCTAGCCCGTCTCTGTCAAGGTCAATCCCCCTCTAAAGATTTATCATTTATGAGCAGTATTTTATTAATCTTCGATCATCTCTAATTAAAAAAGTCAATTGGCTATTTTTTCTCTCAATGTTTTCAGTTATAATCTATGCTTTATTACATATGAATCCATGATAGAATCTCTCTTAAATATGACACTGGTTGTGGGTTGTCAATTAATGTGAGGGACATGGGGTCCTGCTACACCACTCTTATTCAGAATATGCTCAACAGTCTGAATTTGACCACATGGACACAGGTCAGAGTCTTCCAGACATTCAGATTTGCTGCAAAATGGATTGCAAGCCTTTTGTTAAAGTTAAAGCAGACCGGGAGCCAAATATCTGAAAAAGCGGCTCCCGGTCGATAAATTTTTGAGAGAACCGGGAGCCGTTTTTCCAGGACTAGGAGCCATTACCAAAACTAATGAAAATACCTATTGTTTTAAATTATTTATTAACCATTACCTTTAATTCATTCATTATTCATTGTCATTAGTCTATCAGTACACTATAAAGTAACCCTGTAATTTGGGGCTTTGATCGGATTGGAAGACTGATCGGAGCGACACCCTAGGTCGCACCTTTGACTGGTATCGGCAAAAAGTATTAAGCCTATTTTTTAAAATATAGTTTCTAGTCCTACTTCAAATTTTGAGCCTTTTAATACCTAAAATCACTCATACCTTGAAAATCTCTCATTTATAGATGTTGTAGTTCATGATTAAAACTATTTTCATGCCGTTAAATGTCAAAAAATGGTAAAATGATCAGAAAATAATCGGTAGAAAAAATTATTGTAATTTTTTGTTATTTCTTTTAATCCAAAATTTTTTCAAGTTTTTGGGCTATAAAATACTAAAAAAAACATGCAAAGCTGGGATTATTTTGTCATTTTGGAGTTGTTGTAGACCATGTTTGTTGATATTAAGTGCCTTTTCATGACTTTGAAATTAAAGATATTAGTCTAAGAGAAGATGCAAAACATTTGAGCCTCCATCTTGGATTATAACGACAATGGAAAAAAAATGTGTGCCTACATATAATCTAAAATAGCGGCTCGCATGTTTTACCTCCTCTACTAGACTAATATTATTTATTTCAAAGTCATGAAAAAATACTTAATATCTACAAACACGGACTACTACAAATCCGAATGACAAAATAATCCCGGTTATGCATAAAAGTATTTGATAGCCCAATACTTGAAAATGTTGGCCTTTTTAATATTTTTTTTTGTTAATAATTTTTTTCTACCGACTATTTTCCGATCATTTTCATTGATCGGCAATCAGAATTTATTATCCGATTTCACCTGATCGGCCAACGATGAGCCACCGATCTGATCATCGGTTGGGGTTCATACTATTTACAGTTAAGTTTGACACGACTTTGTGCGCAAAATTCTGAAATTGTGATCTATTTCCATCATTATTGCCACAATTTTTATATAGTTTTCAGGAACAGAGTTGTGAAATCAAAGCTTGGATTGTCATTATTCTGGCCATGGCCATGTATACTGAATTTTGAGAATCGTTTTTCAAAGTCAAGTTTTCACCAAAAGTCAAACTTTTAGACGGAGTAATAGTGTTGCTCACGCACTTTCGATCTCCGCTCTCCACCCGGCTGGCCGCCCTAGCGGTTGCGCTAGGAGTAGGAGATAACGGCCTCTCATAGTTGTGCTGCAATAGTTTCGGGGCTTTTTTTTGGATTCTCTTTGTAAAATGGATTTGCCAGGGCTAATTCAGTCTACATTTAACTTGTATTAAGTATGTTTTTTGTCACATTTGTTAACTGTTGTGCTGGCCATGTGAAAGTTTCTGAAACAGGGGGGTGTTTCACAAAGATCCCCAGTCGAACTTAACTCTAAGTTGGACTTACATATTATGGAAAGCCATTTGTAGCCTTAAAATGAAATATATTCAAAAGTGAAAATTCAGGTATTTTTGAATTTTTATAAATTCCACATCAAGAACATGAAATTTCCTTGATAATAGAAAATATGAATGCTTTGAATCAACACTTCATGCCTTTTTAAATAGCTTTTACAAAATATTTTCATAGATTTTCATAGATGCTAACGGCTTTCCATCATTTTTAAGTCCTACTTAGAGATAAGTTCAACTTAGGATCTGTGTGAAACACCACTCAGGAAATGTTACTTCTCCCAGACCAGGCGCCAATTATTAAAAAAGACCGGCGCCCGGTACTCATTTTCCCCGTCTTACCGGGCGCCAAAAGTCAGGGACTGTTGGGTAAAAATCGCCCGGCGCCCGGTTAATTAAAGGCTTGGACACAGGTCAGAGTCTTCCAGACCTTCAGATTTGCTGCAAAATGGATTGTGCCTGATCATAAGCAATTCAGCTGAACCCAGGTCTTACTGGAAAGGCTGCAGCCAGAAGGATGAGAGGGACAAGCTTTAAGATATAATAGCTGGTTTTATATACCTCACTTAAGAAATCCAGCCATCTGATTGGTCGAAATTGCATTCATAAACTTCAACTATTCCTGTAAAATTCCCGGTAAAATTCCAAACCCATGTAATAGTTCAAAAAAATATTTCTAAAATCCCAGTTACCATGGTTACTGGGAAAATAGTTCAGTCTTGGTGAAATACCCATAGGTTCACATGTTAAAATATGGTCTGAGCGATCGAGGATACCGTACGTGTGCGATGAATTGGTCGGTAATTTCAATACAATTGAATCTCAATCGATCTTACTGACAATTTTATCTTGCATTGTTGACATGAAGACGAAAATAAACTTCCAAAAACAACATCTGCTGATAGATCTTGATCTAAGTTCGTGCCAATGCATTGCAAAAGTAAAAGAAGGGCCCGTTTAATAGAGCTGCCGCGAAGCATCCAGCACGCGAAGCCGTTTTAAATCCATTTTAATTTATAAATAAGAGAAAACTGCTAGGTATGGTATCAGTGCGCAATGGCCGAGCGGTCTAAGGCTGTGATTACAGTCACATCATCGTTGGTACGCAAGAGATCGAATCCCATCTTCAACAAAAAAAAAAGAATTATTTTTATTTTTTAGTCTAAATAATTTTTTAGTCTACTCTCAAAGATACACACGTAAAAAACAACCGTGCAGACAAACAAGATAAAGGCCAAGATGTTGTCATAAGTTGACTCTTTTTTTGGGGCATATAAAGTATTAATGACTGCTTTAATATTCGAGAAATATTTGTTTTTATACGCTCTTGCAGGCGGGTACACAGGGGGTTAAACCCCCCCCCCCCTTTGGTATTTTTTTTTTTCTTTGGACACAAAAAAAAAAAAAAAAAAAATTATTCCCATGGCTGACCTAAAACAGGTGTCCTTACCCCCCCCCCCCCCCCAACGTAGCAAAATGTCAAATTTTTAAATTTCGAGACCAAAAAAAAAAATTAAAAATGTCCTCCTACCCCCCCCCCCCCCCCCCTTATAAAGCAACTAGCTGAGTCGTTGCGAAATTTTTGGCCCGATTTATAAATGTTAAAACCCCCCCCCCCCCCCCCCTTGAAAAAATCCTGCGTACGCGCCTGCGCTCTCGAGAAGGTTACAATTGGGCTATTGCAATAGCACAATTGTAACCTTCCCTTGATCGTATAAAAACAACTATTTCTCTCAAAGCAGTCATTAATACTATACTGTGTCCTACGCTCAAATCTATCTACATTTAAAAGACAACCAAATACCTACTGTTTACCTGCAAGATACACCTAGCTTTTTATGTTTGCTCTATTTTACCTATTTTTTTAAGCACTTACATGTATTATAAGTGGAACTATTGTCTAAAGCACAAAATATTATTATCATAATTGATTTTTCTTTTCTTTTTTGATTGAAGCTACAATGGTGATGGAACAACCCATATGAGCATTGTTGACGTAGGATTGTACTCTGGATTTAAGGCTGTTGAAGAGGGACTTACAGGGCTCAAACAGGTAAGGCTTAAAGTCCTGTATAAAAAAATAAAAAAATAATGATAATAATGATGATGTTAATAATTTTGTTTATTCAGGGAAGCCTCATCTGCCTCAATGCTGTTCCTTCTAAGGGCCCTGCATTATTATTACCCCAGCCATTTGCACCTGGGTGGAGAGCGGCACATGTGAATTAACGTCTTGCCAAAGGATGTTATAGCAGTGCTGAGATTCGAACTGTCAATTGAATGAATCACTGTACCACGATACCTTCACCAAAGTTGATAGTATTGGTAATTTTAAAATAACAGTTCTGATACTACCCTCCAAATCTGTTGAATGCTCTAAGCTCCAAATTGAGATTTTATGACAGCACAGAAATTTCTATTGGGCAATTACATGTACCGGTACTTGTGGACATTTTGGGGGTAATATTGATGAATTAAAAAGTGTAATTTGACATATTTTGATGACAGTTTTGGTACTGTGAAGCCCAATGGAATTGAAGCAAAAAGGTTTATTCTTGCATTAAAGGTACTATGTCCCTTTTGCAGCCAATATCAAATTCTGTAGAACTTTGCAGGAATTATGAATATGTCATGTATCCTATCTGTGAAATTTAAACGTTAGCAGTGTCCTAATATTCAAATTATTCAAGGAAACCCATTTACTTGCTAGACTTCACTGTCAAGACACTGTTGAGTGACCGACTGGCTTTTTCATCTTTGGTAATAACATGAGCATTACATGACATGAGCATTTGTCAACATCAATAACCCACTTTTTGTAATGGCCAAAATTAAACTGATTAAATCTTTGCGCAGCATAAAACATACAACCATTCGGTACAGTGGTCTGAAAAATCAGACTATTACTTACTGGCTCTATAGCTCCTAAGTCGATACAAATAATAGTCGTTATTTTCCCACTTAAAGACATTTTCAAGCCCCCTTTTTTATAGGGAAGTTCTAAATTAGTATTGTCTTTCAAATGCCTTGGAATTCAACCTTTTCATTTTTTTGGCCTGCAAATGGGACATAGTACCTTTAAAAGACCACATTTGCAGCCCTATGCCTGGACTACAGAATTTGCAATGTGAAATACATGTACATGATAACAAATATAGATCATTTGATTTTGATACTGAGGTTTTAAATATGAAAGGGAATTAAGAAGTGATGGGAGCTAGAGTAAACACATACATGTATAAGAGATTATTGTTTGTCTGCGGTACGATTGTTTGTATTGTAAATGTATGCATACTTATGTTGGGTTTGGGGCGTTTCCCGGTGGAATGTAATTTGCATAGCCAGCTCGTACAGGTGTGCGAGCTTCTTGCCACGGAGACCAGGGCGTGGCATCAGTTAGTGTGTATTTAAATCATTCTAGCTTGACCTTCAACAAGACAACTTTTATTTACAGTGAAAGTGCGATGTGTTACGTTATGCTGTGACATGGGTCTTAAGGTTTTCCAGAGTTTTCTTGATGAGTTTTACCTTTGGTTTAAAAAAAAAAAAAAAATCTATATCTTAATGATACAGCGTGTATTATAAGCAGGCGCGCCAGAAGCAGTTTGGGATTTGGGGGGGGGGGGGCAAACATTCCAGGGGGCTCACCTTCCAGGGGCATTTACGTAACAAGCAAAAACGTTTGGAAGGGTGGGGGGCAGAAGAAAAATCTGCATCACCACCACTCTTACACATTACATGCAGGCCCCGCGGAACGTTTTTCAAAGTGGATTATTAACGATCAGGTAGAGCGTAAATTGGCATGGGGTCCAGGGCCTGAGCCCCGGCAGGGGGTCAAGGGGCTGAGCCCCCAGAAGCTAAGGAGTTTTAGGCATTACAATTATGGTCAGATCAGCATATTTAACCTTAGATAACCTTATTTGTGACACTGGCAGGCCCCTAATTGGCGGAGAGTCCAGGGAGCTGAGCCCCGGAAGCTTGGGTTTTTTAGGTATTTAATTATGGTCAGATGAGCATACAGGGGACAGCCTTAGGGCACTTGGGGGGTGCGGGGGCAGAGCCCCCGTGAGCTCTGGGGTTTTAGGCATTTAATTACGGTCAGATGAGCATCCAAGGGACCACCTTAGGACCCTTGGTGGGGTCCAAGGGGCAGAGCCCCAGAAGCTCGGGGGTTTTAGGTATTTAATTACGGTCAGATGAGCATACAGGGGACCGCCTTACGGCCTTTGATGGAGTCCGGGGGCAGAGCCCCCGTAAGCTCTGGGGCTGTAGGCATTTCATTACGGTCAGATGAGCATATTTTGATACCTCATTTGTGCCATTGGCAGGTCACTTATTTTTTCTCTCTCTTTCTTTTTCACTGTAACATACTTTTTTCAAAAAGTGAGGGGGGCGTTCTGCAGACCCTGACATAAAGGCTTCTAAATAAGCATATTTTTTTCCAGACTGTACTTTTGAGAATTTTAATTTTCCAACAAACGCATAAAAAGGTACGACTTACAAAAAATTGAGAAAAAATATTGGAAAATCATGACATTTCAGCAACATTTGTAAATCACTGGTATAGAATAAAAAATACCCTCCCCCCCCCCCCCCCCAGTTCCATCGTTCAGGGGCTCATGAGCTTCTCAACCCTATAACAAAAAACAGACACGCTCTCCCATTCTCTCACAATATGTCCACAATATGCGCGTATCGCTATTATAAAAACCTCCATTGATTTATGTAGGTAGCATGCGCAATGTTTAGGAAATTTAAGTCCTGTTAACTTTCCTTTTCTTTGAATGGAATTTTATACGTAATTTAATTCAGGTTTTTTATTATTTTTATGTTCTTTTGGGTTAAAAATACAAACCATCTTTACTCCTTTACTGCTTTTTTTTTTTTTTTTTTTGGGGGGGGGGGGGGGCAAAAATGCGTTTTGCCACCCCCCCCCCCCCCCCACTTTTTTGTTTGGGGGGACAACTTACCCCCACTTCCGGCGCCTATGATTATTAGTACATAAAATCAACAAGAAATTGCCAATTTGCACATGAAAATAGTGATTAAAAATCTCATCCTGCATTTCCAAGTTACAGACTTCAATTACTATTTGAGATTGCTGTGCATGCGGAGAGCCATTGGAGTGGACGCGTTCTAGTGTTCGATAATGTAGCCCCTTTACCATGACCCATGATCTAGCATTTCTTTCAGATATTTACAACAAAATACACTGGAAATTGTGGATGAGATGTTAAATTGAATTGCACATATATATATATATGTAAAAGTGCAAGATTTCTCAACTCTGACATGACAACGGGTGTTCCAGAATATGTAGGCGTGAAGAAAATGGTATAGGAACGTGAGACATAGCTGTACTTTACAGTTACGTCTCACGCTCCTAGACCATTTTCTTTCACGCCTATATAATATATATATGTATATGTATAAGAAGATTAATGTGAGACTGTGGTACATTTAACATGTTTCATGCCAATCTTGTTCTTTGCTAATTAACTTTATGTAAGCTTTAAATGCATTATTGATATCAACTTCTTTTTCCAGGTGGTGAACGGCAGTGACTTAATTTCTTCGTATGAAGCCAGCTCACGCTCTGTTATCTTTTATTTAGATACGGTAAGGAACATGCCGCATTTTGTCTTTTAGTTTATGTAATACTGTAAAAAAAAATTAAACCTATAATAAATTAAATATATTAACAGTGATGAAGGTCTAAACAGAATGTGATTAAAATCAGCCAAACAAAAATCCTTGTCATTTTTAGAAAGCAATTTGTATAAAAGTTTTCCTCAAGTATATATAACTGTACATGTATATGGCATGAAACACAAGCACATTATGATTTGTGGTTCTATCTTATACATGAAATCTAGGACTTTTGTTTCCAAATTGTTGATGCCTTGAAATAATCGCCTCTTAGATTCCCATTGAAAGATCTGTGTTACATTTTTTCAGCCAAACCTTGCAAAAATTCTATGAATAATTTTTTATTTTTTGTTTTTTTGTAATATTTGTCTCTTAAATTGGTAATGGTGAAAATCTTTGTATCACATTTCCAGGCAAATTTTGCCTGAAATGTAGGAACATTTTCAAATAGTTTCATCACTTTCTTTCTTTCTTTCAAAATCTGTCTCTTAGAATCTGAATGAAAAAGATCAGATGTTTCACTTTTTTAAATCCAAATCTTGCATGATATCTAGTGACATCTTTTCAGCATTTTGTTTCTTTGTAATATTTGTTTCCTAGATTCCGAGTGATGAAGATCTGTGTTTTACTTTTTCTGCCGAATCTGACGTGGTTGTAGGAAATGTGCAAGCAGCTGCTGTACATGTCTACGACTATTATGACCCAGGTAATTCTCTTTCAATACTTTTCGTTATATATTTGAAATTCACAAATGAATAAAGATTTTTTTTGTTGTGCAAAATGTTCATCCTTTTTAAAAATATTTTTAATTGAATCTAAACAGAATCGAAATATAAACAAATAATAGGAGATTCATTACAAATCAAGAGTAACATGATAGACAAATTAGCATCAATCAAAGTAATAAAAGATCAATAAAGCAGGAAAGCAGGCAGCCAAAGAAGAAAATATATTTAAAACCTCCATTTATGAAAATGAGTTGCAAGTCTGTTTTTCTCTTTGCTATACAGTATTTATTACAGATATTTTAATACAAACAGCAATGTAAGCAATGTAAACCTTGAAAGTCAGGGATTTGTAAACCATCCAAAAGTAAATTATTTCCCATGAGTTGTCTTTTGACCCTATCATTGCTATCACTCAATACAAAACTTTTTAAATCTTGTATTTAACTGTCTAAAAAAGAAAAATATAGAAGTTGTGGCAATAATAGGGCCTTTCTAACACAAATCTTCCTATTTGGGGATAAATTTCTTGCGCGTTAACAATTTAAGGTATTTTCAGTGGATATAAGATTTGTCTTTAATTTAGTTAAGGTCAAATAATTGATTTATTTTCAAAGAAAAGTGTTTCTATGCTTCTTCCACTAAAAAAATTGAGAATCCTTCTTGGAGCCAATCCATATTGCTTCTGATTTAATCATATGAAACTTACAGCAAGATTTACAGGAAAGTGTCTCAATCATATCAAATAAATATTTACAAGATTCTTTTAGGCCATCAGTAAAAAATGTGGAATCATCTGCTAACAAACAAATTTTTAATCAATTCCCTTCTTAAATCACAAGGAATATGACCAAGCTTGTCAAAACCATGTCGTCCTGAGACTACAGTTAAAGAGATGGTTCATTGAAATGTGGAAAGTGGACAAATTACACCTCTACAGATTGCTAAGAACATTAACAAAATGAGCAAAGTACTTTTGAAGCCCTCACTGTTCTGAGGAATAAATTAAATGCAATTTTGTTACCCTTTCCTGAACCCACTCACAACGTGAATTGACGGCGTTATTTTACATGCGAAACGATGACGTCACAATATGAACAACCTACTTCACACATTCAGGACAATGTTGGATACCCATTGCAATTTTCAGATATGGGTTAACACTGTTTGTATATTTACCGCCAGTGGCATTTTGAATGAGATACACTGAATAAATGATACTTTCTACAAATGTTTGTTTGATTTTTATATATTTTTTCCGTCACACTTGAGCATAAAAATGTGGAAAATAATCACATATTCTGAGGGCACTTCAGCGTGTATGTGTCTGATCTGGGAAGGCAAAGGACATTTTGCATGCTGACCTAATGACTCTGTGAAGTAAAATAGGTGACAAATTTACATAGAATTGTCCAGATATTCATTACAAAAATGTGTGATTAGGCTGATTAATTTACATTTTTGATAAATTAAGTCGTATAGGACCTGATAAACCGAGAGAAACAGATCAGTCCGGTTCACGATTCACGGCTAGCTTGAGCGCCGGGCTACGGGCTAGGCTGGCTAGTAAGCTGCGCTAGATGTGATGCACGCATAGAGTCAGTGTATTGCACAAAGTCATGCACAGAGTACGCACTCACAGCTACTGTAGCTACGGGAAACTTGAACGCTACATCGACGATATATTCACTTGCTGTTTCAAAGTTATATACCATTTATCTAGACTAACGTCAGATTAAGAACCAAAACCATGCCATGGAGGGGCCTTCTGGAGTATACTCAAGTATGATTCCGTCCATATCTATATTTCCAGGGGATTTTGGTGAAGGTAAACAGCGTTTAATAGGTATAGATGGGTACGGTACTCGAGAGTCAATGCAATACATGTGAATCGCACGCAAAATGCATCTCCACTGTCGTCAATCATTTCAGCTGAGCGGCCCGCTGTTCATATTGTGACGTCACTTCAAAAATCAGCTGACTTACGATGTTTTCGGGGCGTTGAGTGGGTTGATTTTTCGTCAAGTTCAATCAACTTTTATAAATTTCGCTCGAATGTACAAGTTACACAAATGTAATGAATTTACTCAGTGTAATTTTTCGATTGCAATGATACCAAATTCAGTCAAGTTTGTAATCAAGAAACCATCTCTTTAATATCCAAAGCTCAATCCACATGGTTTCTTATTCTTTGTTTTCATTGTTGAACAAGCATATCTTACAGATGCACATTTTCATTAACATTTTAATGGCTACTTGCTCTAGTTTTGCAATTTTTCTTCATCCTTCTAACTTTCTTACGGTTAATGGAATGTGCCCATCAAACTTCAAATCTTGATCTCAGTTATCTTGGTAAAATATAAATTTTCCTTTAATTTGATGTATGTTTTATTAAATTTTAAAGAAAAATTAAGATCAACATTTTGAACAATCCATGGTTGAGTAGGTACTTCTCCTTCCCATCTTTATTCTACTTTTATCTCTTTCTTTCCGTTTTTTTACGTTTTATTGTTAAGGTTTTATTGTTGTTGTTAATTTATGTGCATTATCTTGTTATTGTTTGTTTGCAGGGACCCGATTACAAGCAGATTTCTGCTTCTAAGGGGTCCTAACCATTATATTGTATTTTCATTGTAAATTGTTTTATACTGGTTGAATAAATGAATTGAATTGAAAAAACAATAAAGAGTGCCCGCTTTCTTTTTTCACCCAGTATATACAGTGTCCATTATATTTGCATTTTTTCTGTTCTACATTTATATTTGTTAACATTATAATGTATTATTATTTTATCCATTATCTGCTAAATTAGTTCTTACGGTATATCAAAACTCTTCTATTTGTTTGCAGAGAAATCTTGCACGATATTCTACAAGCCTGGTGATGGCAGTGCCCTCTTGTCGACGCTTTGCTCTGAAAATGAATGTATCTGCTCTGGTGGATCCTTAGGCAAGTATTCAATGTCCAGTTATTTTTTCATTATTTCAGTGTGGTAGATGATGGATTCATGACTAATACACATGTAGCTTTATGACTTTAATTTTTTTTTTTTTAAATATAAACAAAATATGAAGGAAAAAAGCATATCTAATAAACTTTTAAAGCAGCGTTAAAAAAAACAAATAAATAAAATCTGAAAATATAATGCTTCTTTCTTCAACATTGCAAAGTTCAGTTTTGAAACTGAGTTGAAGTACATGTATTCTAGATCAGAACACTCCAATACTTTTCTTTTCTTTCTTGTTTTTACCTGGTACATAAAGGATATCACCAGGGGCGGCTGAGCGACTTCAATGGCTCTTTCTGGAAAAAAGGGAAATCTCAAAGCGAAAATATACAATCTTTTAGACATCAGTATATACCACTACGTCGTGATTACATTATCAGGGATGATTTCAATATATTTGTTTCACTTTATACACCATACAAGATATTGCTTAAGCATCATGCTTTGCGGTTGGATGTGATGGTCTGAAAAATTATTTGCGAGTGAGCGAAGCAAGCAAGGAAAAATGTTATTATTGGTAAGATCACAGTGTGAAAAATTACATCTTATAAAGAGGAAAAAACCCAATCCTGATGGGGTTGTAAGCACATTCTACTAACGGAAACAGGCCTGATAAAAACCGATTTAAATCGGTTTCCCAATTTTTTTTTCTTCTTCCTGATTTAAAAAAAAAAAAAATAATCCAATTTTTTTTTTTTTTTTTTTTCACCAGATTTTTTTTCTTCTTCCCTATTTTATCCTGATTTTCCTGATTTTCCTGATTTTCCTGATTCCCCCCTTATTTTGTCTATTCTTCCCTATTTTGCCCTATTTTTTCCCCAATTTTCTTACTCGAAAGGGGGGAATGTTGTTAGATGCCATTTTTTCCCCGCGAATCCTCTCCTTTTTTTTTACTCACGATGGGCTTGATTGAGGGGAAAACAAAAAAAATTTTTTTTTTTAGTGCTCACTATCACCCCTGTGGAAAACTGAAAAGACCTTTGATAAGTAACATAAGTATATCATCTATAGATGTGTGCAAGCGTAGCGAGCGAGCTTTGGGAGAAATTGCTCTTAGTCGCTCAAAAATTGGGTGCGCGTATAATGATGAGAGGAAAAGGGGACACTTATCAGAAAAGAAAAGGAGCATGTGTCAAAGTACAAAAAGTAATTATTAGAGGTGAAAATGGGGCACTTCTTACACCCTCAAAAAGAGGTACTGACCAGGGATGAAAAAAGTCAGTCATGAGAATAGGAAATGGGCATTTATGAAAAGGGAGTAGGTCCCTTATTAGAAAGGAAAAGGGAAATTATCAGAGGTGAAAATCGCACTTATTGCACCTGAAAAGGGGCAATGACCAGATATGAAAAGGGGCACTTATAAAAAGGAAAATGTGCATTAGTTGAAAGAAAATGGGTATCGATTAGATTTTAAAGGGGCATTTATCGAAGATTGAGGGGGCACTTATCTGAAGTGAAAAGGAGTAACTTCTTGTACCTGAAAAGGGTCATTTACCAGAGAAGGGGGTTAATGAGAAGGGGAAGGGGCTCTTTTTAATGGGGCACTTATCATTAGGAAAAGGGGCACTTATTAGAAAGGAAAAGGGGCACATGTGAAAATATAAGGTGCGCTTATCCAAGCTAAAATGGGGTAGTTATTAAAAGGGGAAGGTGCATTTCTTATTACAAAGGAAAAGGGGCACTTGTCAAAGTAAAAGAGGCACTTGTCAAAGTAAAGGGGGCACTTCTCACAAAGTTAAAGGGGCACTTTTCGGATGCTTGAAAAAGTGGGGGGGGGGGGCACTCAGGAGGGCAACCTCTGGATATCACTGAAGATTAAGACCTGTCCTTAGTAGTGATTTTGTGCATCTTCAAATTGTTTTAGATGATTGCATGACTACTTCATACATGTACATGACTAAAATTAATTCAAATGTTTATGCTTTGTTTTCTTACAGAATACTGCAACATTGATCCATGTCCTGGGCCATATACAAGAATTGACCTGGAAGGAACTGCCTGTGCAAGCCACAGTAGTTATGGTAAATACTAACAATCATAAAGGTATCAAAGTAATTATTATGGTGCCAAGATATATTATGTATTACTATAAATGTAAATTTTCTTCTTGATATTAATATGTGTCTAACTGAATATTTTCAGATTGTCAACCTCTTATTCCTTCCCTCCTGTTGTCTTGTGCCCGTTGTGTGCTGTACCTGTTGTCGATGTGCTGTAGTCTTCTATTATTTCTCATATTTTCTCTTTTCTCCCGTCTTGTCTAGTCTCGTCTCTCGTTTTGTTGTTGTTGTTGTCTGTGTATACACTTCTTGTTTTGTTATACCCCCTTTTCCCTATTGTATTCTTAGGTAGTCACAGATATCTATTCATCATGTTTTATCCGGCTCAGAGGGGACCCTAATAATTACAAGCTCTGCTTTTACCAGGGTCTCCTCGTCTTTCTTTTAGTTAACTTTGTTTTTATCATTGCCATAATTTGTTATTTTGCATTGTAAATGTGTTATGATCCAATGTTATGCTCTGTATGTCATTTGAAAGAAAGACGAATAAAATCTTATCTTATCTTATCTTAAAGTACACGTATGAAATAATACGCAATTCATACATAATAGTTAGTTGGTTACTCAATTTAAGCGCATGTAATATTCAAAGGCATTTCCCACACAGTATACATACATGCATACATATATACATTGTATTATATTATTGTCCTCCTTTTTGGAATTTTTTTACAATTAAGGTTAAAAAATTGTCTGCTGGGAATCCAACCTGGGTCACTGTCTTAAAAGTAAATGCCTTTACTAAACCACTATACCACAGAGATGGGCCAGTGGCTTCGGTGACCTCAGATTCAATTGACCAACAGATTGACGAGTTTTCAAAAAGTTAAATATATTTTTTTTAAATCATAATTTTCTGGCGAAATAGCAGAAACACATCATTATGACATGGAGCGGCAGAAATTATGCTACATCCTTCATAAGGCTAAATAATATCCAAAGTATAAATGTCAAATTACAACTCTTAAGTTAATTCACCGCTTTTGAGTTCTAAATGCATCTGTTTGTGCCCTTACCTTTTGCCAAGTTACATGTGTGCATGCACTGTAAATGTACATCAAACCATGGCAATACAATGTATTTAGATGTTTTACTCTGACTCATCTTTCAGCACTCAAGATCCGGATCGACGAGGTAGAAATAAAAGAAGGCTTCAGGATCTTCAAATTTACCGTCTTGAACCCGATAAAAACGGGTGAGTTTCATTTAAGCTATACTTAACTGATGACAGTATGTAACACAATACAGCAGACAAGAGGACTGGATGCAAGAACCAACAGGGCAGCTAGGGAAGCAGCGAGTTACGGGACCATACTGCTACAGCTGACCTGAGATGGTGCTAGAGGGGATTTTTCGAAAGTGCTTGTAGTGCACTATGCAATATTTCAACCACACATGATGCAGGACATTGCAGAAATTAATTATTACATAACAATGATTGGCTAGTATAGTGGGCTACTTGCTCTAGTTACATGTTGCTCTAGAAAGTACATGTAAAAGCACATTCACATGTAGGTGCATACCCCCAAGGTCCTACATGTAGTCTCTAGTTCTAGGACACCTAGCCCCTGGACATCCAACCCCCCCCCCCCCCCCCCCCCTCCCCGGATAACCACCCCTAGTCAACTACCCCCTAGGGCAACCACCCTCTAGGAAAACTACCCCCTGAGACAACTACCCCCTAGGACAACTTCCCCCCTGACAACTACCTGCCACCCTCCCCAGACAACTACCCCGTACGACAACCATCCTCTAGGACAACTTTTCCCCGGACAACTATCCGGGGGTGGATGTCCAGGGGGTAACAAAAACTATTCATTACATGTACTCATATCCATCTACAAAATATGATATCAAGGTATCTACTCCCAGTTGGAAGGTTGATTGAACCATTTGTCCACACATCTCTTGTTTTCTGCCATCCTAGTACACATTTGTAGTGTCATTCCACTCCAGGACCCGACCTTTAAGAAAGAGTTGCGATTGATCCAAATCAATCGTAAGTCCTCTAATCAATCACAAGTTTGCAGTCCCCCATCCCTTATGTACATAGTCAGGGCCGTAGCCAGAGTTTGATGTTTGGGGGGCACATATATGTAATTTGATCGACGTCCTGGGGAGGGGTCTACAAAAAGTTCAACCGATCTTGGAAATTTTTTTTTTTTTTTTTTTTTTTTGAAGGGGGGGGGGGCACGTGGCTACGTGCCTGTTCATAGTTTGATATTGATCGCAAATAAGTTGTAATTAATATCTACTCTTTATAAGACGGGCCCAGATCTTTATGTTCCCCTCCCAGTTAGTTCCTAGTTTTCCTCTTGGTCTAACTTATTTTTTTTTTTTATACCTCCATGCAATAGGAGATGAAGCTATCCCCCACTTTTAGGTAATATAAGGACAAACTTAACCCACACTTGTGAATTGCTTGATTTTCATGTTAAAAATGCTTTAACTCTTGTTTAAGATACTTATCACTTTTTTACCTTGATGAAATAGGAGATGAAGATGTACCCCATCAGGCACAGAGACAATTGTTCATCAATGAAGGTTGTGACTGTCCTAAGGTCAAGGGTCGTAATATTGGTGGAACCTTTTTGCTTGTTGGCCAGAAGTCACTCAAGTATACCACTGAACAAGGAGAGGAAAGGTACATATATGACGTGAAATATAATATACATGTACAAATATTGACAGCTTTATTGCTATATTCTTACTGACTGGAGAGAGAGGGGGGTAATTTAGATCACCCTTCCCTCTCCCCCCGATAATTCATTGCGAGGTCACGCAACATTTCGTGGTCACATGTTGGTCCGAATTTGAACGAAAATAGAAATTTTGCATATGTTTGTGTACAAAATACCATTTTCCCTAAATTGCCAATTGGGTCTTGTATGCCTTTTTCATGATCTTGTATTTCTTGAAATCTACCAACATACTGGAACATAGCAAATAATAAAAATAGAAGAAATACATGAGAAATAAAATAATAAAATACATGAGAAATTAATAAAATATTAAAATACAAAAGAATTAATTTAAAATCTGAATTTTTTTTCTATACAATATTTTGGACTTTGCTACTCTAAAAACTATTTTAAAAGATTGACCTTCATACCTTGCTTTTTAAACAGAATACCAATAAGTAATGAATATCCCATTTTTCTTGAAAAAACATTATGCAGAGTACTCTTTATTACGTTTGCGTCGATTGGACCTTCCATGGCCGTGATCTTGGTTGCCCCCTCCCCCCCCCCCCCCCCACAAAAAGACATTTTCAAGCCCTTTTGTTTTGAGGGAAGTTCTAAATTAGTATTATCTTTCAAATGCCATTGGAATTTAAACTTTTCATTTTGTTTGGCCTGCAAATGGGACATGGTACCTTTATACATACGTGTATATACTGTACCTATTCCACATTGCTTACAACTAGCCACCACCCCAGCCTTTCCCTGGTGAATCCGCGACGGCATATTCAGTAGTCTCATCTGTGCCTTTGATTAGGCAACTAGATATTGGCACTCTACAACTTTCGTGACTGAGTATGATGAATGTGAAATTTATGGCAAGTATTATTTAATTCTAATTTTACCTTTTTCTTTATGTGTAGATACCGATACGTGTACGGCCCAACTTCTAAGCTGGAATTTTGGCCAGCAACAAGAAAAGAAAGAAATGCAGCGGTATTTGATAAACTGGTAGCATTTGAAGCCCAAATGGCACCTGCAAGCGCTTGTTCCAATGAGAATTAAGTCATCAGTGAAAAGAAAGAGCAAATCATGAGCTTCCTTTTTTTCTTCTTTTTTTTTTGTCGATGTAGAGGTCGATGTAGAGGTGTCTTGGTCTAGTGGATATTAAAGTCACCAAACTTTGAATTGCATGGTTCACAGTTCAAGTCCCGCCTTGGCACTAATGTCCTTTGGCCAGACATTTATCTACATTTGCCACTTCTACCCTAGTTGATGTAAATGGGTACCCGGTAGAATTTTTTCTTTATATGCTTGAGCACCTTAGCATCGTGGTGGCTCAGCTACAGCCGGGGTAATAATGTGATACTTTGTATTAAGGGCAGTAGAGTATATTCATATACATGTAGTAGCTGTTCTATATAAATGGACATGTCATTATTATTTTCTTAATTATTATGTTCCATGCCATTATGACTTTACTCATGCAGATTCGTAAACATTAGTTGGTAGATTATATACTTGTTTTGTATAGTAAGGCCACAGTCAGATGTGAGATGGTCAACCACGACATTTGTTTAAAAAAGGACATATAAAAGGTATTACGTTTCACATTTTCGTATCTTACAACACAGAGGTCAGTGAATATACAACATGTAGGATCTTTATTGCGTGCAGTTGTCATTAATGTATATTTTAATAAACTGTGGCAGCTTTGTTGAGTTGGTTTACCATGGCATATCTGAACAGGCCTTAAGAAATTATGTGTAACTCTGACGACAATCACTTCAAGAGGAAATATTGAATTCTTCTTATCTTTTTTCGTGATAAAAAGGACAAAGAGAAACAAAATAAGGAACGAGCATACAGGTGTACATGTGTTTGAAGGACTTAGTACATATTGATCATTTTTATTAATCAAAGTAGAAAGAGACTAGGCAGTGAAATGTTTGTTTCATCGTACAGACATACATCAGTTTTGGAGGTTTGAGTTTTTACACTTGTTTGACATGTATCTCACAAACCTCTCCATTAGAACCTCCTTTCAATATTACAAAAATATGCAAGAAAATTAAAATTCCTGAAGCACAGGAATACATGTGGAGCTGCAGAGAGCTGCAGATGATTTCACATGTAACCATGAAACAACTACAAAGTCACATAATTTACCAGTACTTTTGATAATTTCCTGTTTGACATTAAATCTCCACATTTTTAGCCTTGCATGTATTGCAGAGTACGATAGTATGATGTACATGTATGGAAATAGCATGTATGTAAACCAATAAAATATGCTGTGTTTTACATGTAGTTCAATCTGTTATGTACTTGTAATTATTGCAGTTCTGACAATGACAATTGTAGATTTTTGGTTGAGGTATAATATTGATAATCGCTTTAATAATCAGGGCCGCTATTCAATTGAATGCAGTATTTTACTCAGTTTTCAGCTATAAAGACAAAATACTAAGCCAAATTTGGTATGCAGTTGAAGACTTCGGCTATTAGTATTTTACCTTTAAGACAGCTCCCTAGGAGACTTGGGCCTATTATTTTGGAGGTCTTGATTGGCAGACATGATGCTATACCGTCTTCATTAGCTGTGCACAATTGTATTAGCTAGCGCGCATTTAATGCGACTACAATGCATGGAGTTAATGGCGTATTGTTGTTGATTGACAATGTGATGTAACAATGCTTATCAGCAAGTACCTTAAAGTCGGCTTACTAAAGTAAAATGCTCAGATAAGATCTAAATACGAGTTAAGACATGTTCCATAGCCAAGCAAACTACTAAGTAAACTACTGACTTAATCCACCAAATGAATTGAATACGGCCCCTGCCTGGTACTTTGAAAATGTTACTTTTGTATGGATTGTTTCTAATGACGAAAAATATGTATCATGTGTATTGCAATGCATGTTCGTGTACACAGTATATGGACAATTGTACATGTATTTAGTAGAAGAGGATATAAAGTTTATGATTGCTTTGAGCGATATTTACATGTAGTAGCTACAGTAGGTTAAAAAATACTTGTATATGCAACATTGTTATTAGATCTTCTGCACATGGAAGATTCAATCATCTGTTGAGAATTGTTATGCAATGAATAAATACAATACCAGTAGTAGCGCCTTGGCAGAATTACTGCTGGTTCAGTTGCTTCTCTTTTTACCAGCATTATATGATCACCACATTTATATATCATTACATAAACTTTGTTTTGGTGCACTATACTTCAGAACATACCGTCGGTTGGGTGACAAAACCTTGTATCTCAATTTTTTGAGATTTTGATTTTTTTGCATAATTTTGTACCTAATGGCCTACAACACCACCTGATAAATCCACGGAACGCCTCCTTCTCGGGTTTTTTCACAAATTCCACACAAACACCCTTAAACTAAACCTTGTAACTTTAACCCCCTTTGAAGCTGCACTGACAAAACCTCGTAACATAAGATACGTAATTCCTTTTCATCGTAACTCACACACGGCCTATCAGTACCGAAGTTAGTGTATAGCGCTTAGAGACTTCGGTGGTAAGCGCTTTATAAGTAACGTTTTTATTATTATTATTATTATTATTATTCAAATCCTCGTAACTCATTCAGAGTTGAAAGTAAGAACTCGTATCTCAATTTGAATACAAACTTGTATCTCAATGTAGATAAACGCAAAAACCTTGTAACTCACTTTCAAATATAAAAACAATTATTTTACTGTATTTCCAACAATTACATTAAAAATTGTATAAATATTCCAGTTTTAAAAAGAAAGGACGGTGTCACAGCACTAAATTTGTTGAGACAGGAAAGTTTTTTCGCTCTCCTGAAAATTCATGATATTTGAGATACAAAGTTTTGTCACCCCACCGACGATACACTGTAGTTGGCTATGCTTTTTATGTTAAAATCAATTTGAACAAACGTTGTTAAGGTTGATAAGAGACCTAGTTTCTCACGTATGTCACCAAAATTGCCCTCAAACCATAGAATGGCCCCTAGCTCTTTCTATTTGCTTCAATCCTGGCAAGTTTTGTCACATATCCAATGCATAACAAACAGTAGTACTCGTAATCAATATGGCATTCTAGGAGCTCTGTCAGTTGCAGAAAAAGAGCTTATTAAATTTGTCTGTATAGAATTTAGATGCCTGTAGTAGCATAAGAAGTTTGACTTTTAAAAACAATTGTAGTGAATAAAGATGTAGTTTGAAGCATATTTACTATGTTACCATGGCTAATTTATTGACTATTTATGTTGTGGTTTTGTTCTGTACGTGATGTGGACTCTGTAGTAAAACAAATGTAGTTGTACTTTTACCAACTAGACAGGAATTCATCACTGCTGACGAATTGGGTGATCTACAGCAACGATAAACATAATCCCTATATATATATATATATACAGTTTGACCCATATTTTATAAGAAATATTTGTTACTGAACATTAGGCAAAAAAAAAAAAATCATTTGGTTGTCCTCAATTGCTTTTCTGGAGTAGGGGCGGGTGGGTGGGCGGATTTTTTTTTTTACGGTATTATTTCTTTCTTTTTTTCTTGAATTTCATTTTTTATGTTTTTTGTGTCTTTTTTTTTCTTTCCTCAATTAAAAAAAAAAAAAATTAACAATTTGTTTTCCATAAAAAAAAAAAAAATCATTCGGATGTCAAGCATTTAAACAAACAAAGTCAATAAAACACTTTAATATGGTAAACAACTAGTTTAATGTAGAATGAATATCAAGACCAACACAGAAAGTATTTTTGGCTTTGAAATACAGCACCTTTTAAATCTCCATTGTATAGCTACTTGCGCCCTCTATATAGCAAACAATGCCTAATCAGTGACCATTGGTCCCTCATGATCCTCTTTATCTTATGTTAACTGAGAGCTGATTTGATGAGATAACCACCTGTCCAGTGACCTTGCAGGGTGGTCTAATCCCTCCTGTAAACTAGTACAGATGGGCTTTAAAATGAGTTTAAGAATGCTCCGAACTTGATTTGAATGAACAGCATTTTGACATAGAAAAATAAAAATGGCAAGTTTAATAAATACAGAATTGCATACTGAAAAGACTAAACTGGCAACAGGACGCATTTTAAACCTTGAAAATGCATAAAATGGTATGTTTGGCATTTTAGATTGCTCCCCCCCCCCCCCCCCAAAGAACAATCAAATGATTTTTTTGGCCTTTTACAAAACACAAATCAAAACAAACAATGGTAGTCTTGACCCCTATTAAAGAAAGAACCTGTGTTATCCGGAAGGATGTCGGGCAATAACATGCAGTGCTATCTGAACACACCGAGTGAATCGTTTACTACATGGGGCTTTCGCCTTTTACAGAGCAAAACCTTTCCAGTGTTATTTACTAAACAAAGCAAAATACCCAGAACTGAAATTAAAGAACGATGCACTTTTAATCAAGTAGTGTGTAAAATGTAGGGCTGCATCTTGACCATAATCATCAATATCCACATTGCCCCTTAAAAAACAATTGCCCCTAATGCCAGCTGGTGGTGATGCAGATTTTCTGCCCCAAAAAAAGTTTTTGCTCATTACGCCATTGCAATAACGGCATAGGACTTGTTGAAAATGTAAACCACTTTCTCACCGAATGTCGGAAGTACATTACAGAAAGAGCTATGTTACTTGCAGAAACTAATTTATCCCATCCACAGCTACTTGAAGCCTATCTGCACTAGTTTGTCCAGGAAGGATTAGACCTCCCTGCAAGGTTATTGACAGGTAGTTATCTCATCAAATCAGCTCTCAATTAACATAAGAAAAAGGGGACCAACAGGTACCGCTTAGGCATTGTTTGCTATATAGAGGGCACAAGTAGCGCAGTCCTGTTTTAAAAGTTTAGAAATAGTTCAATGGTTTATAGTGCTTAGAGACTTGGGTGGTAAGCGCTTTATAACAAAAAGCAATAGTTCACTCATTTAAAGAACAAAGCGGCTTCATAAAAATTCTTAAATTCCATTACCAAGAACATTTTGGATCATAAGTTGTCTTTTCCCACCCATGCAATTTTTTTTTCAGCAATAATGCCTACAATACTTGTAACTAACTTGAACTCTTAATTTTGCTCATAATTTTGGTTCTTGCCCCCAGCATCACATGCTAGCTGGCACTCCCTCACCTATGCCGGAGTGACCTAGGTTTTGAAACCAAAAGTATGCGAAATGAACCTCACTGGTTAGATGGCATGTTGAAAAGGGTGGGGATGAGTGTGAATTAGTACAAATGCGTGGGCATACAGAGGGGATATTCGAGAGTGTGTAGAAATGTATACGCAAGTGCGTACAACTAGGCCGCCTCGTTCCAAATTTATTTATATGATTTTCTCTTAAACTTAAGAGAAAAAAGCAACAACAACAAAACAGATGACATGTAATTGTATGTAATTATGTATATGAATAATTCATAAAATAGTGTGTGGCAAAAAAATAACAAATTTGACTAATTGCCAATCAAAAATCAAATCAAGAAAGAAGAAAGAACCCTATATTGTTATGCATTAGATAAAGTATGAAGACAAAAAGCAGTACAAAACTTTTTATATCAATTTTCAAATGAATTTATTTTCCAATAGTCCTTTTACACACAATTTAGAATGCAATATTAATCATAGACCAGCATGAGACTAATGTATCAGGAAGATATCTCTAACGACTGAAAAACATCCAAAATGAATTTGGTGAACCAACAAAACTCCTTTTTTGGGGGATGACATTTCTGAATTAGCAGTGACCTCTTCATTTACCGATATTATTTATTATGGAAAAAACAACCCCAAATGCGAAACCCAAAGGCTTCTCCATATACCGAAATGCTAGTGTAATTGTGGTAGGCCAGGAGCCAGTCAGTATACTAGACTAATGCCTATTATCTATACTACAAATATATGTTCCTTTAGCTTAATGATATACTATATTGTTGGTGGTAGGTTCTAAATACTAAGGTGACAGTGTCAGGATATGAATGACGATTTGTCTGGATTATCCCTGATTGTATGAACAACTTCAAATTTAATATATTTCAATATTTTTCAATAATTGAATTAAACATTTATCATGTTACGTGTCTACCTAATGTGTAAACTACGATGTTGATTTGTTATTTTTAATGATTTGTATCTTTTTATGTTACCTGCCATGCATGGCCAGCTAGTCAGGTCAAGTCCAGGGCTTTTCTATGTATGTTTCAGTCATAATGACTCTTCATTGCTGAAGTATCAATGAAGTGATGTACCCTAAATCACTGTCTTGTCAAAGGAGTCACACGCTTTGACTGTCTGTTTGGAGCAAGACGGGCGTTATCTTGGTGTTAAAATTTTAACAATTTATGGTATTACTTGTAGAGATAATCCCGATGGCAGCTATCATACAGCTAAACTGGGATGTCCGTGCAACGTGCTGGCATAGTGACGGTGCATGAAATAATTCAAAACAGTGAATGATGTCTATTATTTACAATAAAACGGTGGACGTGCAAGTAAAAACCGAGACGTGGAGTCTACAGTAGCTTGGACCCAACAGGAGGAGGCAACGCTCTGATGATGGGTAGAGCAGCCTCCTGGAAGATGGTCACTGTTGGAGATGTTACTGCAGCAGTTGATAGGTGGTTCCACATCCAGATGGTGCGAGGATAGAAGGAGTACTTAAAGCTATCAATGGAAGCTGGGGGTACTGCATACTTCAGAGGGTGATCATTTCTGCCCAGATATGTAGCTGGGATAATGTAAGTGGGAAAAGGCATGTTGAGTTGATGATGGTGCATCTTGTAAAACAAGGTGGACTGTGCAAGAAGCCTGCGGTTGTGAAGGGTATCCCATCCCAGTTTGTTGACAAGTGCTGTGACTGATGTTATTCTCCGGTAGTCTTGGTATACAAAACGGGCGGCAGCTCGCTGTACTTTCTCAAGACTTTGTATTGATGTCAGAGTCCGAGGGTTCCAAGCTTCACTGCAATACTCAAGTTGAGGACGAACAAGCATTGTGTAGGCTTTGGATTTGATGTTCTTGGTGCACGGTGATAGAATTCTGCGTAGAAGGCCAAGGGTTCTATTGCCTTTCTGGGTGGCGAGTTTACATTGGGTGTTCCATTTAAGGTCATGGGTAATCGTGACACCAAGATACTTGTATTGTTTTACTCGAGGAATTGACTCATTTAGTAGGGTGTAGTCCACTGTGACGGGGTGCTTCTTGTTTGTGATTGACAATATAGCACACTTCTTGATGTTGAATCCCATCAGCCATTTAGTAGACCAGTCTGCAAGAACATGGAGATCTTCTTGCAGTATATGAGTGTCAGAGGGAGGGTCGATACGCCGATAGATGACACTGTCATCTGCAAATAGACGCATTGTGGACTTGATGTTGAGTTTGATGTCATTGATGTACAGCAGGAAAAGTACGGGGCCGATGACAGAACCCTGCGGTACTCCTGAAGTAACAGGCATCCATGCTGAGCGAGCACAATTGACGACGACAGCTTGATGTCTATTCGCTAGGAGTGACATAGTCCAGCGGAGAGAGTCTCCCCTGATTCCGTAGTAATGTAGTTTGGATCTAAGGTGTGGATGTGGTACGCGATCAAACGCTTTTTGGAAGTCGAGAAAGATGGTATCAGTTTGGCCTCTAGATTGAAGAGAGGATGACCAATCATCGGTAGCTGTGACAAGTTGTGTTGTTGTCAAAAGATTCTGTCTGAAACCATGCTGTTCATCAATGAGTATGTTGTTAGCTGCAAGATGTTTAGAAATGTGGCTAAGCATAATATGTTCCATCACCTTACTGCAGATACACGTCAGCGATGTTGCCCAGGTCTGTAGTTACCTGGGCAACATTTATCTCCTGCCTTATGAATAGGGGCTACAAGTGCACGTTTCCAGTCTAAAGGCACTTCTCCGGTATTGTAACTCTGTTGAAACAGAAATGACAATGCAGGGGCTATTTCGTGTGCTAGCATCTTCAGAATTCTTGGATGTATCTCATCTGGGTCACTGGCTTTGGATGGATTCAGTTGAAGCAGTTGCTTAACTACACCAGACCGGTGGATGTGGAGATGCCCTATGTCATTGTATAGGGAGGGCCGGTTTATGCAAACTTGATCCACGTTGCTCTTGGTGAAGGTAGAATGAAAGTAATTATTCAAACATTCAGCCTTGTCCTTGTTTGTGATATGGAGCTTGTTATCATTTCTCAAGGGTGGTATACCAAAGTTTTCAGATCTACGCTGTTTTACATATGACCAGAAAGCCTTGGGGTTTGCATATAGGCTCTCACCTATTATGTTGCAGACGTAATTGTGATGAGCTTGGCGGACACGTTTGGTCAGTTCGTTTTGAAGCTGCCTGTAGGCCTTCCAATTGGATGCACTAGGCTGACTTCGTGCCTTCTTGAACAAACGATCCCGCTTCCTCATTTGCCTTTTGAGGGAAATGGTGATCCATGGCAAGTTGCGTCTGGCTCTTGACATCTTGGATGGGATGAATTCATCCTTGCACTTGTTGATGAGTGATGTGATACAGGTCCAGTTTTCATCAACTGACTTCAGCTCTGGTGAAGATGAAAGAAAATCCATTGAGAATTTTGCAACAGCCTTGCGGAGTTTCTGAAGATCAGCTTTGTGGAATTGGTAGATTTTTCTTGGTGGAATGCGGCAAGTTCTTGGATTCCCCGAGATCGAGCACCCTTCTGGGTGCAAACCCCGGCCCCCCCCCCCACTCAGTGTTATTTAGGGTACGCATATGCGTGTTCCCTCCTTTTGAAAACACCCCCTAAGTCCGGTGTGTAAAGTCAATACGGGCTGGATTTTTGTGTACTACGAGCCAGACTTTGGTGCGTGAAAAGTACCCCTGTACCGGACATTTTGGGAACACGCATGCGGTACTTCCGACACCGGAGTGGGGGGCTGGGCTGCAAACCGATGTTATTACTGGTACACTATACAAATTTTGTCCAAAGTGCTGCAAGAACCTGACAGTGCAATATCTCTTCAAGATGATGTCTTCTTTTACTTCATAGTAGGGGTGGAGGCATCCTGCAGAACAGCTTTGAAATTTGCTAGTGCAGCATTGGTCCTTACTCCCTCTGGATCAAAGTGGGTCCGACTTGCCCGATGACCCGCCATTCGGAGACATTCAATGAACGTCTTAATTCTGTTTGTTTGGAGAGTGAACAGGAAGGGGAAAAGAAAAATGGACGGATTGAATCCTCAAATTGTGAATCAAACCATTACAATAATAAATTATTTAAAGACACTTTTTTGTATATATTTTGTATATTGTGTGGTTACTAACAATAGCCACTTCAGGTTTCAACAGATAATTGTTGACAGCTGCTCATACCAGCAGTCCCTGTAATGAGAGTCTCAAATAGGCCAATCAAATTGGTTTGCTGTAGCTCAGATGATTTCATATAAAACTAATCTATTGAAAAATAAGAGTAATCTAATGAAAAATAAAAGTAATCTATTGAAAAATAGAAGTAACAAAACATTTCTATTAAATTCATGTAACATAACAAAATCTGTTGAATACACAATGCAAAGAAGGTGGAAGTATACATAGGTGTAAAGGTGTTGTAGTCAAGAAGTGGTTTAAGCACTTGACTTGAAATGCAAAGGCCATGCGTTTGATTCACGACACGGCACCTACGTCCTTTGGCAAGGCATTAATCTACATTTGACACTCCATCCCCAGGAGTAAAATGGGGACCTGGAAGGATGACAAAAGCATTTGTGTTAGTAATTGCTGTATTTGCAGAATAGTAAAACTGTGTTTAGTTTATTATAATGAATGACAAGTGCGCTTGAGTTTACAACTCAATATTGGTACTTGCCTTGGTTTGTCCATATTCTTGATGCTGTGTTGGGGTAAGCTAAAGTAGAAGGCTGGTTGGCCCTGGTTTTCATCGCATCGTCTTCTCTTATCGTGTGTGTTGGAGAGGTCATTGGCATCTACTAGCCTGCCCCTCTTCTGACCCGCTTCCATGGTTGTCTGGTGTGCCTTTGTCTCTGGTAATGATGCGTTCATCCTGAAGTAAAAAAACATTTTTTGACATCTCGATTCAGTAAGCTGTTCTTATTAAAAGACTTTTGGAACAAGATTAACATTTGGAAGGATATTGGCACATACAGCAATGGCAGTGTAAAACAAGCTTCTTAAATATTTTTTAAAAAAATGAACAAAAAAATACTACTCTCTTCTCCCATTGTACACCAACATATGAAGGGAAGTATTGAGTTGATTAGGGGTCGTCAAATGGAGGTATTGTAGCAATAATCAACAACCATACTGTCTACAGGACTGCTTGCTATAACACTGTTCAATTCATCCCTGTTCATGTAGTTCAATACCAACATTTCCTTTTAATGACACTTACTGCAATGATTTGGGGCCGGAACAAGTAGCTTCCTCTAGCAAAGTATGGAGAAGCTGCAAGTCTTTTTTACTGAGTCTTAGCTCCACGCCAGCATGGGCCATTCTATCAATGAAACCAGCATCAAAGATACTGCCAGACCTATAATAAGAACAAGATCAAGTAAAACTATTTGGCAAATCAAAATGTGTTTTTCCCCCTAACTCTTTATATGCTACCGAAATAACCTGCCTGTGCCACATTGTATTTATCATGAGATAGGTATGCCAGAGGCTTCAAGATTATTTAACTCTTTCCGGTGCAAGAATCATCTCTACCGGTGTAAAAAAAATGGTTGTCATGGAGCTAATCAAGACATTGTGTTGCACTAAGCAATCATTTTGTCAATTGGTGTCTATTGTTTTGTGCAAAACTGCATGTGTAAAAATCTAGAAACAGTGCAGAAAGGCAAAGAAAGCAACCAAAGTGTCATTTTATTTTTGAACCTAGTATACCTAGCTTTGAACAAAATCATTCTTTTTATAACCCATCCTCATTTAAACTTCCACTGTGGTTAAGAAATGCATAAAAAGGTGTAATTGTTGCCCACGCAACGAGCAAGAGGACAATCAAAGGCCACTTTGATTCAAAGCAACTTAAGTACTTTAGGACACTGCATGTATATCATCAAAGGTTTTTGCGGACAATCTAGCATCCCTTTTCTCACATTATGGGTAGGACTTTTTAATTTCTCTTATGGGCATTCTCCAAGCCTTCTGGAGGTTGTTTCACGAAAACCATAATAAGTACAAGATCAACAACATCTGGACGCTGTGGCTCGACTTGACTTGTCTCTTTGCCAAGACGAGCGACAACTTCCCCGACAAGAGACTTGTCATGACTTCAAACCTGTCAAGTATTTTCAGAATAGTCAACTAGGTGTTACCGGTAGTCATTTGGCAGCCCCAAAAATGAGGGGAAAAAAAATATTTAAAAAATATCTCCATGCTCTCATTTCATTGAAGAGTTCATAAAAACTGATCTTATAATGTTTTAATACCATTTATGAGTGAATGAGAATGATATCAATTGCCCATTTATTTATTTATTTATTTATTTATTTATTTCTAATCTTTTGTCAGGGTAGCCCATTCACCAATAAGTAGTGGTCTTCCATGGGGCCCAGAATAAACATGAACATATTTACATCAAAAAGCACAACGTTTATACAGGAAAGTTAAAATAAATTTCCATAGTACATTTAGAAAGATATGACACAGCAATAATAGACGTGGCAAAAATAATACTCATTTGCAAAATAAACATATATCATTAACCTAGTTCAACAGTAATGTCAATAGGAAAATATTGATTAAGTCGCAATTATGTGAATAAGTCACGTTAATATTACAGAATATGCACGTAGTGTATGTTCAGCTGAGCCATTCACAAATTATCTTAATCTCTTAAATGAGTTGACAGAGGAAGCCGTTCTCATTGAATTATCACGCTTATTCCATTCAAATGAAGAAACAATTGGGCTACACTTTATAACTATCAGTGTGAAATCTAGGCACACGTAAACATCCACTGTCTATTTGCCTTGTATGATGCTCATGTACATCATTAGGATTGATTAAGCCTACCTGAAGGTAAGACAGTGCTAAGTTATGAACGCATAAATGATCGTGATGAAGACTATATTTCTTAGCTGATAGGTTCGTTTTCATGAAGTCGTCGTTTGGCTTGGCTTCGTGAAACATGCTGTTGTCTTCATGACATCTCTGTAGCTCATGGACAAAGATATGACAGTCATGGAGTCGGTTCTGTGAAATAACCCTCAGACCCTCAGGCCTTTAGCACGCACCAGGGTGAGACCACATGCTCTGATATCCTTTTCTAGTGCCTCCTCTCAGGTTTTTGCAAGGTATGCCATTGGGTTCTTAGCCAGCAACCTGGAAATTCATTGCTTTCTGAAGCCAATGGATTTAAAAGTTTGAACAAGTATCCAGTATTGTATTCTCTCACTACCCGTAATTGAAAGCCAGATGAGGTGTATCAAATTTAACAATGGGGTATCATGGGACCATTTTGGTTTTTGATAGACTTGCCGAGCATTCTGGAGACTATGGAGTCTGCCCAGGTCCTGCCAATTGATATCTTGCAGTAAGCAATGACCAAAGTCAAGAGAAAATGATTTAGTTCTGCTTACCAGACTGGTCCCAGGAGCATTGCCGTACATGGTGCACTCTTGTGGCATGTGCAAGACAGGTGGTCATACATGCTGTCTGAGTAAACAAATTGAGACTTCAATTCAATATCACATGGAGAATACAGAACAGAGTGTGTCACCAAGGCTTCACTCAAACGTGCCTGATGAAATTGTACAACTACCATTTAACCAATTAATCACTGAACCGCCCAAGACCGCCCTTCCTTTAAATCACTGTACCACACGGGACTGTCTTTCCTATTGATCACTGAACCGCCCGGGATCACCCTTCCTATTAATCACTGAACTGCCCGGAACTGCCCGGAACTGCCCGGAAAGGCCGTTCCCATTAATTACTGTACCGCCCAGAACGGCCCTTCCAAATAATCATTATACTACCCGGGACGGCCCTTCTCATTAATCAATGTGCCGGCCGGGACCGCGCCCATCCTATTAATGACTGTACCGCCCGGGACGGCCCTTCCCATTTATAACTGTGCAGCCTTGGACCGCCCTTCCTAATAATCACTAAACCACCAGACCGCCCTTCCTATGAATCACTAAACCACCAGACAGCCCTTCCTATGAATCACTAAACCACCAGACCGCCCTTCCTATGAATCACTAAACCACCAGACCGCCCTTCCTATGAATCACTATACCACCAGACCGCCCTTCCTATGAATCACTAAACCACCAGACCGCCCTTCCTATGAATCACTAAACCACCAGACCGCCCTTCCTATGAATCACTGAACTGCCAGACCGCCCTTCCTATGAATCACTAAACCACCAGACCGCCCTTCCTATGAATCACTGAACCACCAGACCGCCCTTCCTATGAATCACTAAACCACCAGACCGCCCTTCCTATGAATCACTGAACCGCCAGACCGCCCTTCCTATGAATCACTAAACCACCAGACCGCCCTTCCTGTGAATCACTGAACCACCAGACCGCCCTTCCTATGAATCACTGAACCACCAGACCGCCCTTCCTATGAATCACTGAACCACCAGACTGCCCTTCCTATGAATCACTGAACCGCCAGACCGCCCTTCCTATGAATCACTGAACCACCAGGGACGGCCCTTCCTGTGAATCACTGAACCACCAGACCGCCCTTCGTATGAATCACTGAACCACCAGGGACGGCCCTTCCTGTGAATCACTGAACCACCAGACCGCCCTTCCTATGAATCACTGAACCACCAGACCGCCCTTCCTATGAATCACTGAACCACCAGACCGCCCTTCCTAATAAATACTAAACCACCAGACCGCCGATCCTATGAATCACTGAACCACCAGACCGCCCTTCCTATTAATTACTAAACCACCAGATCGCCCTTCCTATGAATCACTGAACCGCCAGGGACAGCCCTTCCTAATAATCACTAAACCACCAGACCGCCCTTCGTATGAATCACTGAACCACCAGGGACGGCCCTTCCTGTGAATCACTGAACCACCAGACCGCACTTCTTATGAATCACTGAACTACCAGGAACGGCCCTTCCTGTGAATCACTGAACCACCAGACTGCCCTTCCTATGAATCACTGAACCACCAGACCGCCCTTCCTATGAATCACTGAACCACCAGACCGCCCTTCCTGTGAATCACTGAACCACCAGACCGCCCTTCCTATGAATCACTGAACCACCAGACCACCCTTCCTATGAATCACTGAACCACCAGACCGCCCTTCCTATGAATCACTGAACCACCAGACCGCCCTTCCTAATAAATTCTAAACCACCAGACCGCCCTTCCTATGAATCACTGAACCACCAGACCGCCCTTCTTATGAATCACTGAACCGCCGGGGACCGCCCTTCCTATGAATCACTGAACCACCAGACCGCCCTTCCTAATAAATTCTAAACCACCAGACCGCTAAATTTTTTAAAGGTAAAGCTCTTTAAGTATGAATTTGAAAGTATACATGATACAATATACAGGAAATTTAGTTGAACCTTACTGGGAACTGTTAGAGTAGAAGGAACAAACTTCCTCTGACCACACACCCGGCAATGAAGGACGTGTTGGACCTCTTGAACTGAACGGTCAGCTTGACCAGAGCCTCTCCTGACCCTGAGAATGACCAGTACAAAGTGTTCCAAGGCAACACAGAGCAGCACCTCCAGACCCTTGTTACATCTTGCCGCAGCCCTGAACACAAAGAGAATTGAAATTGTGATTATTGTGGTTTGAATGTCATGTATAGGTTCAGTAAGCCCAACAATTTTTCCCTCAGATTTCTTTGATTTTAGATGATATATAGAAGATACAAGCAACACTAAAAATATTTTTACTCCTCACATAGAACATAGAGGCAAAGGATTATTTATATACCTGGATTGGGAAGAAAACTCCCAACGTCAATAGGTCAACACACACTCAAAACCTATGAGGGTTGTGTGTAGGGGATCCGCTCGCTATTCATGAGGACCGCTATTGAAAAGGACCGCTATTCATAAATTGAGAAAAGGGTCATAATTCATAAGGACCGCTATTCATAATCAAAGAAGAGGGTCGCTTTTCACAATACGAGAAGAGGGTCATTATTCATAATTCAAAATTGGCTCGTTATTCATAGGGGTCCTCATTCATATTACTAGAAGAGGGTCGCAATTCATTACTACCGGTATTTGTATTATGAATAGTGGCCCTCATTTCGTATTATGAATAGCTGTCCTTATGAGTAATGACCCTCAAAGTGTATTATGAATAGCGAACCTCATCTCACAATATGAATAGCGGTCCTTATGAATAGCGGTCCTTATGAATAGCAGTCCTTATGAATAGCGGTCCTTATGAATAGCAGTCATTACGACTAGCGCGGTTACCCCGTGTGTAGGCGACACACAAATTAGCTCCAAACTAAACAATGAGATTGATGTGTGGGTATAGGTGTAAAGGTGGAAGGATCCTAGCATTAGGGCAGTGTATAGCCATGATCTAGAGTTTCTTTCAGAAATTTACACTAAAATTTACCTGAAATATTGGATAGAAGACCAATTATATTGTTTGATACAAGGAGAACAATGTGAGCTTATAATTATTAATACATTTCGTGCCAATTTTCATTTTGCTACCAAAACTATATTTGAGCTTTAACAAACAGTCAAACCTTTTATTAATAGATAGCTTTAATAGCAAAATTCACTGGCACAAAAAAGAGGCATACGGAACACACGGGTAAAGGTGAGTGATGTCAGCTGACTCGATAACATTGCCTCAGATTCTGAAACAAGATTCTGGATTTAGCTCATGCTGCAATCATAATTATAAACCTTTAGGTCAGTCAGGTATACCATGAATTTTTTTACAAGCCGATCACCTGTCTGATTAATAAGATATTTATGATTGGAAATCAAAATTTCAAAACCATTGGTTGGGGTAATTGTTTTTATAACACTACAGTCTATTGGGGGAAATGAGTACTGTATTGTAAAACCAGTTCCTCAAAAAATTTTATTTTTTGAGGCGCAATTTTTTTAAGGCTTCCATATTACACCATATCACAGACACTGATAACACGTAGGGCCATGCATCTCAAATTTAACATTGTTAAAAGATACCTTTAAAGTTCTTATTTAAACTGGCTGAATGAAAGCTCAGGTTATATTAATTAGGGCAAATTAAGGTGGTACACGTACATGTACCGGTACATGTATTTAGTACCAGCTCCATATCCTTGTGATGTGAACTTACCTTCATAAAAAACTAGATGGAACTTTGACTGCGCGCAGTCAAAAATGATGCCTCCGCTATAGAGCAATTTTACAAACCAAAACAGAAACAATTTTTAAATTCAAGTTTGATTGTAATCCATCTGTCGGTTTTAATGATAATGCATGCACAAGCTATTTATAGGCATACATAATGAGCTATGTGACCTTTGACCTTCGACCTGGTGACCCCAAAATCTAATCAGTTTATTGGCTCTGCAAGATACATACATGACTTGAGTTTGATAGTAATCTGTCTATTGGTTCTCATGATAATGCGATCACAAGCTATTTTTGGATACATAAAGAGCCCTGTGACCTTTGACCTTTGACCTGGTGACCCCAAAATTGAATCAGTTCATTGGCTCTGCAAGATACATACATGACTTGAGTTTGGCAGGAATCCATCAATCGGTTCTTGAGATAACCCGATCACGAGCCATTTTCGCATACATAATGAGCCCTGTGACCTTTGACCTTGGATCTCGTGATCCCAATATCTAATCACTTCATTGGCTCTGTGAGATACATACATGACCAAAGTTTGGTAGGAATCCATCAGTCGGTTCTTGAGATAACGCGATCACGAGAACGGGACATACAGACGTACGTACGTACGGAGGGACGGACAACCCGAAAACATAATGCCTCCCGCTACTTCGTAACGGAGGCATAAAAATATTTCTATTTATTAGTTTATATCCATGGTGTAATATAAATTTTAATAAGCATCCAATGGCTGAATTGTTTATATTTTAGAAGCGTTTTTATTTAATATGATAAATTTAATATTTTTCACCAATTTTTGACATCTAGCAGTTTTAGACCGAATTTTCTGTCTCTTTCGTTCGTTAAGCCTCTTATTTGGGTAGGGTCGGCTCTCTAAAGACGGAAAATTCGGTCTAGCACAGTTTGTGAAAAACAAAACTTAATTAGAACGATAGCACAGTGCCATTTTAGGTTGATACATTTTTAAGTCATGATCATTTTACCTAATTACTGTCTAGATTGTTATTTGATTTGATTTGATGTCATGTAATACATTTCTCAATACTGTGATCATGCCAGCATCTAAAAACAGCCTCAAGATATGGCAGAGTTACAAAGGAACAGCCAACAAACCTGACAGCTGCAGCTACGACCAGTCTCCCTGCTAGCTCTTTGAGGTACTCGCACTTGGCCACTTGGCCCCCGTAGTTGCGGAGTGTGACCTGTGGACATTTCCCGTACAGGGAAGCTGTGTCAGTGGAGGTAATAGCCAGAATCCCGTTATTGCTGATGTTGCTGAAAGCAGAGTCCATGAAGGGCGTGGCACAGCCATACGGATCTAAGAATCTGGAAAAAGTAATACATTGTTTTGAGCAAGGATTGTGGTTACACCACGCATTCTTTTGACAGGATTAGTTGGGTCTGGAAAGGGCTCACTCATTTTCTATCTCAACGTTTAGATAAGTTGTTAATAATAATAATAATTCCACTTTTATAAAGCGCTTAATACATCTATGATGTCTCTAAGGGATTTACAAAGATAGTATTACCCCGGTCAATGGATTCAATACTTGCCCGCACACAATGTGTGAAAGTTTGAAGTAAATCAAACTAATAATAAATGATTTATGAATGTTTGAAATATAAGATCACTAAATTTATGTGAATCTCACATTGGTACTTTGTTCTTTAAATTGTGACATAGTTATAGACAACTGTCTCATTTGTTGTGCACACACAAAACAAATCATATCTTTTAGTTTTTCTCCTATCAAAGTGCCTTTTACCTTGGGGCACTACTCAAAGTGTATTATTGGTATCATATTATCATACGTCCTCTAGAAAGAAAAGACCTTCATGAGATCTGAGTCATATAATACGATTTGATAAAATTAATACAATTTGATAAAAATTACATTTCATTAATTTTGTGTGCTGAAACAAATGAGAAAGTATTCTGGCACTTCGTCACAGTGGCACTTTCAGGGGTGATAGTGAGCACTAAAAAAAAAAAAATTCCACCCCTCAACCCTCCCCCCCCCCCCCCCCCCCCCTGAGTAAAACAAATTTTAAAAAATGGGGGGGGGGACGATTTAAATCGCGTCATTATCAGGCCTGCACTTTTGAGTCAGCCTACTGAAGTTCCCATGATTACAATTCCTAAATTTCATTATTTTTGTTCGAATTCATTCACACTTTCATCGGTCTGCTTTCCACTTTCTTTTAGAGTAGTTGTAAAGGTTGGTTTTTCTTTTAATACACCTGTGTTAACAGTGACAAATTATGGGATAAACGCCTTGTCAAAATATACAGGCACCAAACAAGGATTGACTGCGGCATCTCTCACCATAGTGCTCCTACTTACATGAAGTCAAAGAATCTTTGTCGCATCAATAAATTGGCATCACAGCAGACAAGGGTCACGGTTCCATCATTTCTTGATGAGTCATTGTCAGAAAATGGTGTTTCACTGCTTGTCGCTACATTTGAAATCTTCTCATTCTTCCCATCATCGCTCTGATCCTTCACCTTTTCACAGTGTGTCTCTGCCACCTCTTTATTCATAGATTCATTAATTCTAATTACAACCACCCCCGTTCCTCCTCTGTGTAGCCTATCAACATCTTCTCTCTCCTCTTTCATCATCTCATTGCTCTGTTCCAGTCTCTTCCCATCAGACAGGTTATCTTCGGCAAGAAGGTTATTCAGGATGCAGTTCCTTCTCATGTTCCTTACCGATTCCGGGTTGATGTCGGAAACTGTGACCTCAACATCGTCATGGTGATGGAGTTGCCACTGGAGACCTGTGATACCTGATTAAGTAGCCATAAAAAAATAAAGGAAGAAACAAGTGCAAACTGTTCAATTTTGCTGGTGAGAATTAATTCATTTTTAAAACATCAGTTTGATCATAATCATAAAGATTGTGAAGGCAATTTTTTTTCTTTGGTCTGCTGACTCTGCTAAGAATTCATTGAGAGAGTGCTTAGGGGAATCGATATGTTACGGTACATATTAAATACAATAGCATAACTTAAAGACCGTGAACACTACTGGGCCAGAAGGGATTAGACCACACAGCGAGGTCACTGGCAAGTGGCTATCTCATTAACTCAGCTCTCAACTAACATAAGAAGAAGAGGATCATGGGGGACCAACATGCACCGATTGGGGAAGTTTTCTATATAGAGGGAGCAAGTAGCTACAAGTAGGACAGTGGGGCTTCGAAAGAACTTCTGGAAAGCTAATAAGCTATGTTTACATATTTGTATTTCTTTACTTCCTCGGCATATACATAGTAAATAAAATGTATAGGCATTGCAATGCCTTTGAAAGTTGACTTTCATAATAAAAGTACAAAAACATGTTATGAGGATGAAAATATTTTTACCATTTTAATTACAAAGTGCCATACTATTTCATTGCTAAAAATGTACATATAAACAGCAATAAGACAGCAAATCCCAAGGTTTTTAATTGACAGGTAATCAAATTTTTTGGACAAAAATAAAAGTTGACACACTTTCAACTAAATTCAAATACTTGTCATCTGAATTACATATGAATTTGCATTGGTTTATTGTCTATGTGGCTTATTAGAAGGTTGGTAAAATTGATTCCTAGTTTCATTCTAGTTTCTCATCCTAGCTTGCATTTTCAGCATGCCTCTTTTAATTCTATTTATTGTTATTCGATTCTTCTTCTTTTTTTTTTACTGAATATGAAACTAAAAAATTGGAAATTTATAGCCATGTGTCTAAAATAATTTTAATGAAATTGGTTATATCTGTTTGTATACTGCACATCTGTATTGCAAAGACAAGCAAGAATTTATCACAACAACAAAAATGCACTGAAACTTGCTCATTAAATATGATATGTGCAGGAATAATGTAAAATATTGAACAACAGAAACAACAATCAACCCCTGATGTTACTTTTGAGAAGTGTGGAACTAAAATTCAATATCACTTGGCCTAATATGTTTTTGGTAGAGCGATAACGTGGGGCTCAACAGTAACAGGCACCCAGGACACATGAGAGTCAGGACACTCAGGCCCGAATTCACAAAGGAGGTTTGTCGACAAACCTTGGTTTTTGTACGTCATACGACGCGTTTTTACGCGTTTTTTATAAACCTGCGCGTCGAAACCAAGGTATGTCGACAAACCTCCTTTGTGAATTCGGCCTCAAAGGTTTGATGTTTCTACATAGGGCTCAGATGGCCAAAAGACTGTACAAAAAGTTCAATCTTGACCGACTTCCCCAAAAAGGTAGTGTCACTATGAATATGACGGACAAAGAAAGCGGACAAAATACAGTTCCTCATTCTACCCTCAACAATTGCTATGGTAGACAAAGGAACATCCCTTCACTGCTATTATGTAAAAATCAGTAGAACAGGTGTCACATGCATATTCACCTGTTCTACACATTTTTGCACAATAGCAGTGAAGGGATGTTCCTTTGTCTACCATAGCAATTGTTCAGGGTAGAATGAGGAACTGTATATTTTGTCCGCTTTCTTTGTCCGTCATATTCATAGTGTGTGAAGCCATGAATAATATTAATAGCAGTCTTACCAGTAGCACCAAATGCATCCAGGCATCTCATTCTTTTCTGGATCCTCTTCTCTACCTTCTCTCGACCTCTCTCTCTGACCACAGCTGTCAAGGCACATAATATAAGCATCCTGTATATATGTAGAAATTGAAGAAAAAAACACCTTTAAGCTATAAGGAATCTTAAAAGTGCCAACAAGATGACAAAATAATTGAGGACAAAAAGGCGAGATGACGAGTTGTTGCAACTCGTCAAGTCAACAAGTATAGGACGAGAAGATGAAATCCTGCGATTGGGACAGGCCTAAAAAAGTCATTTGAAGGGAGGGGGTAGGGGACCTCCGACAATTTGATTCCTCCTGGCCAAAGCTGTCTGGAAATCTTTGGGTCAACTCCTACAGTACATGACTAACTTTCGGGCTGACTTTTTTGGAGTAACCCTCCCCCCCCCCCCCCCCCCCGAAAAAAAAGTTTCATGCAAAATCATAGGTGACAGGGGAGGTGGGATCAAACGAGCCGACTTGTCGGAGAAGAAATAGAAGAAAAAGAAAAAAGAAAGGGGTGAAGAGAAGAAATTTAAGAGAGAGAAAAAGAAAAAGAGGAGAGATGAAAGAAAAGGGGGAAGGAGGAGAAGAAAAAACAGAGGAAATAAGAAAAGAGGAAGACGACGACAAGAAAAGAATTTTAGAAAAAAGTAAGAAGGTGAAAAATTGCTGACATTGATTATATATCTTCCATGCATTAAGACTTTAGAAGGCTCTGGTCCTCCCAACATGGCTCGTCCTTAGAGCAGTACCGGTATATTGACTTTCACCACGCTATAGAGAAACGAAAAAGGGGGCACTTATCAGAAGGCAAAATGACAAGTATTAGAAAAGAAAAGGAGCATGTCTATGGTGGTGTGACCATAGTTCGCGCGTGACCTAAGTTCGTTATCTCAAAAAATAATCTGTAAGATTTCAAAAATCTGAAATCACCAATGGAAAGGGGAACATAAAATCACTAATGTCCTTTGGCAAGATATTGATCTATATTTGCCACACTCCACCCCGGTGAAGTAAATGGGAACCTGGTAGGAATTTATTCCTTGAAAAGCAGCGCGCGTAACAGCTGCACTGCTAAAGCCAGGGTAATTATGCTGCATTATTGTAGAGCGCTTAGAGACTTCTGATAAAGTAAGTGTTAGGCGCTATATAAGCAAATATAATTATTATAAAATTACCCCTAGACAGAATTTTCTTTGGAATTGGATGTGAAATTATGAAAATATTGACAACAGATAGGCAAATTTTGCAGTCATAATTATTACCTTACCAATAAGAGCCTGGAAAATTCATTTTGCGAGCAGATATCCTCAAAATTGTAAGAAAAAAGTGGTACCAACTGATTGTATATCTTGCAGATTATGAAATTTATTATACCGGTACCTTATTTTGATGGATCGCATTTATTGATAAATCAGCTGTAAACCCCTGTGCACAAAGTAAGGTCTCATTGTTTTTTTTTTTTTTTTTTGTGAGTTGCATGCAGCGCGCATGCCGATCCGACATCAAATTTTAAATAGCGATATCTCCAGAATCCTCTGACGCTAACATTTTCTACTTGCACCAATTTGTAGCAGAAGTGATAGTGAGCATTATATTCCACATACAAAAAATCTTGCGCTACGATTGGTCAAAATTAAATCATGTGATGAAAGATATTTCGCCCATCATTGATGGGAGAAAAAAAGTTTGTTGCACTGTGTAGATAGTAATACTATTTACACAGTGCAACATGCACTTTTACTGAAGATAAAAGTACTATCTACACAGTGCAACACACTTTTTGTGTATACGTTGCGTATACATATGTACTTAAGTAAGGCCTACAAAAAAAAATCTTGTTGTATTGCCCTTTAGATGGCAAAACATGGGTCAGTCGGTCGGAAAAGTTTTTTTTTTTGTTAACTTTTTTTTTGTCGCCCTCTTTGGGTTGATCTTTTTCAGGATTTAATGTTTGAACAAAATAAATATTTCAAAAATCTAAAAAACGGTATGAAAAAAAATAAAACTTTTTTAAAATGCCGACCGTAGATTTTCAAATTTTGAGGTCGGTAGCAAAGGGCAATACAACAAGTTTTTATTTTATGCCTAATGCATGCACTTTACGATACGTACACCGTTTGCTAGCTGTTAATTGATGATTTGTTGCTATAAAATGACGGAATCGAAATGTTTCCGATGTAGAATATAAAGCAAATAATCACCTTTTGGTTTCAGGCGATGGCAAACTATCACTTCCTCAGTGATCTGAATGTACGCTATCTTTCTGAAGCGAAGCTACATCCAGATCGCCTCGGAAATGATAGTTTGTCCATCACCTTTACAAACGGTACTGGTAATTATTTGCTTACTGTACTAAAATTTTTTTTTTTTTTCCCTCAACCACCCCCACCAAAAGGATTCAGGGAAAACGAAATTGCTTTTAACAACATCCCCCCCCCCCCCCCACCTTGTGAGTATGAAAAATTGAAAAAAATTAGGAACAATCAGGAAAAATCAGGAAAAATCAGGAAAATAGGGGTCAGGAAGAAAAAAGAAAAAGAAAAATCGGGAAACCGATTTAAATCGGGCAATTATCAGGCCTGTAATTGTAGTTAAAAATGTTAACATTGTTAAACGATGCCTTTAAGGTTTGATCCACCCTCAAAATAAATACCACATGAAACTTGGAATGACTTCGTCGTGTGTCATTTGTGCCTGCTGTTACAATATTAAGAGAAGCTAGGTGATGGAAGGAAGGAAGAAAGGAAGAAAGGAAGAAAGAACAATAAAAGGAAAGCCAGAAAGAGAAAGTGATAGAGTGATAAAAGCAAAGAATAACATAATTAAGAGAAGGTGATAAAAGAAAGAGATAGATAATTAAGGAAAGACAGAAAGAGAAGGATATAAAAGAAACAATTAGCGTACATATAAGGAAATATAGGAAGAGGAAATTAATAGAATAATAAAATTAAACAAAGACTAGCATTAGAGAAGCTAGAATAACATGAGGAAAGAAGCAGAAATTAAGAGAAAATGATCAAGATTAGAATCAATAGATAATGGAAAGATAGAAGAGATGATGAAAGATACGGACAAACAAAGATTAACATAGTCAAACAATAAAAGCAAAGAATACATAAGAAAAGGTGATAGAATAAAGAAACAAAGCTAGAATAACACAAGGAAAGATAGATAGAAAAAATGATAGAAAGATTACAAACAATAAATTATAAACAAGGAAAGACAGAAAGAGAAATTGATAAAGAAAATTGATGGAAAGATTATAGAAGAGATGAAAGATATGGAAATAACAAAGAATTAGAAAAACAGAGAAAGAAGATGATGTAATAAGTAAAACAAAGAATAACATCAAGTATCAAGTAATAAGTATCTAGTTTATTATATCGAAAGACAGAAGAAAAAAAAAAATAAAAAACAAAGATCAAAGAATGACATAAGAAGTGAAAGGAGGAGAAATTGAATAAGCGCGACGGGGTGGGGGGGGGGGGCATTAAGTAGAAACGGGCGTGTAGAAACGGGCGTGTAGAAACGGGCGTCAAGAAGTTGAAAAAGATTTATAGTGAATAGGACGGGTTGACTGCGGACGGGAACGACCACACAAACGAAAAGGTCCTAATCCTACGGAAGCACTTTTTATTAAAGTGTCTTCTTTATCTAAGGTCTTTAGCATGGTATGCATGCGTACGTTGCACTATAACTACCGTACTCTAGAAAGCTATACCAGTACCCGAAACGGCTTGACTCGGGCAATACAAACAAAGTTATATGTATAGAATTTACCTGTTTTTACACATTTTGGGATTGTAAAATGTCGTAGTTTTTTCAGGAGACAAGTTGCCAGATGCCACATTCACCTGTGTCCCCAACTCTGTTATTCTTTCCCATGCCATGCTGCTGCGTCTGTCACTTTTTTCTTATTTTACAGTTCTGTGCTTTTTCAGGCGTTTCGGATCTTCGTGATGCACTGCACTTGGAAGACATTGAGCGGAGACTAGTTTACGTATTAAAAAAATTAAAAGGACTATAGGTTTACCCCTACATCATAGAGATATATACCTCTATGGTCTACATTATGTAGTCAGGCGCGTACGCAGGATTTTTTCAAGGGGGGGGGGTTTTAACATTTATAAATCGGTCCGAAAATTTCGCAACGACTCAGCCAGCCGCTGAATAAGCGGGGGGGGGGGGGGGGGGGGGGGGGGGGGGGGGGGGGGGTAAGAGGACACTTTTTTTTTTTTTTTTGGTCTCGAAATTTGGAAATTTGACATTTTGCTCCGTTGGGTGGGGGGGTAAGGTCACCTTTTTTTTTTTTTAATAATTTAAAAAAAAAAAAAAAAAAAAAAAAAAAAAAAAAAAAAAAAAAAGGGGGGGGGGGGGGGGTTTTAGGTTTTTTTTTTTTAGGGGGGTTTACACACAAAAAATTTCCAAAGGGGGGCCCCCCCCCCCCCCCCCCCCCCCCCCCCCCCCCCCCCCCCCCCCCTGCGTACGCGCCTGTATGTAGTAGATGTACATTATGGAAAGCCATAGAGAAAAACTAAATATGTAGTAGATGTAGGCCTACATTATGGAAAGCCATAGAGAAAAACTAAATATATTCGATTCCTGCAAAATATATGGGTCATTAATTATCAAAATACATGTTTATAATTAAAGAAATGTATGCGCAATTAAAGTGTGCTGTAATATTTGATTTTTATGTAATATAGACCATGATGCGTAATCTATATATATTCGATGTTGAAAAAATATATATGCGTTATCAAGTATTCTATCTTTATAAATAATTATGTATGCTCTTTTATAATATATGTATGCGATTAAAAAATATGATCGTACAAAATGAAATACATGCGCTCCCTTGCCGTTGGTAGTCTTTGAATGGATCTCATTCAGACCCTATAGTCGCAAAGGTATGGTACTCGGCTTTGTGACTATATAAATGAGATCCTTTCAAAGATCATCTACCGACAAAGGAGCGCGTATATTTTATTTTGTACAAACATATTTTTGTGTAAGTGTCATATACTCATATCCCTTTCGATGAGTGTTCCCTTAAGTTCCTCTCATCTTAAAACCTGCCCCTAATTTCAAGCGAATAGTGCAATTGCCCCCAAAGCACTTTCGCTTAAACGCTCGCTCGCATTTATAGATAATCTAGCTATCATAGGTCTTTTCAGTCTTCCGTAATAAAAATGTTCTTAATGAACATGCGCGGATCCATGCAGGCCCCCCCCCCCCCCGGCCCCCTCAAAAATAAAGAAAGAGAGAGGATCGAAGAGAATGAAAAGAAGGGAAAGGGAAAGAAAGGAGAAATTAAGAGAAATAAAGAAGAGTAAGAAGAAAAAAAGGGGAAAGAAGGAGGTCGGGGGGGGGGGGCAAAAGGGTCTAATTGCCTCCCCTCCCCCCCCCCCCGCCTCTCATCAAAAAAAGAGAGAGGAAGGAAAGGGAAAGAAAAAAGGAAAAGAGGAGATAAAGGGAAGAACAGAAAAGAATTAAGGGGGATATCATGCAGTTGCAATTTTCCCGCCAACAAGTTGTGGATTGAGGATCGGGGCCGATGCAAAAGGCCTTAGCCTCCCCCCCCCCCCTCGATTCCCCCCGCCCTCGCCATGCAAAAATAAAGAAGGAAAAGAAAGGGAAAGGGGAGAGCTCTGAAAGGGAACAAATAAACAAGAAGGAAGAAGAAAAGAAAAGTATGAAATAAAGGGGAGAGTCGATCAGTGGCGATTAATCCCGCCAACAACGTAGATCCCCCAGCAAACCTAAAAGAGAGAAAAGGAAGGGAAGGGAAAGGGGAAAAAACTGAAAGAGAAAGAAGAAAGGTAGGGGAGATCAGTTGCGAGGGCCCCTATAAGGCGGGTCTCTGAATACTCATCCGCCCCTTGGACCCCACGCTAATTAGTGACCTGACAGCAGGCGCGTAGGCAGGGGGGGGGGATTGGGGGTTGAACCCCCTTTTGGTATTTTTATGTGTGTTAACCCCCTAAAAAAAAAACCCTAAAACCCCCCCTTTGTTTTGTTTTTGTTTAAATAATATTAAAAAAAATTAAAAAATATTCCCATGGCTGACCTAAAAAAGGTGACCTTACCCCGCGCCCCCCCCCCCCCCCAACTGAGAAAAATGTCAAATTTTCAAATTTCGAGAGAAAAAAAAAGTGTCCTCTTACCGGCCTGACAGTGTTACAAATAAAGTATCAAAACATCTGACCGTAATTAAATGCCTAAAACCCCTGAGCTTCCGGGGGCTCTGCCCCCTGAACGCCACCTGGGGCCCTCCGGCGGACCCCTATAGATGCTCACCTGACGGTAATTTAAAGCTAAAAAAAAAACCTGAGCTTCTGGGGCGACCCCTATATAGTGCCAATTAGTGTCCTGGCAGTGTCACAAATAAGGTATCAAACCGGGGGGGGGGGACTCCCATATTAGGACATACGGGGATGTGCCCCTTGACCCCACGCCAATTAGTGTCCTTCCAGCGTCACAAATAAGGTATCCGATAAAAATGCTCATCTGACCGTAATTAAACGCCTAAAACTCTTGAGCTTCCGGGGCTCTGCCCCTTGATGAAACATCCCTGATAAATTATACCCAATGGTATATTTTCGTTTTAAGATTTGCCTTTGTAGGTGGCTTTTTTTCTCCAGAAAATGCTTCTTCTTTTTTTGGTGCCCCCCCCCCCCCCCAAGATGAATGTATCTTGATCTTCGGAGTAGTTGCTACAACCGGCCGTGTCAGACACATTGCCCGGGGTGCGAGATAGGACTCTTGTAGCGTGCCCCCATTCAAAACAATTAAACAATAACAGTTAACATTGCATTTAATTAATAGTATGAAAATACGGGGAAAAATATCATATATATATATATATTATGATCCAATTGTTTAGGTCGATCCAGTTCCATGGCACAAACACGGCACTACTGGACAGAGATCCTAAGAATTACAGAGCTAAGAATTACAGAGGGGGGGGGGGGGGGGGAGGGGGTAAGGAGCACTATTTTTCCCCATTTTCCCAAAAAAATTCTTGAGCGAAAAAAACAAACATTTTAAAATTTCAGTTGTTTTTTGTTTTTGCCAGGGAGGGCATAGATAAACCACAGATAAAGGGTGTCTTTATAATTAAAAAAACACCCCCTTTTGCCAAGGGAGGAGGGGTTTGAACACCCATGACTATCCCCAGGCGCGTACGCAGGATTTTTTCAAGGGGGGGGGGGGGGGTTAACATTTATAAATCGGGCCGAAAATTTCGCAACGACTCAGCCAGCCGCTGGGCTGGATAAGCGGGGTGGGGGGGGGGGGGGGGGGGGGGGGGGGGGGGGGGTAAGAGGACATTTAAAAAAAAAAAAATTTTGGTCTCGAAATTTGAAAATTTGACGTTTTGCTCCGTTGGGGGGAGGGTAAGGTCACCTTTTTAGGTCAACCATGGGAATAATTTATTTATTTATTTGTTTTTTTAAAATAATTAATAAAAAAAAATTAAAAACAAAATCCAAAGGGGGGGGGGGGTTAGGGGGGTTATGGGGCGGTTTACACACATAAAAATACAAAAGGGGGGGTTAACCACAAACACCCCCCCCCCCCCTGTGTACGCGCCTACTATCCCCCCCCCCCCCCCCCCCCCCCACCCCCCCCCCCCCCCCCCCCCCCCCCCCCCCCCCCCCCCCCCCCCCCCCCCCCCCCGATACGCTAATGGAGTGGTATAACCACAGTTGTATTAAAATGGAAACGTCTTGATGCCCTCGACTTCTCGAATCTCGTAAGGTTACTACAATATCGTTGCGTGCCTTATTTCGTGAGTCGACACTCTCCGTATTCATACTATCTATATGATTTTTCGACACATATCGTGACTCGTGTGTGTACGTACGTCATAAGCGGATGCCGGATGGACATCTCCTGTTCGGGGTCCGGTCCAGAGTACATTTTTTGTTGTAACGGCAACAGGATTTTCATTTTAATTATTTCTTGTCCTTCTTCCAAGAGGGCGGATGCTGTTTAAGGCGGCCCACGTTTTGAGGGCGGTAATAGAATATCTCCCCAGTGCCAAAATGATCGTAAAACTTGCCCTTTTCGGAGGGTTGGCAGCGGCTCTACGAGGCTTCGCCTCCCTGGACTGGTGGCTCGTACTGGCGATAATTTTTGTTGTCTACCTCTTGACCGGCGGATGGGAATTTGTGTATATTGCCATCGTCACCTTCCCTAGAGATTTTAAGTGAGTGGACCTAGATCTATGTCACGTGTGTGTGTTATTACCTTATTGGGATTTTACAGACTCTATCAATCGAAGACCTAAATAGACCCTAGTCTCTTGATTTATTTGGCGCTTGTTCAGTAAGGACCCAAAATATGACCCGTAACTACGGCGTGGAGATAACCTAGAAATCTAGTCTAGAGTAAAGTACCCGGTAATCGGTCAGCTCCGGTTTTCGGCCAATTGGTTGGATACATGGTAAAATCACTTTAAAATACATCGCATAATAGCATAACACATATCCCACACATACCATACCATGCCAGTGTCACTGAAGAACCACATTTGCAATGAAAAATATATCCTAAAATATCGCATTTTAGCGATGTAATCGGCGGTCCCGCTACCCAAATCTGAAAAATCGAGTTTCTTACGCGTGTATGTAAGAAATATGGGTACCATAAAATGAGCTTTATTTCAAGTATTTTTCAGATATAGAGCCCGATTTTGCGCTGGTCGCAAGCTCAAAAGTATCTCATCGCATGTATTAAATCAATGCAGCCGCACACCGCGACGCACACACGATATGTCTGTCTAATTCAGATTCCAACTTCCGATCACCGCTGTGCCTGTATTCGGCCAGGCGAGCACCCCGGAGCTCCGGCGTGGGATACCTGCTCCGCCCGCTTGTGCTATACATCAGCGCAGAAACGCACGGCGCGCGCGAGCGCTTCCTATTGACTTTGTACATGCGGCCGTAAACTGAAACGCTCGGCCGATAACCGGCTCCAAAACAGTGAAAATTGAAATGAATATTGTCATGGCAATTCGTGATTTTTTTGGGGGATTCTTTTTTTGTTTAAATAATAATAATATTTGCTTCATGATTTGAACAAGAAATGATAATAAATAGGAAGTAAAGAGTCCAATAAATAGGATTTTGTCTTAAGTGGCCGAAAACCGGGTACTTTACTCTAGACTCTACTAAAACATACCCAAAATGAAGTAAATATTCATTAAATGTCCAAATAAAGAACATGAGTTAAAAGTTATGTTTATTACCTATTTTGTGTCAATTTTCTTGTTATTTTTGGAGTATTTTTCGGAAAAACAATGATATTGTAATACTAGACCTAGGCGGCCATAGATCTAGACCGAATTTTCTGTCTCTTTCGTTCGTTAGCCTCTTATTGGGGTAGGGTCGGCTCTCTCTTTAGAGACGGAAACCGTCTATACACATTCCCTTGATAACGCCACGGCCATTTCAGGTTGTAGCGTTTTGCCCCCAAAATCCCCCAAAATGTCATTTTACCTCATGCATTGATTATTTAAAATTAGGAGGTTATACTACATCGGTTCCACTTACCAACTTGACTGAAATAATCCGTTTAATGGTCCCTTTTAAGGAAATTATGGGTCAAAATCGACATCCATGTTGAGCCGTGTTAAACTCTCGCTGCGCACGGAGTCATCTAAATCAATCTCATCCCTTTTAGTCTACGCCGAAGGCAAAACGATTATGAAGGAAAAACTGTGATAACGCCATTACGAACGTGTAGATGGCGCACAGTTTTTCCTTCATAATCGTTTTGCCTTCGGCGTAGACTATTAATAGTTAATTTCATAATGCGAATACGATCAATTCAATAAATTTTTAATCTTAACAATTTCATGAACATCGAAAGTCCGAAGGACTTGGCCAGTATATCCCAAATCGAAATCGCACCTCACACACAAACCTTCTGCCACACTCTCGGCAGAACACGAATGGTCTGTTACCGGGACTCGAAAGGTTCGCGGTGGAAAGCTGGCCGGCTAGGTTTTTGCCAAAACAACATTAGGCCCGCTGCTGGCAAAGTTGGCAAGGTGTTCTTAACTTGCCAATAAGAAAATTCTAAATTCTATTTGAAATGAAATAATAAACTAGACCTACAAACAAACCTCGACAGATCTCTGACTATTTGAAAGCTTGTTTATTTCTCCATTTGACGATTTGTTTTCTTGATCGTTCGATAGGCCTACATTTGTACGTATGTGCGTGCGCCACAGGCACCATCTCTAGCGATCGCATGATCGTACATACGTTCGCTAGCCTATAGTAGCAATGGGCGCATTTTCACGGCCAACACTTGCACCTCAAGAAATGCACGCACTAAATACAAATCTAGTAGAGAACTCGTGCGCAGTAATTGTTTCGTTATTTGTGTATTTTTTCTGTCCTAATATTTTATGGGCGCATTTTCACGGCAAACACTTGCGCCTTGCCGTCTAGTTTTAGATGATTATGGGCGCAATTGGTGGTTTTATGAATGCAAATTTGCGCCCTGCGCACGCTTAATCGAAGGCTTGCCTTCAGAAGAACAGCCTTTGGCTGAAGTTAGTGCCGTGCAAAAATAAAATTAACTGAACTGAATTGAGTACGTAAATTCCCCTGCTTTTTTAAATAAAGCGGTTTAATTACCGCACCTTTTCTAGACAAGCCTTAATTTAGTTAAATTTTTTATTTAATTCCTCAATGCAATGTGCATGCAATTGTTTTTTTTTTTTTTATATTTCAAAAAATAGAAATTAGAGTCTATCTTTGTATATAATTATATATCAATATTTATGAGCCACAGAGGCTGCAGTTGATTTTTTGTTGGTTGTAATTATTGTTGTTGTTGCTCTCTCTTTCTAGGGGCTTGATCACCTTAATCAAACTAAATATATACCTCCGCAGTAAACTGCGTAACAATCACATGACCCATGATGTCTTCAGATACAGTGCTGAACGTTATCCAGACAAGGTAAAGAATTCCCACAACGTTGTCTATGTTTAGAAGATGTAATGCACGACTGTTCCAGAACTTCTGCATTTATGATAATAAAAGTGGTGCAAGTGCTTTTATTACTTAATGTAAGTTTCTCTGTATAGCCTGTGCGAAGCCAGGGTACACTAGCTGTAAGTAGACCAATAGAGTAACTATTGTACAACCTTGAAAATGGTTACATTTTAATGCAATTAAACCCCCCCCCCCCCCATTTTAGCATAGAAACAAGGAAATTTAGATGGTAAAACACATCCATTTTTAACAATTCAGATTGGTTGGTAAGATAATCATATTTATAGCATTTCAAAAGAATGATTTCATTACTTAATGCTAATTCTATAAATACATATCGTTCTCATATTTGTCACATTTTAAATGTTGTACCCCCCCCCCCCCCAAGAAAAGAGTGAGACATTTGAAGAGGAACTCCTGATAGTAAATTGGTTTTGATAGAAGCAGAAAAATAAGAGGAACAAATAATGAAAGTTTGACCAAAATTTGATGATACATAAGAAATTTATGAATATTTTGAAACACAAATCGGCAACCCTGTGACTAACCTTGCGAGCTCCTCTCCTTTTTTTCTGTTTGGAACATTTCAGAAACTTTCATTTTCTAAGTTATTGATGATGGAATAGATTTGTTTCATACAGGGGTTGTAGAGTATATAAAAACATATTTGCAATAATTGCATTTAGGATGAATGTACATTCTATGATTAAACATTTTATTGAAATATAATTTCAAACCTACAATAATTTCAAACATACAATTTTGATTTTTTTTTTCTCTTCAATTTTGTTGATTTTTACTGGGCAAATGGGAGGGGAGCTTGCAAGATACATCACAGAGTTGCCAATTTGTGTTCGATTGATTGATTGCACCTTTAAAAATTCATAACTTTCTTATCTTTAGTCCGAATTTGCTCAAACTTTCACTAACCAGTTCCTCTCATTTTATTCCTCTATAAAAAAACCCAACTTAATATCAGGGTGGACTTCCCCTTGTGTAATAAAAGGTATTTAGATTTAGAAGGAAAATATTTTCGTACCAAAGTCTACCCGGACGTTTCTTACTCAAAGCAATCTACCACCATATTTTTTTATTTTTTTGACAGCTTGCCCTCGTATTGGACGACCAGAAATGGACACTGCGTGACCTTGAAATGTACAGCAATGCAGTGGCCAACCTTTTCTTTGAGAGGGGCTACCAGAAAGGCGATACAGTTGCCCTACTCATGGACAACCGGCCCGAGTTTGTAGGCCTGTGGCTGGGACTGTCGAAGATTGGCGTGGTGTCTGCTTTCATCAATCATAATCTCAGGAGGGATGGACTGACGCACTGTATCAACGTCGCAAATTCAAAGGCTGTCGTTTTTGCTTCAGAACTTTCTGACGGTAAAGTTTGTGGTTCAGGCATTCAATCCTTTAAACCGTAATTGGTTTTATTTAACTTTTTATGATGGGTTCCTGGAGCATCCTGGTTCCTGAAATTGTGAATAGTCCCCGGCCCCCCCCCCCCACTCCGAGAACGGACGGACCCCATACGTGTTACCAAAATGTCCGGTAAAGGGGTACTTTTCGTGCGACAAAGTCCGGCCCGAGAATTGTAAACGAAGGGATGTATTAACTTTTCACCCAGAGATTTCTTTAAAATGGGGGTGTTTTTTCTTTTTTTCTCTTATCTCTTTGGACTCCTAAGAAATTATTCCGAATTTAGGGGGGTACATTGAGCATTTTTCATGATTTAGGGGGGTCTCCAAGGCAAGAAAAGCCCGCGAAAGGGGGGGGGGTATGGAAATGTTGGCAGTCCTCAGATAGGGGGTGCTTTCAAAAAGAGGGAACAAGCATATGCGTACCCTAAATAACACTGAGTGGGGGGGGGGGGGCGGGGAATAGTCATGTTTATGTAAGGTCTACACCAGGGGTTTAGCTAGCTTACAGCCCTGTAGGTTCTTTGATCGTCACACTTCCAACTAAGTGTGCAAATGCTGATTGAATTTACATCACAAAACAGTAACTGTCCTTAAAATCCATTCAAAGTCTTACCTAGATTTTATGCCATAAAGGAAAGCGTTTAATTGCTTCAATTTTAAAAGGGGGAGAATCCTGTGATGGAATTTTCCTTGCTCTAGAAATGCGTCTATCCAATTCCATGGCCCGTAGACATTTATTTATCATGCACATTCATGTATGTGAACACATGTACACTCAAATCAAAAGGGCTCAACATAGTTGGATTTCAAAATTAAGAGACAAAAATGAGGCACAATTAGTGTATGATCTAAAAGATCTATATTTTAGTTGTGGCTTTATATTACTTTGTGATAGGAACTTTTTTGCATGGTAGGCGTGGTTGGAAAGAATGATGCATGGTCTCATGGTGAAATGACCAGCCTACAAGGTACATATTTTGAAGTATGTTTTGTAAAATCAATAAAGATTTGCAAGAGTGAGCTTATCAAAGTATTATTTACATAGGGAATTAACCTATATACCCGACTACTTATGGATTACATAAGTTCATAAACAAATGTACATGTACATGTAGATCAAGATTAAACCAACAGTTAATAGATTTGAGAAGTGAACTTTAGAAATCATTGGTTTACCCTATGAACTCGTTCAAAGGTACTGTTTAGGATTTTGACATGGGTTGAAATCAAATTTAATGGTTAAATTATTTATCAATCTTGCATTGAATGTGGGAAAGTCATCCATGAACACTTATCTCTGCTTTCTGTACCTGGGTACATTGCATTTACTAATATTTTGCAAAACAGGATCAAGTTTGTATTATTCTTTCTTTAAAAATTTACTTTACAAAAAAGCACTATATATGTACATGTAAGTGTTATCAAGTGCAACTTTATACTCTTTTGTCTTTCTGTCCAAGTATTTTCCTAATAAATATCCTCATTTAAATTTCCCTTTTTTTTAAAAATATCTTTATAATTAATGTCCTATTTTTGTTATCATTCTATTATTATTATTGTTATCGTTCATGTTATTATCAATGTTGTTGGTATTGTTTTTATAATTATTATTATAATCATAATTTTTATTTTTATTTTTATATCTATTATTATTGATAGTGGTAGTGGTAGTAGTAGTAGGAGTAATAGTAGTAGTAGTAGTATTAGCATTAGTAAGGGAATTTGTATTATTATTGTTATTATATTTACTACTAGTAGTAGTAGTATTAGTAGTAATAGTAGTAGAAGTAGTAGTAGTATTAGTAGTGGTAATTTATTATTATTATTATTGCTTTTAATTCAGTGGTAAGAGAAGTTCACCCATCACTCAGGAATGTTGAATGCTACAGCACCGGTCCTCTTGCTGAGCCAATCGCCTTCAGCAGCCACAACGTGGACTCGTTAATCAAGGCAACCTCTAGTCTTCCACCGCCAATCATTGGTGGCCGAAGTCTCAAAGGTGAGCAAAATCTTATTCTTAATCTAATTATTATGTAGAGGTGTTGTGGTCGTTGGACTGTCGATCACAAGGTCCGCGGTTCGAGTCCCGCCGCGGCACTAATGTCCTTTGGCAAGACATTGATCTACATTTGCCACACTCCACCCAGGTGAAGTAAATGGGTACCTGGTACGAATTTATTCCTTGAAATGCTAGACCGGCGTATGGCAGCCGTGCCAGGTTAATAATCGTGAGTGCCAGGAGGGTCAAATCTGACTTACTGTACATGAACGCTAGACAAACTCACTATTATTATTATTATTTTATTCATCCACTGCAATCCAAAAGGTTTATAAAGCACCTTTTCCTTACGGTTGCAAAGCGCTGCAAACATTGCTCTGTAAATATGTTTGGGCCAGATAATATATCACTTCAAACAAATAGACCAGTAAAAAGAAACCTTGACCCAGGATTAAACTGATTGGTTAACTAGTTATTCTGAGAGATCCATTGCATTCCTGCCCATTTGATTTGATTTGATTTGATTTATTGGTTTCTGCATCTTTTTGTTGTTGATCATACATTTTCATGAACATATATGGTTTGATACAATATTTCAGATTTATATATACAGAAAATGTACAAAATAAAACAAATATATTGAATGCATAATTAACATACATTAGATGCAGGAGGGCTACAGCATAAGCAAAGTAGCTTGACGTGCCCGCAGCCCTCGACTTAGATACAACAATAAAAAATAAAAAATATTAATCTACAAGATTTCCCACCAAAGCTTACGAAGCAAGATTTTCTTAGTGTAATGTATATTGTTCTCAGCATGGCGTGGGCCTCGCCATTTTCTTACTATTTTGATCAATATCTCGTATCTTTCAGTATTTCATACCACATGGATTCAGATTTGGGTTTTTTTAATACTAAATTGTGACCGAGGGAATGAAGATTTCTGATAAGAGTTTTGCTTAGGAATCATAGCCCATCAAACATGTGAAAGCAAAGCTATAGGGGTTGAAAACAGGGAACATAAGTGTCATGTCTGTAGCACACGGGCTGTCATGTCTGTTTTTGACAAGGAATTGCATAAATCAAATAGTTTTACAAAAATGTTTGAGTTTGTTTATGATTATGTTATCTTGCACTGGGAACAGTTAGATAATCTTCAAGCCTTTTTATCTATCCTATGATAAATGCATTGTGGTACAGGGAGAAAATAAATTTGTGGCATATACAAGTTAATTGACATGGTTTGCAGTTTGAGTCGTACCTCTGTACTAAGGCATTACCCGACATTCCCACACTCTACCCAAGTGAAGTACATGGGCACCCAGTAGGAACACTTGACTACTTTATCATTCATGGTGCATGTAGCTCAGCTTTAGCCGGGTTTATGATATGGTTACATGACCTTCCACCTCAGGAGGAACAGTGTGAATACTCATGAGATTACCCTGGGTAAACAAGACATAATATTATTAGTATTATTAGTATTGTTGTTTGTTTTTAACCGTATGGCTACTGAATTTTCTAATAACCATAGGCTTGATACATGGATTATACTGATCCCGTAGGCATTGGGTTGATAATAATCTACTCTTCTTCTTTTCTATGGCAGATACTGTCTTTTATGTCTACACTTCTGGTACAACAGGACTGCCTAAAGCAGCTGTGATAACACACTCGAGGTAAGTGATACCTTCCATAAATCTGTAGACTGGATAGCTCTTACAGATACAATTCCCTGCCTTTTCACTGGAGATCAGTTTGAGATCAGCACCTTATATCGCATAGAGAGGGCTACAGAGCTGCAGACCATTTCGGAATTGCTCCGTTTTTCCTCCAAATCACGGTATTATGTTTTTTAAAATACATTTTTTTTTTTTTTTTTTTTTTAACATACTGCACATCAAACAACTGCCCTAAAATGTTGATTTGATCACAAATTCAATAGAAAACATAGTTAAAAAACATACTTGAAAACATACTTGAACAGAAAAATATACTCAAAAAGAATGAAATGCTGATAATACCAAAAAAAATACCTGCTTGTATGGAAAAAAAAACAGCATGAGGAATGGACATTTCTGCATTGGAAGTGTGTCGCGCGCGGTTGTAAGTTTCAATTTAATGAATTCCTTTTTTTTGCCATCATGGTTCCTTTTTTTGGTCGCACAAGGTTGGCAGCTCTGGTGCTATACAAATGATAATATTGATTATATGTGTACCATGGTACGATGGCTATGGGCTACAAATGTGGTTGTACCATCTGTTTACATACAGATTATATTATTTACACAGAGTGCTGGTAAACACCATATATTTAGGTCGGGTAGATAGTTAATCTCTCTACTATTGACTATTGATATCAAGTCCATAATCTTGACCCTTGAGGCATTGCAGAGGTCGTTGCTTTGAAGCAATAGTGACAAAGAATATTAAAGGGGCTGTAGGATGACAAGACTTGTGTGTCTTTCCCGTAGCCTGACTCCGGGCCAATCTATAATAATAATACGCTAAGGCTCCGCGGGGGGCGCGACGTCTCCGCCAGCCTTTGTATTCTATTGTTTTTTAATGAGATCGCCGACCGAAGTTGGTGCAGCTATCTCCTCCTGAACCCTCCCCTCGGGGTACCCGTGCCCTGTGCCATCGTCCGCGGGAGAGTCTACTCTGTGGAATTGGCTATACTCCGCCCGAGGTCCTCCTCCGTGTCGACGTCCAGGGCGAAAACAGACGCGATATGCATAATGCAGGATATGCGTGACGACAGAGATACCTCATGGATATTCAAAATTACATCCGTAGACACACGACCGATGACTATCCACTCACATTAAGTTGCGTATTAAATGCACGACGCACAGGGTCGGGCTTACCAGAGTAAAGCATCTTTCTATAGGATATCCTTTGTATAGTAGCTGCACAAGCCACAGAGATACACACGAAGCTTCCCGTCCACGTCCAAACTTAGGGACCTATTTCCATCATTATTGCCGCGATTTTTATATAGTTTTCATGAATGGAGGTATGAAATGAAAGCTTATTTTGTGATTATTACGGCCATGCCACTAAATTTTGATTATCATTTTCTAAAGGAAAGTTTTCACAAGAAAACCATTGGACTGACAATTCAGTCGCAAGCTGCCTTCAGTCAGTGCAGTGTGTGTGAGCTGCAGTTAACTCCAGCAAGCTCCAACACCGGCTCCGCGCACCGCAGGCGTCCGAGGCCTGCGGCGCCGGTGTTCGAGCTTTCTGGAGTTACGCTGTGTGTGTGTGTGTGAGTTCAGCTGAGCTGAGCTCGAGTCGAAGAGATTTGACACTTTGAAATTGTTATCTGTTGGTTTGCATCATTATTGCCGCGATTTCAATATAGTTTCGTGAATAGATTTACGAAACCTGATCTTAGAATTAGTAAAAGTATTACTAATGTTTACGTTTTTAAACGACTGTCTGATTTTCTTGTGAAAATTTTACTTTGAAAAATGATTATCGAAATTCATGGTCAGAAATAATCACAATCTAGGGTCTATTATGTTACAGTTCTTGCATCAAATCAATGCATGAAAATTTAGTTATTGAACTAGAAAAATGTTTTTTTTTAAATAGGCAATTAATTATGAAGTATAGGAAGCCTGAAACCTGTCCTGAGCCTACTAAACAAATCTCAACAAAGTGTAGGCCTATCCTTTTATGAATTAATGAAAAAGTAGCCCCAGAAAAAAGAGCCCCAGAAAGTTGGAAAAAGTAGTCCCCGAAAATTTCCCAAAAATTTGAAATGGAGCCCCCGAAATGAAAAACTTAATTTTTTGCCTGCGCCCCCCTCTAGAATCCCTCGGATTTCCGCGGGTCCTGAGTTGAGTGTATATTTAATATAGGCGTGGGGTCCACGGGTTTCAAGGGGCCATAAACCCCCAAAAGCTCGGGGGTTACGTTTTTCAAAGTTGGGGGGGGGGGGGAGAGATCAGATCGCAGCGAGTTGAGTGTATATATAATATAGGCGTGGGGTCCACGGGTTTCAAGGGGCCATAAACCCCCGAAAGCTCGGGGGTTTTAGGCGTATAGGGTCAGATGAGCATATTTTTAATACTTTATTTGTGACACTTGCAGGTCACTAATTGGCGTGGGGTCAATACGTAGAATTGCGTAGTGTTGCGTAATAACTACGCTGGCCTACGTTACTATATGCTGAGGGACGGAAAGGGGTACGCAAGATGAACGAAAACAATTCAACCTGTTTAATTTTTTTCGCCAGCCTACGCATAACCTACGCAGGGACTATTTCCCCATTAATACGCAGCCTAATTTCTGCGTAGTCGGTACGCCACACTACGGAACTCTACGCAGTTCCAGTGGCTTAAAGAATAACTAACGGTACAGTTGGATCGTTTTTTTAATTTTTATATCAGGCCAAATTAAAAAAAAAACATGTTTAGCTTCCTGTTTTTTTGAAAAATGGGAAGGAGGAGGCCCTTTTTTTTTCTTTTTATTTTCTTTCAAAATGGCCGCTCCGTACATTTTTCCTGACATTCGGGCTATTTTTCAAGATGGCGGCCGACAATTTTTTTTTTTCTTTTTAAAATCAGAAATACATTTTAGCAGTGCTTTTCATGTTTTTTTTCTTTCAAAAAAAAAAAAAAAAAAAAAAAAATAGGAGGCGGCCCCCAAAAAGGACGCAGGCGGGGACGCTGTTTTTTTTTCTTTCAAAAAAAAAAAAAAAAAAAAAAACTTTTCACAAAATTAAAAAAAAAAAAAAATAGGAGGCGGCCCCCAAAAAGGAAGCGGGCGGGGACGCTTAACATGTATATTTCTTAATGGCCTGAATGGCAAATAAAGTTCTTGGTGGTTTTAATTTAGACAGTCTCTATATATCTATTTACACCCCCCGCCCCCTCTAGGATCCCGCGGATTTCCGCGGGTCCTGCTAGTTGGGTATAATACGACTACAGACGATGCGACCGCAGTAGGCCTACATGTATGTATTCATGTGTGTGCAACATACGCAAAAGTGAAGCGTAAGGAGAACTTCAGTTTCGCGAACGCTAGCGCGTGCTGACCCAGTTAATCAAGTCCATTCGTTTTTGTGCAGTTGTCCAATAGAAGTCGTAGATGCGTTAACCAGTATTTGCCATGCTACAGCCCCTTTAATGCGAACCTACCTTTGTGTGGGAAATGTACATTGGAACTTCAAAACCTTATGGAAGTACAAACTCAAGTAAAAATGTTTGTAATGTGGCTATTAAAGTATATATGAAAGCATTTGAAAACTTAATTTAAAAATTATGTAGATGTTATTTAGGGAGGGAAATTAAAGTTATTTTTGTTAGAATGCAATGAATACTACTTGTTGCTAGAAAATGTAGATTACATGTTACCCTATATAATGAAACAGCATGAAAGAACCCACCTATTACATGTAAATCATTCACCATAATGGCCCATATTCTACTTGATGCAGGGTTTATCGTTCCATCAAAATCGTGTTTAACAAAGTAAGTTTAATTCTCAGGTCTAAATTTCCCTTTGTTTAACATGATCATAGACCCAGGGACAGGTTTAACTGGGTTACAGCCACTGCATAAGAAACAGACACTTAACACAAAAAACATGAAATTGAATGTGTACAAGAAAGATCCTACACATATTCAATGAGCCCTGTGTTATAAGACACAGAAATGTGAAGCATATCACAATTTGACCTTGACCTACCTTGACCTAAGCCTTCCGCACCATCTGGGAGATGTGTGATGGCTTCTGCTTCATGACCTCAAGCCAGATCTTCCTATCTTGTGACGTTCTGGTCGCTTCTGTGAGGGATCCCAGACATCTAGTAGCACAATCAGCCTTCACACAATCAAGCCATTTCTTGGCTGGTCTGCCCCGGGGTCTATCACCATGAATATTAGAAGTTAGGAGTATCTTTGGGTATCGTGATGGTCTCATCCTGTTGACGTGGCCAAAGAATCACAATTTACGTCACCATAATAAAACCTGCCATGGTTTTGACTGGCAATATCTGAACGAGTCTTTCAAAGAGTACTGGGGGTGTTTCACAAAGATTCTAAGTCGAACTTAACTCTAAGTTTGACTTAAAAATTATGGAGAGCCATGTGTAGCCTTATAATGAAATATATTCAAAAGAAAAATGTTAGACTTTGCATAAATTCCACATCAAGGACATGAAAAAACCCATGATGATAAAAAATAGTAATGATTTGAATCAACATTTTATGCCTTTTAAAATAGCTTTTACAAAATATTTTCAAAGATGATAACAGCTTTCCATAATTGTTAAGTCCAACTTAGAGATAAGTTCAACTTAGGATCTTTGTGAAACACTCCCCAGATCTACTATGTGTTTACCTTTGCAGGTTACTCTTCATGGCTAAGAGCATTGCAGAATCCTTCAATATAACCAGCGATGATACCATCTATTGCGCCCTCCCGCTCTACCACTCAGCTGCAGGATGCCTGGGCGTCGGCCAGCTCATCATCAATGGCACAACCATGGCCATGAGGAAGAAATTCTCCGCCTCCAATTTCTGGCTGGACTGCATCAGATATAATGCAACAGTAAGTTTGAGACACAAGAGAAATATTATTTCTTCCCTTTGGATCCACAAGGGCATTATCTCATATCACTTAACACAAACCAGTTGCAAGCGTCTTGAAGAAATAAATACTACTACAACAAACTCCAGATCAGACAAATAAATGTTTGGTGCTTCCAAATGTTGAAATTACTCTATACTCTTTTTAGGAAATGCTAAAAACAAACACTTGACAATCCTGATCCTTATTGAGCTCTCAATGAAAATCACACCATGCAACTTTTGGTGGTCCTGTAGTGCCTGGTTACATATTTCATGATGCAGTGATACAGGAAGTTAGCTTTTTATCGGTGCATGGATTTAGTTATTCTGGCTTTAATTTTGCTGCCCTAATAGGACGCTGGGACATTGAATGAATTCTGGGTCAATTGTGGATAATGTAATAATAATAATATAATATTCATTTTTTATATAGCGCTTAATAATTAAAGTGCTTTACAGATATATCATTACACAATTTATGCATATTCTCCACTCCCTGGGGAGCATTCCAGCCAGGCATCGTTTTACAGACGCTCACAATGCTGAGCAATCTACATTAATTTTCGCATCTTACTGGGTACCCATTTAACACCTGGGTGGAGAGTGGAAAATGTAGATTAATGTCTTGCCAAAGGACATTAGTGCCGGGCTGGGATTTGAACCCTGTACCTTGTGATCTGCAGTCGGGTGACTTATCCACTAGACCACAACACTTCTACATCTAGTAAAAGGATTAATGTCTTGCCAAGAATTGTAGTGCTGTGATATGGATTTGAAACTTGTACATATGATCCACAGTCCCCTAGCTCCCCCCCCCCCAACTATTTACTTTAATACGATTCATGGCAATTTCATGTACAATGGAGTGAATAAAGAATATAACATCAACTATGCTAATATCAGAAACACTAACATGCTTTCCCTATTCATTAACGAATCTATTTTCCAAAAAACTTAATTAAAAAGAATATCAAACTTCCGAAATTCAATAACAAGACAAGCATATCCAATTACCTAATGCTTCTCAGTGCTACACATCGCAGTGAAGGGCTTGGTACTAAAGCATAGCTCAGCAGATATTGTGAAGTCCCAGTTATTCTGCACTCTAGCAAATACACAAAATGTGTAATTGGGTTTTTACAAGTGGGTATCAATTAGATATGATTATTTACGCCTGGGTCCGACCTTTAATGATATTCTACCATACAAAAGATGTGACTCAGTATCGAACCTGGGTCCGATCATAGTCAACTTATTGACGAAGACAGGGCTGACAGTACCACCCACCAACTTACATCTCCTTTAAATGGATAATGGGTGGTATTCTCATAAGTTAAGATGGGACTAAGTCCAGACTAAAACAGAATTTTAGTTCACACTTCTATGGAATGCTAGGTTTCATCTTCCTCCAGTTTATACTCATATTATCTTTTTCTTCCCATTTCAACGCAAAATTAATTTTATTGGACACTTTTCATTGAAGGATTAAAATAATCTGTACCGGGTAAATGAGTTGGCAACAGGCACTTCATAAAAGTGTGGACTAACTTAGTACGCGCTAACTTAGTACGTGCTACCGGAATACCACCCAATGTTGGTAAAGGAAGAGGGGGTATCGTTGCTCTTCTTTAATTTATATTTACTTGTGTTTCAGGTAACACAGTATATAGGAGAGATCTGCAGGTACCTTTACTCCCAGCCCAACCGACCTGAGGAGACCAAACATCAACTTAGATTGGCAATGGGCAATGGACTCAGGCCAGAACTTTGGAATGAGTTCAAGGATAGATTCAACATTACAAAGGTAGGTCAACAGGGTCGGGTGGTGGTGGTGATGGTGGTGGTGGTGTTGGTGGTGGTGGTGGTGGTGGTGGTGGTGGTGGTGGTGATGGTGATGGTGGTGGTGATGGTGGTGGCGGCAGTGGTGGTGGCGGTGGCGGTGGTGGTGGGGGTGGTGGTGGTGGTGGTGGTGGTGGCAACCAAACATCAAATCAGATTTGCAATGGACTCTGGCCGGAACTTCAGAACTTTGGAATGAGTTCATGAGGACAGATTTAACATTGCCAAGGTAGGTCAAGATGGTGATAGGAGGGGGAGGGGGGACTGTGGCGGGAGTGGTGTTGGTGATGGTTTTGGTGGACATGATTGTGATAGTGGTGGTTATGGTGGTGATAGTGGTGGTGGTGACTGTGATGGTGTTGTAATGGTGTTGATTGTGATAGTGGGGTAGGTGGTAGAGATCCCCTTTTCAAAATTCTCTGTAACCAATACTCTACCTTCTTTTTTAGGGATTATAAAGTTGACTATAAATTGCATGATTACCTGACTCAGAAATTGCGATTCACATGGAAAATATTTGGATCACAACTTATTCATATCACTGCAGATTGGTGAGTTCTACGGAGCCACGGAGGGCAATGGTAACATTGCAAACATGACCGGGCAACCTGGGGCCGTGGGTTTCAACTCCATTATCGTTCCCTGGGCCTATCCTGTCTTCCTGATCAAGATCGACCCAGAGACGGGAGCCATCATCAGGAACTCTAAAGGGCTGTGTATGAGGGCCAAACCAGGTGAGAAAGGGTGTGGAAGTAATGGTCCAAAGGGTTTATAGGGCGACTCCATAAAGTGTGTCCCATACGACATAAAACATTTGTTGGGCGCTTCCATACAATGTGTCCTATACAACATTTGACATTCATTGATTAGTTTCATCTTGAAATTGAAATCTCTCGATATGACCATTGACAAATGGTCCTCTCTGGTATCACTAGAAGTATTCAATGGTTGAATGTGGGAGTGTCATGGTCGAGTCGTTTAAGGCGCTTGACTGGAGATGCGAAGGTCGAGGGTTCGAATCCCGACACGGCACTAATATCCTTTGTCAAGATATTTACCTGCCCTTGCTACTCTCCACCCAGGTGTTAAATGGGTACCTGGTAGGATGCGAAAGTTCATGTGGTTGAAAGAGTAAGTGTGCGCTTGTAAAATGGTGACTGGCTGGAATGCTCCCCAGAGAGTGGAAAATGTGCACACATTGTGTGCGGGTAAGCCTGAATCTGATGACGGGGTAATGATAAATCGTGAGATCGATGTATTGAGCGCTATATAAACACAGAATATTATTATTAATATCAATCTAGCTTTCATTTGTTTGCTGAAAAAAATGGGTTTGTCGTACGGGACACATTAATAATAATAATAATAAAAACGTTACTTTTAAAGCGCTTACCACCAAAGTCTCTTAGCGCTATACACACAAAATAGACTGATAAACAATTACATCTTATACAAAACTAAAAATGTAAATAAACATACAAATTACAATACTGTACATATGGAATACACATCAAAGTGAATAGAGTTAATTAATCATCGATTGCAATTTTGAATAAATATGTCTTGAGACTAGTTTTGAATAGGTTAACGGTATGACAGTTTTTTACATTTAAAGGTAATCTGTTCCAAAGTTCAGCAGAAGCTTTGCGAAAGGAGCGATTACCATAAGAAAGAGTTGACACAGAAGTAGATAGAGGTTTAATTGTGAAGATGACCGTAAACTGTGTGAGGGTTTGTATTCCTCGATTAATTCTTGCAGATAAATTGGTGCCAATTCATGAATGCATTTATAAGTTAAAACTAAGATTTTGTACATAATGCGATACGTCACCGGCAACCAATGCAATTCACGAAGTACTGGGGTGATGTGTTCACAAGAACGTGTGCGTGTTACAAGCCTGGCAGCAGAGTTTTGGATTCTCTGGAGTTTTGCAATGTGCGAGTCCGGAAGGCCATAAAGAAGGCTATTGCATTGATCAAGACGGCATGTAATAAATGCATGCATTATTGTAGAGCGCTTAGAGACTTCTGACAAAGTAAGTGTTAGGCGCTATATAAGCACTGTAATTATTATTATTATGTATACCGGTAAGCGTTTCGGTAGATTTTTGATCAAGAAAATTTGTAATATGACCTATCTTGTACAAGGCATATGAAGCACAGAATTGCCATGTGGTTCTTCGCCAATTCTTCTAGAATTTAGCTTGTTAAATCGCTTTTCTAATTCTTCTACCCCGTTATCTTCTATCCTACTTGGGTTTGATGCATAAAGAGATGCTTTTCAATGCATTGTCTGTATATAATGAAGATGGTACAGTAGTCTTGGTTTATCCCAAGTTCAAGCTGGAAAAAAAAGTTGACTCGCTATTGGCAAGTCTCGACACTAAATAATTTGAATAGGTGTCCATATTGTGCTTAGAGTGCCTTTCTACCACAGACCTATGTTAATATTTAACAGATCTTTTGGTCAGAAGTAAAAATTTAAATGGAGGTCTGTGTCTACTTGACCCTTGTTAAAGCTACCATAATTAATGTTGTATAAACCACACTTTTTTGCCGCCAAAAAAAATTCAAAGTCGGAGGTGCGTCTTATACATGGTACACAAGTTTCAATTTATGCCCCTCCACCTGGTGCTATGCCTGGCAATGTCTCCCAGCTCAGTAATCGGTGTGTTGACTCACCACTCTGAAACTAGAACAACACTCAAATTTTTCTGTCATCTTGGTTTGAAAGTAATCTTTCTGATAGATCTCAATATGTAGTTTATAATAATAATTCCTCCAATTTTTCTTCTATTACACGGCGTACCACAAGGTTCTATCCTAGGTCCTCTACTGTTTTTTAATTTACATTAATGATCTTACACATTCAGCTGCACCTCGCAGTTAAATGAAAAGCCTTCCCGCGTGGGTTTTTTAACACGGACCTGGCTTTAGGGCGAAAAAGAGGGGTGCGGTTAATACATGAGGGCGGTTTATACACTATTAATGACGGTAAGCCCTGAATTATAAGAAAGCAGTGATATTGTATGTACAAAACAAACAAAGAGTGGTGATTTTTATGACAACACAGTTTCTCAACCTAGTGGCCAATTTGCGAACTCTTTACATTGAGCGATCTCAATTTGAACCATTCATATAGTTATCATCACCTGTCCGATCGCGTTGAAACTTTCAGCGATCATCATCTTGAAACTTTTCATATTATTTTGTTTTTCTGTGAATCTAGGCGAACCAGGACAGCTGGTGGGTAAGATCAGGAAGGGAGATCCAGTCAGGGATTTCCATGGCTACGCAGACCGACAAGCCAACAGCAAGAAGGTCGTATATGACGTACTCAAGAAAGGAGATTCTGCCTTCTTGTCAGGTTAGTAACTGTACTAAATGTAGAATATTAAAGTCAAGATGGAGTTGTTTTCTCAATCTAATGGCATTGCAAACTTCTCACAACATGAATTCTTTTTATTTGTTTGTTTTTGTTTATGTGAGCTCTTTTAAAAACATTTTCTCTACTAATTTTTTTTTGTCAAGGCACCTTTTTACTTTGAATTCCCAGTATTCTTCTAATTCAATGAGACCATACATTTAGATTATAAAGTCTTGTTGAACCAAGGGAAACCAAAGACTTCTCAGCATGACATGGGTAGCGCCATTTTCTTGAAACTGAGATGTACTATGCGCAGGCGTTTATCAAGTACCGGTAGATGTATTCAAATTTATGGATGCTTCTTTCCCCACGTGTGTGTGATGATGAAGTATTTCATTTACCTGCTATTATCTTTTGTACTATAATTGCCAGAATGCAAATAACATAAATAAGTTGTTGCTCTTCTATGGGGTCAAGGTTTCACATAAATTAATTTTTCACTGCTATATTTTAGTATTTTTAAATAAATGAGTTACACTTGTTTCCCTGTTTATATATTTCTTCCAAAATATATGTGTTTACCTTCTCAGCTATGATTTTTTGACATAGAAAAGTATAGGTTCTGTTATTGAACTAAAATGTCTTGGACCTGTCAAGTTTGCCTGGTACGTCACATTATCAAGAAACTGGCTGCGCTCATCTTATGCTAAAAGGCATTACATCATGCCAAGAATATCTTTATTTATATATCTGTTGTAAGTTTCTGTGAGGAATATTGTACATTAATAGGCAGGAATGAAACTCATCTTTCAGCATACCTATACTTGTTCTTAAGGTTGAGTTTTCCTTTAATCTTCATTTCCCACCCTCCACCCAGGTGTTAAATGGGTACCCGCTAGGATGCGAACTTGAATGTGTTTACGATCGGTATGTGTGTTCTTCTAAAATGGCGCCAGGTTGGAATACTCCCCAGGGAGTGTACCATCATGTTCGGATGAGAAATTGAATCCAATGACTGGACTAATGATTACAATGTTAAGCGCTTAGAAACATAGTATTAAGGGCTATTCAAATGTGACTATTATTATTCCACCATATTTAATTCATCCTTACAAAGCATCCGTCTCTTTTCTTTTGATAGGGGATGTTTTGGTCATGGACAAGTTTGGATATTTCTACTTCCGTGATCGTTCGGGAGACACGTTCCGATGGAAGGGAGAGAACGTGTCAACTACAGAGGTGGAAACAATCATTAGTAAGACCATAGGACTAAACGACACTGTGGTGTATGGCGTCGAAGTACCAGGTAAGATGGCTACCCTCTCTTCATTATCATTGGGAAGAATGTGTTTTGTTTCATGAGACACGACAGTGGTCCTGAAATACATTGAATAGCTTAAAGGGGGTGTAGCATGGCAAATACTGGTTAACACCATCTACAACTTCTTTTGGACAAATGCACGTAAACGAATGGACTTGATTATAATGGTCAGCGTGTGCTAGCGTTTGCGAAACAGACCAAAGTTCTCCTCACTCTTCGGTTTCGCTTATGTTGTACGCACGTGAATACTGCGGTTGCGTCGTCCGTAGTTGTATTTTACCCGATTGGCCCTGGAGTCAGGCCACAGGAAAGACACGTAGACTCGTCATGCTTCACCCCCTTTAATATTTGCAGTATACTGCATCTAAGGAAAATATTGACCTTTTTGTTGCTCTTTATTGCCAAGCATGTTTTGAAGAGATATCCTCCTACAGAAAATCATGTAGTTGTATGACAAGGTTGGCCAGACCAAGACAGTTTGTTTTGTACGTTGTGATCCTTCATGTTTTATACCTGATCTGTAGTGTGATGTTTTGACCTGATGGTGTACATTTGCATTCATTCTTAGAGTTAAGGAGTCTTGCTGGCATTGTATAAAACAAATAATACACATCATTTTGTTCAGGCATTAGTAAAATTGCCCACACTCGGTACCATTTGAAACAGTCCGAACACCCTCAGTTCAGAGCTACCAAGTGTCACGCATTAGGTGTGACATCACTCATTTCGAGGGTCTGGAAATGCTCTCACTATACCTTATACGTGTGTTATACCCTCGCGCTCCGAAAAATGAAAATGTCATGCATTGCCGATCTTTGAACTTGGCGTCTCTGTCAGTTGTCGTCTCGGGCGTGTTAGACTGATCCAAAGGTACCTTGTGTGGGTAATTCTTAGTAAGGCCCTCACTGCCGTGTATTATTTGTATACACTAACCAAAGTCCTAGTTGCAACCCTGGGCCCAACCTGCATGTTTGACAAAGCAAAGCCTGCAGCAAATGTTATCTGAGCATAAGTAAGGTCACCTTGTCTCTCTTTCCCCTAAGGATCTGAGGGTCGTGCTGGCATGGCAGCTATAGTAGATCCCAACGGAGCTCTCAACATTCCAGACCTCTTCCATAAGCTCAAAGCCAACCTCCCTGGCTATGCTGTTCCTCTCTTCATCCGTATGGTCACAAAAGTGGATACTACAGGTATGTTAACCCTCTTGATATCTCTATATATCTTTTATTCTCCCTTCCTCTGTTTCTTTTTCTTCTCCTTTCTCTATCTCACTCTTCTCCTTTTTCTATTTTGTTTCTCTATCCCTCTCTTTCTCCTTTATCTTTTCCTCCTTTATCCTGTCTTTCTATCCTTCTCTTTTTTAACCCTTCTCTATCCCCTTTCTTCCTCCCTTTCTTTGCCCCTCTTTATCCTTCCATTTCTCAGTTGCATTTTCCCACTTTCATATCCCTCTTTTTTCCCCCTTCACTTTCTTCCTCTCATTGCCCCTTCCTTTCTCCCTCTCTCTTCGAACTCCCTCCTATGAAATCATCATAGGTTGCCCCCCCCCCCCAAAAAAAAATAATAAAATGGGATGATCCTTGAAATGAAGTGATAATCAGCGGCTCCTTGAAGCTATCCAAGGGGATGTTTCACAAAGACTAAGATCGACTTTAAGTTGGACTTAACTATGGCAGGCTATTCTTGCCACTAGTTCCTCTAACCATTCCGGGCACTGGTTTCTCGAGGGACGTATAAATCGTGGTCACAAATTTTACAAAGTTACATTTTTTGACAGTTCATTATTGAAGGAAAAAATATTATCTAAAGATCCTAATTGAGAGACCAATAGTGAGAGCAACCAGTGGCATGAATGGCCTGCCATAGTTAGGTCTAGCTTAAAGTCGATCTTAGTCTTTGTGAAACACCCCCCTGGAATGATGACATGCTGTGTGTCAATGTGAGGTGCCAGGGTAAAGCAAACAAGTGCATTTTCAGGCACATATAGAAAGTAAAAATTAAGATCAAAAGACAGAAGGATTTGAGATTGAAAAAAGTGTTTTAGCAAGTTACATATTGTATGTTTAAGAATATTTTCCTAATGAAATTTCTCTTGAAACTGTCACTGGAGAGTTTTTCTAAATCCATTGAATATTGAGACCAAGATATGTAGAGGTGTCATGGTCGAGTGGATACATCGCAGGACTGTGGATCACAAGGTCCGCGGTTCGAGTCTCCCTGCGGCACTAATTTCCTTTGGCAAGACATTGATCTACATTTGCCACACTCCACCAAGGTGTAGTAAATGGGGACCTGGTAGGAATTTATTCCTTGAAACGCAGAGCGCATGGCGCTTAGATACTTCTGATCAATGTTAGGCGCTATATAAGCAAATATAATTATTATTATAAAAGTCAACCTAGGGTCTTTGGACATGTGTATTGATATACCAAAGTCATCTTAGTCAGCGGGTTAGATTGCAGTCTACTTATAAGTACTCAAGATTATCTTTATTTTCATACTTTATTCAGGAACCTACAAACTCAAGAAAGTCCAGATCAGAAAGGAGGCTTTTGATATCAACATCGTCAAGGACAAACTTTACTACCTAAACGCCAGGGCGGGGCGTTATGAGGAACTCACATCTGCCGCGCATCAAGATATCAAGTCTGGTCAAATCAGGTTATGATGATGATGATAAATGTTGACATTCTCCGGGTATGATCAGTACACCAAGTGCTTTATGTGATTGCAATACTATGTGGATCCTTTTTGATCAATTCTTGTACATGTATGTATGTAACCTGTGTGCCCAAAACAATAATTAAGTAGCAAGAATTAGCCAGTTCGTAAATAGCTTTGGAATGCATGACCCCCAAATATCCACAGATCTTTTACACCATGGACACGTCCCACTTGTGCATTTTAGAATAATCACTGTCGAAGTGATGGAGGTGCTTCATGAATACCTTTTGTTTGCCCTCTTGAGAAGAATACTTCCACCTGTGTATCAGATAAATGTGCTGTCGGTACATAAATGAATACTAATTACATAACTTTCATGAGTACGATACGAGTGACCTTTATCTGCACATGCGCAAATCCTAATTACGAACTCGCTTATTATAGTTTTTGCATGTGTTTAAATTTTCTTGAACTAGAGATTTTAAGCATATCCTTGATAAAATATAATATATGATTACCTATATACAAGGCATTTTAGTCGCACAAAAAAAAGCCATATTCTGCACGCTACTCCGAATATGAAACCAGAGCAGGCAACATTTGCCATAATGCCCTCTTCCAGGTTTTTCCAATAGACCCCTGTACTAAATTAGAGGGTAACCTTCTGACATATTCCACTCTTTCTTGTCAGTGCACTTTTATTAAAATGCATACGCGCAATAGCGTGTAGGGGTTAAAGTGTATGAGCCGTAAAAACTTACGGCACAATTACATACCTGCCTGAATAACCTGAAATCAGGGGGACCAGCAAACAGACATGAGTAAAAATTATGTTTGATACCAAAGTTGTATATCATTTGTAAAAACGTGCCTTGCATAGGTAATGATAATTATATTGACAGGGCTTCTTTCGGGGTACATCAGAAATGTTGACCGCGCTATAATCTTAGCTTGGTCAATATTTCTGATGTACCCCTCAAGCCATGTCAATATGATATAAATAGTAGAACCTACATGATATGTTATACTTTGAGCAATCAAAATCCATTCAGAGAATAATCGTTTCCCTTATATATTCCACTGTAGGATTTGTGATCTGTTGGTGGTTTCGACCCATTTTAAAGAGGAATAAACACACTTTCTAATTAGGACTGTTGTATTGCCCTTTAGGAGCCAAAACATGGGTCGGTCGATCAGAAATCTTTTTTTTTTTAAACTTTTTTTTTCTTCTCCCTCTTTGGGTTGATATTTCTCAGTTTTGAATACATATTTTTTTATTCAAAAGCCGACAATAGATTTTTTAAAAATTTGGGTCGGTAGAAAAGGACAAAACAACTTTTTTTTAAAAACGCCTTATAATAATTTTAGCAATGATTATGCCAAAACAATAGCGAAATAAGCAATCAAACTTGATTTTTACAAACTTTAATATGTCATCTGTCATGACAGAGAAGGGTCTTAACTCTGTGTAAAGTACATTTGAATATGAGTTAATGCCCTTCTATCTCTAAGCAGAGTATGTACTGAATATTACCCATATCCCCTGTGGAGCACATACTTATACAGGAATACTTATGCAGAGTATGTACTGAATATTACCCATATCCCCTGTGGAGCACATACTTATACAGGAATACTTATGCAGAGTATGTACTGAATCTTAACCATATCCCCTGTGGAGCACATAGTTATACAGGAATACTTATGCAGAGTATGTACTGAATCTTAACCATATCCCCTGTGGAGCACATAGTTATACAGGAATACTTATGCAGAGTATGTACTGAATCTTAACCATATCCCCTGTGGAGCACATAGTTATACAGGAATACTTATGCAGAGTATGTACTGAATATTAACCATATCCCCTGTGGAGCACATAGTTATACAGGAATACTTATGCAGAGTATGTACTGAATCTTAACCATATCCCCTGTGGAGCACATACTTATACAGGAATACTTATGCAGAGTATGTACTGAATCTTAACCATATCCCCTGTGGAGCACATAGTTATACAGGAATAAGCTTCAACACATTCCAGCAACAAGAAAGCAAATGTATCAATCCAACCTTTGTGATAAGTTCAGTGGTATGAAAACAGGAAGATAAGAGAAACAGAATGGCAAAAGTTTGAAATAAATCGGACCAAAATAGGAGAGTTGAAATTGGCCATTTTGGCAGTGGATTGTGTTGTAGTCACAGACAATTCTACTGTCTGTTGTGTACAAAAATTTAATTTAGTTTTTTTTCTTCTGTTTAGTGCCTTCACCCTTGGGGCACTACTAGGGTACTCAAAGTATCTTATGGATAGGTTATCATTATATTTCCTCTAAAAAGAAGCGACCATCCTGAGTTATACATTTTTAATAATTGACATTTCAGTCATTTTGTGTGTTGAACAGATGGGAAAGTTGTTCTACAGTATGTCACAGTTATGTAATACCGATTCAGCCAATTTGAAGTGCCCATGCCCATAATGTTCACAACTTTCAAATATTCCCAACTTCATTATTGTTTTTCTGATTTTGATCAAATTTTCACACGTCTGCTCTTCTGATTATTCTGCTTTCTTTTACAGTTATTGCCTATTAAAGCTAATCTTGAGCTCTGGTATGGGAATGATATGTCAAGAGAACATGGCTAGAATTCATTCTGGATTGTTTATTCTGTAGTACATTGAATGTTTGAACCAGTAAAATAAAAACAAACTCACAAAAACTTGCTGGAAATCATCTTCGATAAAATCCACAACTCTCATTTGCACATAGTGACCTTTGTGAAGCACATGGTGTTCTTCCTACTTGCCTTGATTTCCTTATCTTTCTATGCTCAGTACTCAGCCCCTATATGTGTTCTACCTTAATCGTTTGGCATGTGTTATTCATTTGTAATCTTGATCATTAAGTGTAAGTTTTGTTGGATTCTGTGAGATTTCATTTGTTATCATTAACAGGAATCAAGCTTATCTTTAAGATTGGATTTTCATTCAGATTTGAAGATCACTTGTAGGAAGTAGAAAGTATGAAAATCACAAAAGGTCTCTGTTTGATAATGTTTTTTCCAATGCAAGGGACTTTCAGTCAGTGCGAGTGCTCTGAGGGATTTAAAGAGTTTTTTGTATATCAATAGAAATATATACCTCCTTTTGTGTGAATTTTCTTGGACTCAAACCTGATGCAATACAATAGGTGTATGTTGTTTCCGAAATACACTGTATATGCCTTCTTCTATGAATTGGTTATATTAGAGAAGTAACAGGCGATTAAAACAGTTGATCGTGTACTTGCGCTGTCATCATGACAGGCAAATTGTGTACATAAAGCCTCGGTCACAAATGCCATTACAAACTGCTACGAACGCCATACGAACGATTTTCAGATAATGGAAATTCGGGAAGACAATGGAAAAACGGAGATACCTACAAAATTATCGTTGGTACGAACCTTTGTGACCATAGCATTAGCTGTTATCAAAGCAAAATTATATTTTCATAAGAGATCTTTGACACCCATCAAAATTGATGTAAAATGATAATTCCAATATTGAAGGAATTGAATGATAAAAATGAGTATGTATGTGAAGGAAGTTTGCAGTGGTAAAAAGTTCTTTCAAAAGTGTTTGCAGTACTAAAAAGATGATTGCATGTCTTTAATTTTCATTACTTGGTTTCATATATATTTTGAATGTGTGTTAAGGGGAAATATGGAATGTTCCTGATTATGAGGTGACCTGAATTTCGCTCAGGTGGCAATAAACTTACATTAATAAGGTTTGGAGATATGTTTGGATATATATACTGAAGTTTAGAATAGCAACTAAATTTTAACCAATGATGATAGATATAAAGTGAAATACAAAAATCATGCAAGACAGTAAATACAATTATTGAAATAATGATAATTATTAAAATTTTTGAGCTATGTATTAATTCCATCATGTCAATTTTTGTTTTCATTATTGAATGAAATAAATGGATAAAAATGTATTTGTCATACAAAACAAACACAGAAGCGGCGTAAAGATGGTTAGAAATAAATGATCAATAATCGGATTCTTTAATTTTTGCTTGATTTTTTGTTGAAGATGCAAATAAAACACCACAATCTTAAAATGATTTCTTAAGATAGTGAAATAAGGTATTGATTTTTTGCCTTGCGGTAATTTCTTGAAAGTGTCAGTGATCCTTTTTTATGGGTTATTACAAATTTTATGTACAGTTACCTGGTTACCTGGTTGCCGCCGTCAGTTGCTGGCGATTGGCGACCACATCTGCACATCTTCTTGTTGTCTTTCTCCATTTGTTTCTATCCTGTCTTAATCTTTTAGCTTCTGAGTATGTGAGACCTGTCCATTCTTTGATGTTATCAAACCACTGCTTTCTCTGTCTGCCTCTCTTTCTTTTTCCTTCTACTTGGCTTTCTATTATTTGTGCTGCTAAGGGGCTCCCACTGCCACGCAGAATGTGTCCGAAGTACCCAATCTTGAGGCGGGCCACTTTTCCAAGGAGATCTCTTTCTGTGTTTAGTTCTTGTAGGACACTGAGATTGGTTCTTTTGTCCTTCCAGCTGATCTTGAGCATTCTCCTCCAGAACCACATTTCTGCTGCCATGATGCGATTTTCATCGGCTTTGAGCAGTGTCCAGCTTTCAGCACCATAAAGTAAAGCACTCCAAACCAGGGTTTTGACCAGTTTTATTTTCAGGCCGGTTGAGATGTTCCTGTCATTCCAAAGTACATGCAGGTCAACCATTCTCTTCTTCGCTATAGCTATTCTGATCTTTATATCAGTGGTACAGCTGGCATCGCTGTTCTTTGTAGATCCAAGATATTTGAAGCTTTCCACTTCTTTGACTGTTTCCCCTTCGATCTGGAAGCTGCGATCGGTATCTGAGGTTTTACCAGCAACTAGGAGTTTGGTCTTTTTAACATTTAGATGTAAGTTGAGTTTCTTGCCGGCATTGTTTACTGCATGTGTGAGACTTACAATTCCATCTTTGGAAGATTCAATAAGTGCTGTGTCGTCAGCATATCTGAGATTTGAGATGTTTTTGCCACCAAATTTAATGCCGTAGTGCGCAACATCTGCTTCCCTCATCCCACTTTCCGTGTATGTGACGAAGAGGTATGGTGATAAGATGCAGCCCTGTCTTGCACCTTTTCCTACCTCAAACTCTTCAGTGTGTTCACCATCCCAACGGATTTTAGCTTTTTGGTTTACATAGAGAGATTGGATTAAAGTGACGAGGTGC